CTTTTGGAGGGCATGTGGAGAGATTAGGATTTTGGGTATCTATCATTATCCTAGGTACCCTGTAATCCATACTAATCCATTTGAATTTGCCTTACTATTCATCTGTTAATTTTCCACTTCCCAGGACGCCTGGGTGGCTCAGCGGTTGAGCACCTGCCTTCAGCTCAGGGCATAATCCTGGAGTCCCAGGATTGCTTCCCACATCAGGCTCCCTGCATGGAGCTTGCTTCTCCTCCCTCTGCCTATGTCTCTGCTTCTGTGTGTGTGTGTGTCTCTCATGAATAAATAAAATCTTTAAAAATTTTTTTTTCACTTTCCAAAAGTTTTTTTAAAGATTTTATATTTAAGCAATCCACACTCAATGTGGAGCTTGAACTTACAACCACGAGATCAACCAAGTGGCTCCACTGTCCAAAATTTATTGCTTATCTTCTCTATTTTCTTTTTGCCCTGTCGGTTTATGCCTTTACTGTTGTTCTAGCAGAATTTTAATATGCAGCAAAACTAAATACAGTTACTTATATTCAATCTATCATCCCCAAAATTTAGTCTTTTCAGGATCTGTGCAAACAGAACCAACAACTATGGCAAAAGGTAAATGGTACTTAAGAGTCCTTGTAGCTGATCACTATTTTACTTAAGATTCCAGAAACCTAGAAGTAAAATACTTTATTTATTCTATTTATTTATTTTATTTATTTATTTATTATTTTACTTTTAAAGATTTATTTGAGTGAGAGAGTGGAAGGAGGAGGAAGGGGAGAGCATCCTCAAGCCGACTCCCCACTGAGCACGGAGCCTGATGCAAGGCTCAGTCTCATGACCTATGAGATCATGACCGGAGTCAAAACCAAGAGTTGGATCCTTGACCAACTGAACCACCTGGACACTCTGAATAGCTCTTATTTTTAAAAATATTCAAAATTAAATTCTGCCTTTTAGATATTGATAGAACTCAGATTTTCCTTTAACAAATACCTTTTCATGCTGGTTAACTTGCTGGCTTACGAGCTAAAAACAAAATGTTTCATAAATGATACACATTCCCATTTCAAATCTCCATATAATTTTACTGCATAAGATCTGTGGACACTAATTGCAAAGTGAAACTAGTTGTATCATTTTGTAAGGAAATAATTTGGCTCAGGTAGCAAAAGAGAAAAGAATGCAAACTGGTATGTACTATTGGTTTTTCATGTTCGTTACTGTGTCAGGCTGAATAATGGCATCCAAGCATGTCCACATCCTAGTATCTGTGGAATTTATAAATGTTACCTTACATGATAAAGTTACCTTTGTGGAGGTGATTATGCTAAGATTCTTGAAATGGGGGAGATCAACTTGGATTATCCATGTGGGCTCAATAAAATAATAATAGACCTAATAGGAGGGACACAGAAGTGTCAGAGCAGAGAAGGTGGTGATGGATGATGGAAGCAGAGGTTAAGGTGATAAGCTTTCGAGATGGTGAAAGTGGCCATAAACCAAGGAACACAAGTGACCACTAGAAGCTGAAAAAGACAAAGCAACTGATTTTCCCTACAAAGCCTCTAGATAAATCAGCCCCACTGACATTCTGAACTTAGCTCAATGAAATTGATTTCAAATTTCTGACCTCCAGAATTTTAAGAGTGAATTTATGTCATTTTTAACCACTAAATTTGTGATTTATTACAGCAGCAACAACAGGAATGTAGTATGATCACCTTTGAAATGAAATGACATTATTTTTTTAAGTGTTTTTTTTTAAGATTTTATTTATTTACTCATAGAAAGAGAGAGAGAGAGGCAGAGACACAGGCAGAGGGAGAAGCAGGCTCCATGCAGAGAGCCTGACGTGGGACTCGATCCAGGGTCTCCAGGATCACGCCCTGGGCTGTAGGCGGCGCCAAACCGCTGCGCCACCGGGGCTTCCCCAAAACGACATAATTTAAAGGGAGGAAATTATCCTAATGTTGTGATCAATATTATCCATCAGTTAAATACTATTTTATAGTAAAGGTAATTAGATTCAGAGTATCAGCTATTCGCTTGAAAGAAACTGCCTCTTATTAGAAGATTACTCCTTGCCAAGGAAGTATAGAGATTTCTCTTTTGTGAAGGATAATCTAAGCACTGAGCTCCTTGAATAAAATTTGTCTCTGTATTTTATATGTGTTTCCATAGCATAATATGCATCATATATTCCGTTGTTTAATTATAATTTATTATTGATCTTTTAGTGCATTTTTATGAACTCCATACTTGTTACCCAGTATTTAAACATATGTAGCAATAATCTGGATCTTTGTAACTAAAATGTCAATTCGTCTGCTTAAAGTGAAATTAAAATTATGTATTACAATGGTCTATTTCTTTAAAAAAAAAATTTGGCTTATGATCTTACGAATCACAACTTACCTAACAACCATCTACCACATTGCATCATTCTTCAGATGACTGCCTGTGTCTGTTCTGATTAATGGTATGCTCGGCTTACAATTTACACTCACAGGGCAATCAATGATCCCTCATTTTCTTGTTCTGATTTTTAAGATTTTTAGTAATCTCTACACCCAATGTGGGGCTCAAACTCACGACCCTGAGATCACGAGTCACATGCTCTTCCAACTGAGGCAGCCAGGCACCTCCAATAGATTTTTAACCTCTGATCCTTTATTTCATTTGATCCCTAAACCATCATTAACATGCTCTTTTACACATGATGTAATTGAAACCACATAGGTTTAGGTAAGGGTCTTATTCTAAGTCTTAGGACTAGTTTATAGTAGAAGTATACTCAAAGCCAGATCTTTAGTTCCAAGGTGCATGCCCTTTCCACTATATCACATTCTATTAGAGATAAACGATAGTATCTCAGAATTTTGACCAATATTATTGACCATAGATCAGAATTTTCTGTTTCAATACACTTAAAAAATAGTAGTGACCTTAGTACATCAGGATCTTTTGATGGTATGTACAATTGTGAGAAATTAAAAAATGAAGGTTGACTTAAACACTAGAAATTAATATATTATAAATTAGTGAATTTGCACTAATTTATATATGTCACTCTCTTGTGAACTGTGCCAATTAACATTTTCAAGCTTGATTTTCTTTAGTATAATGATGGGGCCAGATCCCGAACCATGACAAGTTCATCATGGTAACCACCATCCAAAAAAAAAAAAAAGGTAACCACCATCCTGGGGCACCTAGGTTGCTTAGTTGTTTAAGCATCTGCCTTCCACTCAGGTAATGATCCCGGGGTCCTGGGATCCAGCCTTGTCAGGCTTCCCGCTCAGTGGAAAGCTCCACTTCTGCTTCTGCTCCTGTGCAATCTCTCTCAAATAATGTCTTTAAAAAAAAAAAAAAAAAAGTAACACTATCCTGAGAAAGTCTGCACCTAGATAAATTGCTCTGCATGACCATGACTCTAATTAATAAGACAAGTAATAACCAGTATTCAATCAGGATGGGAAAACGAAAGGATTTGCATAAACTACCAAATTGAAATGATTTTGGATTTTATGAAAATTTAGATGTTTTCTCAAATAAAAGATCCTTAAGCTTTTATACCTCAAAAGCTCCAGTTCTGCATATTTCCTTGTAGATGTAAAATTTAATAAAGATTTTATAAGTTGTCCATTTTCTTTAAAGATTTTATTATTTATTCATGAGAGAAAAAGAGGGGGGATGAAAGAGGGAGAAACAGGCTCCCCATTTGGCAAGAGTTGATCCCAGGATGCCAGGATCACGACCTGAGCTGAAGGGAGATATTTAACTGACTGAGCCACCCAGACACTAAGTTGTCAGTGTTTATTTTCAACCTGTTTGATGCTATTCAAATTCTCATGTAAGCAAGTTCTTTTGTGGTTTCGCATCTAGAAATGCCTCTTTGTTGTTGCATGATAGTATTCTGACAAAGGATGCTAAAATAGGATTCTGAAACTATTGTTGTTTTAGGCTAATTAAATCCATCTTTACCTTCTCTTTAATCATGTCATATGCGTTAGGAATGATTTGGCACACTTTTCTGAGGATCCATGGTTTACTGAAGGATTTGCAACATAAAGTTGAATACTGTAAGAAGGCACTTACTTTCAAAAATAACTTTCTAGCACTAGATCATAAAAATCCTAATTCACAAATATTCGGTAGCCTTGCTCTCATCTTCTAATTTCTACAAAGTTACAAATGAACCACTTTTGAATGGACACAACTTTAGAAAATGCACCAAACACTACTGTAGATGGATTTTTACAAGAATTGAACAGACTGTCAAAATCATTCTAATAATATGTTCAGTAGTGAAAAAAAGTAAAAAATTAGTAAAAAAAAAAAAATTCACAATAGTTTCCAAAAACGGCTTAATTTCCATTTCTCGGGATCCCTGGGTGGTGCAGCGGTTTAGCGCCTGCCTTTGGCCCAGGGCACGATCCTGGAGACCCGGGATCGAATCCCACGTCGGGCTCCCGGTGCATGGAGCCTGCTTCTCCCTCTGCCTGTGTCTCTGCCTCTCTCTTTCTCACTGTGTGCCTATCATAAATAAATAAAAATTAAAAAAAAATTTAATTTCCATTTCTCATCAAATGAATGACACATGGTGAGAAAATACAAGCTCCAGTATAACCGTTTGAAATATATTTTATTTGATTCTTGGTATGGTATTATGGATTTATTTCACAAAAGCAAGGAAGTCTTAATTAAGCCTTTAACCAACCTGACTTTGTCCTGTGACTGAGAGATCTCACCAGATGAGATTAATGAAGGAAATTTCCAATTCTACCATTGTCTTCAATAAAAGTGTACATTGTCTTCAATAAAAGTGGAGTATCATTCATAGATGGTATTAGGCTGGAAAAAGGTTAATGTTCATTTCTGACGTGTTGTTACTCTGGATCTAGAGACAAAAGTACTTGAAAGAATCTGGAACAGAGCTTGGATTACTTTATTATGGATTAGGTTTTATTAACCTTAAGACAGGAGGATTAGATCAACATTTAGACTGTCAAAAGTTGATGAATAAAAGCTTTTAATTATGTGAAACAAAAGAAAAGTTAAAAAAAAAACAGCTTAATGTATTATTTCATGAACTACATACGGATATCTCTGGTTTATAATCATTTTCTTGAGAGGGGAATGTAACCATAGTCCTGAGGTAGTTTTAAAACCAAAGGCCTAATATCTGTTGTTATATATGACAAAAACTGGTTAATTAACATGACATTTATCTTGTACACATTAAGACTGCAGAAGAAATTCTCATACAAAAGCAGTGATCAGTTTGCTGCTTAACAAAACTTGTATTTAATCCCTTGTTTACTCCAATAACTTAGCCAAGGCTGTGTTTTAGTCAGACTGTGAAGTGAGAATTACAAATCAACTGAAGAATGTAACATCATTTTTTTATTTGATTTAAACCCATTTTCATATACAAAGCTAATGAATGTATTATGTACAAAATAAATGTACATTCTTAAAAACTGTTAGAATACAAATTTCCAAAGGACTAAAAAAAGTGCAAAATTCTCAATTATCTTCAATCATGCTATACAGAAACAAATCAAATATTTGCTCATATACACACACTGAAAAATTTTAAAACACTCAATGTAACAAAACGTACATCTTACACATTTAATCTTAAAAGGATGAAGAGTGTATTGCACCAAATTAACAGTAACTTCATCATAACGAGAAGACTAATCAAAATTATTTACACATCTTTGTTAAATCTAAAATTTTCTCAACTTTAAGACCATTTTTTTGGCATACAAATATTCATTGAGTCACAGTCTGCAGAGTCAATAATTAGATATAAATAAGGCTTAATATTCTTTTTCATGGTCAATTCCAGTAGAATAAATGAGAAGGAACATTTTATGATAACTATACAACTTTTTGAATTCCTTAAATATTTAAGTAGCAGCACAATTTGCAAGTATTTTTTTAAACAATTCCAAATTTTCAGCCATCCTTCTCTTTGTGCATTTTCATGCATTCAAGTCATTATCAACCTCCGTAACACTGAAATGTTCCTATTTAATCTGAATCCCAGAAAAATGGGCATGAGACAACTCCTATGTGTTTGATATTTTTCTGTCTTAATGGATTCACTTCTACAGCAATGCATTTGATAGAAAATGTCTAGCTAGATCTCTGATTACTTTTTGCTAAATTTTTTGCTCCAAGTATATAAAAGCAAACAAGTGGGGGAAGAAAAGCCATACTCCTTAGGAGTTTCTGAAGAGAACATACCAGTCATACAGTTTTCTAACAGTTTTTCTTATGTAAAGCAAATTATAAAATAAACAGTATCCACAAATATGTAATAAGTCATAATTTTGGATGAAGGTAAAAAAGCTATTATAAATACTTTAAAAAGTAATCAAAATCTCAAAGGAAAATAAAGTTATTTTCTTTAATTCCTATATAAGAAATTAAAGGTTGAATTTTTTCAGTTAGGTCTGATAACTTATATCTCCTTACCAGAACCAGTTCTAAAGTGTTTATTGATTAATATAATTTTAACATTCTGAGGAGCAAAATATGCCAATTACAGATAAGATTTTTCCTTCAAAATGCAACACAGGCATTTTTTGAATGTATAGGTTGAGCCCACTAAATCTTAAAACACATTGCTTGGATAGTGTGGGAAATGTTTCCAAGGGAAGGAACATCAAAAATAGCATTTTAACATTAACTAGTTAGTACCCTGGCTACCAGAGAACCTCTGGTTTTAATACGTATTAAGTTGAAATATATTATTACCAAAATAAAATTTTATAAGGACCAATTGGAGTAAGACTTTTTAAAAAGTTTCTATTTTAATCTATAAAATATTCATTTTATTTTTTGATCCTAAGTCCTAACTTATTTTTTAAATTACAATGCTACATTATAATAATATTACAAATAGCTGATCATTTTGTGCATTCAAAAATAGTTATAAATTTTAAATAATGAGACAGGCATCATATAAGTGGAAACACACACACACAAACACACCCAAAGTTCCACTGACATTCAACATTGAAAAATGAGTGGGTTAATTTTTTCACTGACAGAACTGTGCTGTTGTTAATGTTATTATGGTAATATTTGCAAAATAAGCTTCCAAGGAAACATTAAAACTATACCACAGAAAACAAATATTAGGTTAGTGACTTTCTAGTTGTTCTTTCCCCTTGAATTTTCAGTTCATATAAGTACAGGCATTAAGACAAAAGTAAAAAGTTGTTATCTGTCCTTTTATTTTTCACTATAGCCATTAGCTTCATAGGTCCAAATCCTGTAATGTGTTCAGAAATCACCCACATGTGATGAATGTTAGTGAGATTGTCTAAGCTATGTCTGATGCCATCTAGCCAAAAAGTATATGATAAAATAGCAGTTTTAGACAGGATTCTTATACTAAAGAAAATCACTCCATAACTCCTATATCTAGGATAGCTTTGTATTTTTAATATAGAAAACCGAATCATTTCCAACATAGGCCTGAATATCTTAAATGTTAATGCTTTGTTTTCTGTAATACTAAGACTTTATATGAAAAAATTAAAGATCATTTCCATACTGAGAAGTCATCAGAAGTACGGATAGGGATATATCCAATGCTTTTTATTAGAAAGATTCTATTGATTACTACCTTCAAGGCTAGGGGAGATCTAATTCTATTTTTAGACCTAACATTTTATAACTCATGCTTTTTATTAATACTTTAAAATGTTACCTAATTCAAATATGCAAAACATTCATTGACAGTCACTAGGAACTATTAAAGGAAACAGATACTTTTTTTGGGAAGCAAATGTTAGTTATAATATTCAAATGTGAAAGGTCTGAAGAAAGTTATAAGAATAATGCAACTGAAAAGGCAATTTGGCTATTTTAGTGGCAAGCTAAACAAAGATAAGAAAGCCATCCCAAGCAAATTTTAGAAAAATGTCTCCAAGGTTAATTATTAAATCTATTTTCACATACGCCTGTGAATAAGCAATCTGATTTATAAAAATGAATGGATATTTCTATAGTGGAAAATACTTTAAGACAATGTAAGAATCCTGAGACATATTTTTTATACCAAGTTAAGAGATTCAGAGTAGTGCCTAGACTTCTGTATATTTATAGAATATCATGGATAAGTCTGATCTGCAATCTCAAGAAACACTGGCTTAGGAAATGGTAGATTCAAATTAAATAAGCTACGGACAACATTTTAACTGATAATACTATATTGTTGTTGGAATAAATGGCATTGGAAAAAGCACCAGGATTTTGATATAGGAAAGCTCTTCAGAACAATTTTCCAGATGGGGTCAAATTTAAAGCAAAGCAAACAATGCTTTATGCTTGTTGTTATGCAATGCTTTATATGATAAATGAGCCAGGCAAAAAGAATATTGAGAACAGGTATTTCTGAGAGTGATAAAAATATTTAAGACTGGCCACATACTGGGAAAGAACGGAGTCAGCTGATGAAAGGACAGTAATTAGGACAAGTCTGGATGATGGGGAAACCAACAGATTAGATTTGAAAAGAAAAAAGACTATTTCATTTTTTATAAATCAGTCAAAAATTATATCTTACAGAGAGTTATGTAAGACAATTGTATTGACGTATTTAAACAGACAACTTCATTCACACACCCTATGACAGTACATGTTATATATTATTTAACATTTATATTTAATATAGTTCGTGCACTTGTATCTTTTCTTTGGAAAGGTGATAAAGAAATGCTACTCATTTTGTAAATGTAAATATATAAAAGGAGCTACCTTCTTTAAACTTAACTAAAAGATTTCCATAAGTGAATTCTTTAGTAACAACAATAAAAATATATTTAAAGGCAAAGCCATTTATGTATTATCATTAAATAAAAATCTGGTATTCAAGTTAAAATTTCTCTGCCTACTCTTATTCAAGTAAAATATAAAAAATCTTAGGTTAAGACTCAACTTTCAAATCTAAATTCTATAAAAGTGAAAGGGAATATAAGGGAAGGGAGAAGAAATGTGTGGGAAATATCAGAAAGGGAGACAGAACATAAAGACTTCTAACTCTGGGAAATGAACTAGGGGTGGTGGAGGGGGAGGAGGGCGGGGGGTGGGGGTGAATGGGTGACGGGCACTGAGGGGGACACTTGACGGGATGAGCACTGGGTGTTATTCTGTATGTTGGTAAATTGAACACCAATAAAAATTAATTTATTAAAAAAAACAAATCTAAATTCTAATTAATTATGAGGGTACACTTACTCCTTCAGATGCGTAAAATAGATTTTCAATAACAGTTCTTTAAGGTAATTGTTATATACCTTACACAGAGAAAAAAGGGAAGTCTCACTGATGTTCCTAGCTAATGACATGAATATGTGGCATTTCCTCTCCTATAAAAGGATGTGACCTAAAAAAAAGCACTGTGATCTAACAGAAATTAGTAGATAGAAACTTATTAATAGCTAACACAAGCTTCACAGGCTTAAAAGATTTTAAGCCAACTGGATAGGCTTTATATTTTCATGTACTTTTCTAATTTCCATGCCCTGATCTATTTTTAATTCTCTCCTTCAATTTTATCTAATGACAGAATACTGAATGAAGAGTTGAAAGATTGGTTCTTTATTCTCTAAATGAACATATAGCTACTCTATGTTTTAATATTTGAGACCTCACTTTCTAAAAGCAAAATTATCCTAGTATAAATCTCTCCCCATCACCAGGATGCTGAGATTTTTATTTCCATCATTACCAATGTTAAGAAACAAAAGTAGATAAAAATTTCTTTAGACAACAAATTTCATAGCAGCCAAGTTGAGATATTCTGTTCATGAACTGAAATCACCTATTATTCTATTCTAATCATACTGTTGTTCATTTCTCCCATCATATAATAGAAACATCTTAAACAGATAACATCTAATACACCAGAATCCCCCTGTATCTTTCCAGTGATTTTATCTAGTCAATTTTAATTCAGTGGGCAATGCTGTTTAAAAGAGGTTTATATTATTCAGCTAATGGTCCTACTATATTTGCTTACTTTAATAGATAAACTCACGTTCCATTCCTTTAGACTGCTGCTAGTATTCCTCAGATTTTCATCAAAATTTTATTTTTGGTTTTTACTTTTTAGAAAAAGTAATATAAGGAAGAATTCCACAGCTCTGAACATCTGTTAGTCTAGGTAGGATATTCAGTTTACTGTGAACAAAGGGTCTCCTATTTGTGCTATAAGATGAATACTGCTTGTTTGGTTCTTCCATCTAAAAAGCAGCAAAGTAAAACGGAATTCTTCCCTGACAAATTAAAATTTTTTGTAATTTGTAGGCATCATCGAAAAGACTTAGAAAATAAGTAATCTTAAAAATAAAGATGGCATCCTTATACCAAAATCTCTGGATAAGTAAGCAAAAGAAAAATTTCCAAAATTTTGATTCACAAAAGTTTTTTTTTTTTAAGATCAACATTTAAAATACCATAAAAGTCAATCATGTTGGTTCTGCTGGCTTGAAACCTAAGAAATGTAGTATAAAAAATAGAAATAGAATGAAATAAATAGAAGCAACAAATCTCAATAAATCGTAATTATCTCTATTGACTTGTTTTGAGATATTTTCATCACACAAATTCATGAAGTCCTTAAAAAGGAAACCTTCACATTTACATATGCTCTATTTTACACCTGCAGCACCAGTTTATTTCAGGGTTATTTACCTAAAACATAACTGCTTTTTTTTTTGTTTTGTCTGTTTGTTTTTACTGAATAAAATAGGGGATTTTAAATAACTGGAAAGAAAATTCTTCTATAAGTTTTTATTAGTCCTGACTCAATCAGATCACATCTATTCAAAAAGCTTCCCTTCCCTAAACACAATCTTTTACTTCTCAAAATTTTTTTACCCACTCATAAGATTATAAAGAAAATGGTACTAGATACTGTAGATAACCAAAGAGAACTGCAGAGGGAAAGTTTCTCAAAGATGCCATTGAGAAGACAACTGGATATAAGGAAATCTAGGATTTGTGGAATAAAAAGGAATATTATTATTTTATAAGAAACTACTATTGTAAGAAGTTTTTTATTTTCCTCTTCTGATCACAGACTCCATTATGAAAGCTACATACTCACTCCTGAAAAAAATGCAGTTAACACAAAGAATTTCCACACAATTTCAGGGGATTCATAAATTCCCCAAACTCAAGGAATCTCAGATTAAGGACACTTGTAGTAGTAAAAGCTCTCTGACCTACCTCAAAAGATGACCTTATAAAAAACCACTAGGTTTAACAATCTCTTTAAATTCCAAAATAAATCAGCCTGTAACTTTAACATATTGAACATTAAGTATAATGTAATACGTAACTATGTATAATAAAATAATATTCTTAAAAGTTATACATAACATGAAACAGAAATGTTTTTTTTTAAAAAATTACTATAAATGACTAGTTTAAGTGATGCATATCTTTTCAATTCATTTATCAATCACATGGAAGTTCTAGATAAAAATGTTAATGTGTTTCGGTATCACTGCTACCACTTCTAATTATGGGGAAAGACACAGCATCTGCTTAGTAAAGAATACACCAAGAAATTTTTAATTTTGCAGATATAAATTGTGCTGCAAATGCTACTTAAAGGATCTAACCGTCAAAATCCTAATCAGCATTTTTTCCTTATACTAATGAAGTACATGTGTAAGCTATATCTCTAGTTTCTCTTATTTCCTACTTATCTTTATTAATTAAGCATAATAATATATTTCAGTAAGTTCTCATTAGTAATATGCTAAGTAGTAGTGGAATGACCCAATGTACCGGTTTCAACTTATCTTCAGCTTATCATGAAAATCTAGAATTTACATTGAGTTTTGAAAATGCAAGTGTGCAACAGATGCCCTTAAAATATTACCCCAATCAAGAGTTCCATAAATAAACTGATGTATTTTTAAATATGGTGGTCAGTAAATAGGAAAATGATTAAAGAGTACATTAAAAGCCATGTCTCTCAACTGTCCTGTCATCTGTACTCTAATTAGAAATAACTTAAATTTTGCTGTTTAGAATAATAAGGGAACTGTATCCAGCTTCTTCATTTTTGGAAGTTTTTTTTTCCCCAATGGATCCAGTGATCTTTAGGAATGAACCACAAATCTAATTAAATCGTATTTTCTCAAATCCACTTTAGTGTAGGTCAAGAATTAGTCAATAAGACTGGACTCAATGTTAATCAGGAACTTTTAAAGTGGCTAATAATACAACCTATGTTATACATACATAGCATACTGAATTTTGGTAGTTCCTAAATGATTTTCAGTGTTAAAAGCCCTAATACATTTCAGATAGTTGAGAGATGTGGCTAAAGTGACAAAGCAATAAATCAAGTTTCATTTATCCATGAGAGAAGATGGAAATAGTAATCACTTGGAATCTTGAGTATTATATTCAGTTTCTCCAGCTGAAATCTGGCTGAGTCGCTTGCTAGATCCCCACAATTTTCGAGAAAGCTGACCTGAACGCATCTGTTTAAGGTAATCCAAAGAAATGAAGAATAGATGTTATTAAGAAAAAAAGAGAAAAAAGAATAAGTGAAATTGATATACATGACATTGATTTCATAGAATGCAGAATATAAGTTTTGTTAGCAGAATCATTAACACTTTAGTGATCCTTGATTAATAATAATTAAAGGCTTCTTGATGTTGATTGTCTTTCAGTTGAGAAAGGCCAAATGCCAATGTGTTAATTTTAAAAATCAATGTCCCAGTTTGTCCAAATTACCAGAGTCCCTTTCTTTATAAATTAGCAAAAATGTGTATCACTTCATTAAAATAATCTTCTGAAATTATACTTTAGCTAATAAGACACATAATTTTGAGGATTTTCTCCTTGTATTTAAAGTACTATTATAAAAATAAATAAATAAAATAAAGTACTATTAATGCTAATCACAAGGATAAGAAAAAAGTAAAATAATGTTTTGATGAAAATAATTTTTGGATATTTTGACATATGAATTTCAAAAAATAATATTTAACAACAATGATAAGTATAATTTGGAAAACAGGAATGGTGTAAGTTCTCTGAAGGTCAGAATCACATTTTGTCCATCATTAATTTATATCATCTAGCACACTTCTCAGCATACAATAATTAATTAAATATTAATCCAACTGGTGAATAAATGCCCTTCTAAAAGTGCTTACCCTTCTAGGTAGGGCAAAAAAGAACCCATGTAGGAAACATTTCTCAGCCTAAGCATGTGATTACGATGTCAGAATTACTTTCCCAAGTGCAATCTACTTTTTAATGGCAATTCATCTGCTATCCTTTTCCAATGGTTATCCTTCTCTAGGGTATATTTACTGAAGGGATTAAAAAAATCAAGCTTCATGCAAAGACATTTTGATATGCTTGTTTTGCATTTTCATTTCCAGATGTATTTGTAAAACATCATTTCCAATTTACCATTTGATTTACAAATATAAATTTCATACTGATAGCGTAATATATAAACTGATAGTGTAATACATAAACTTTAAATACATAAAGGGTACATGACTTAAAATGCACATTAATCAAGATTTTGATCTTTTAGATAAAATCAGATCTTGAATTAAAAATTTTTCCATAACTAAATCTTGATTTAATTTCCACAGTCATAGAATTATATTTTAATTATGCAAGATTCTAAATAGTAATATACTAAAGTAGATCCATACTTCAGCTGATACATTCAAAGATAAAAAATGACAAAAAATACTTTTATTCAAAATCTATACACAATTCAGATTCCATGTGTTGTAGACTACATAAATCTTTCAACAAGGACAAAAAACTTACTTAGTAAATAGTACAAAGCATTGATTTAGGCCTATGAAATTAAGCTGCTTAGGCATTTTTTTCCAATTTTTAGAAGAAAATGTGTGCACATAATGGTCACTTCTTTTAAAAAATTCAGTAAAATCAGAAACTGAAACACACTCAAAAGAAAAAATGCTTAAAATGTTTTAAATATAAGTGAAATACCAAGATATGGATGTGCTGACATTGTTTGCTGAACTGTTACACTTAAAGGTAAATGTCACAATCACTTTAGTAAGATCTCTCTTTCATTATAATAGTATCTTGAAAAAGGGGGCAGCCCAGGTGGCCCAGGGGTTTAGCGCCGCCTTTGGCCCGGGGCATGAACCTGGGGACCCAGGATCAAGTCCCATGTTGGGATCTCTGCATGGAGCCTGCTTCTCCCTCTGTCTGTGTCTCTGCCTCTCTCTTACCTGTGTCTCTCATGAATAAATAAATAAAATCTTTAAAAAAGAAAAGAAAAAGGGTACAAAAACTAACAAAATCTTAAAATATATATAAAACAAAAAGGTCCCTATGATCCATGGTAGATTTAGTAAAACCAGTGATATGTGTTATTCACTAATGGCTTCTCTTGAAATGACTCTGACAGACGCCATATTTTAGATTCCTCAGGAAAGACTAATGGTATCAATACAAATTTACAATGTTTAATTTGACTCTATGTAATAAAAGAAGTTTTCTAGAAGAATCATTACATTACTTGGAGTATAGCTACTAAGTTTTCTAAGGAATAGCATTAGATTTATGGTATCTGCATATTCAGTAATTGATAAACCATTGACGAATCTACAGTAAGCACAGGAAATTCACTGAGAATTAGCATATTTTGCTAGTTCTGGTATTCTTGTTGAAAGTAAACAGCTTTATTATTTGAGTCTGTATTTCATTTTTTATAAAGGCTTTTATGTATTAAAAATCTAAATACTGTCTTGAATCTAGATTTGGAAAGGTATATAATAAAATAACTTTCTTATTTATATAGAGTGATAGAAACTGCCAAATGTGTGCTTTCAATTGTATAATAATATAAACATCACTCTTGAATACTAGCTTTATCCCCTTCTCATTTACTGCCCTTTGAAAAATCAAATTTGGTTTTTAATTTGTTCATCCATATTGGAGATTTCTGATTTAGCTGGAACAAAGGAGAACCAAAGGAATCCCCAATAGTATGGGAAAAGAAGTTCTTGATGCTATTTTTTACCTCGGCTGGCTTGCCAACACCCACTACAATCAATTTGCCATCTTCTAATCCTACAAGAATATGGCTGTATTCTTTGGTTACACAAACACAGTGGATAGGCATTCGCATGGCTAATGGGTTCATGCTGAGATTCAAACTAGAAGAGAAATAAAACACACACACATAATTACATGGATACATAACAGATTCAGAGAACTTTATACCTGGAAGATAACTTAATGATCATGTGGTTCTGCATTCTAATTCTACAGATATGTAACTTAGATTCAGGAAGCCTGAATGGCTCACACAAGGGCCCACATTGTAGCATTACTTAAATACTATATCTTTTCTCTATTCTCAACGTCTGTTTGTTTTTATTTTAACCATATATATGCTCTCTCACTAAATTATATTTTCCTTGTTGATTAAAAAGTGAAAGTTGGATAAAAAGGGCAAAAGTTCAAAAAATGTGTGTGTTGGGGGTAAGGTTTATAAACTAGTCTATTTGCCTTGTCTAATAAGATGTAATATACAAATGTATAATATAAATTATAATATATTAAATAATATGTAACACTGAAAACATAATAATTATGGAAAATATGGCATTTAGGATTAGAAATTGAAGAATCCTCTGATGTACACACTATGTTTGGGTAAGCTGCTAAGAGATCTCATTTATTTTTCTGATCTGAGATTCTCTTTTTTTTCTTACTCCTGATCTGGGATTCTCTTAACAATACCATAAAACAAAATGTTAGAAAGATATGATTCAAACAGGGATTCAGTAGTCCACTGCTGGACAAAGAATGACAAAAAGGAGAAGAGAAATACAAAAGTGGGGAGAGGATGTTGGCACAGAAGTGATTCTGATATGAATGTGGTAAGATAGAACACTGTGGGATCAGGAAATGACTTATAAGAAAGGTTTGGGAGGGGCCAAGATAGTCTCAGGAACATAAATATAAGCCACAATAAATTTTTAAAAAAGAAAGGAAAGAATGTATTTGGGCATACAGGCAATAATAGTGCCTTGTGTATATAAGCTAGTAAATATGAATATAAAATCTAAAAACATATCCACTATTTTTTTTTTACATATCCACTATTTAAACATCCTTTTCCTTCATTGGTTTAAATAACATGACTACCAACCAATTTTACACATACATATACACAATCATGAACAATTAGCCTTAAAAGTATTTTACTTTGTTTTACCACAATTAAAAAAATTTTTAAGCCCTAACTGTACTTTGTAAAAATTCAAACTACAATTGAACAATTTCCAAATCTATAATCCAGGCTTGGCACCATGAAAATTTGCTGGTTATTTTTTTAAAAATTTTACTTGTAAATATACACAACATACAATTTCCTACATTTTTAGAATGTACACCTATATTTTATTTTCTAATCCAGAAATACTTTAGCTTTCCCAAGTTTTTTCAGTTGCCAAAACTGACATGTAAATAAATAAATGATAAACCAAAATATTAGAAATCTTTGTTTGCTGATTTCCACTCTAGGCTGAAAGTATTACCACCTTTCACCTTTTCTTCCTTTTTATAAAGATTTTATTGTTAAGTAATCTCTACACAAAGCACAGGGTTCAAACCCAGAACCCCAAGATCAAGCATCCCATGCTCCACCAAATGAGCCAGCGAGGTGCCCCTATTACTACCTTTTCTTAAGTGAGACTTCAATAATTCTTGTAATTACCTGTGGAGATCCCTTATGGACAGGAAGCCTTGTAAGCTGCCCGTGATAATATGTTCTCCAGTGATACATATATCTGATACTTGTTCTGTCAGGACTTGAGACCCTAGATACTTGCCATTTACAGAAAACAGATGTAATGCATTCTTATCCTGTAAAGATTAGATGCAAAAACTTTTAATGATCTCAAATTAAAACTGAGTTTTAACACTGACAATTACAACTGGGACTATAACAGACTTACTACTGGATTTAAAATATTGAAAAAACAAATAGTTATGTTTGAAGAGAAAGCGTGTAGAAAATACTAAATGATTTTAAATGAAAATTATATATTTTAAGAAAATTCTTAAATAAATAACTGCCAAGTAAATATTAAACAAGAACTCTCATCCCTTCAAAAGAATTAAAATCTCATCCACTCTAAAACACCCCATAATCTTTTTTTAAACCCCATAGTCGTAACAAAAACAAAGATTCTCTTACTTTTTTTAAAGCTAGTTTTTGAAAAATTTTTAAGTTATCTCTACACACAGTGTAGGGCTGGAACTCACAACCTCGAGATCAAGAGTCTCATGCTCTACCAACTAAGCCAGCCAGGCACCCCAAGATTCTCTTTAAAGGTTTTTAGATTTATTTATTTATTTATTTATTTATTTATTTATTTATTTATTTATGAGACAGAAAGAGACAGTGTGTGAACATGCACACACAAGTGGAGAGGGGGAGGGGCATAGGGAAAGAGAGAATGCCAGGCAGATCCCCCACTCATTCTGAGATTACGACCTGAGCTGAAATCAAGAGTCTGACACTTAACCTAGGGAGCCCATCCAGGTACCCCGATTCTCTAATTTTTTTAAAAAGATTTTATGTATTTATTTCACACAGAAAGAGAGCACAAGCAGGAGGAGCGCAGGCAGGGGAGAGGAAGAAGCAGGCTTCCTGCTGAGCAAGGAGCCTGACAGGCTCCCAGGACCTTGGGATCATGACCTGAGCAGAAGGCAGATGCCTAACCAACTAAGCCATCCAGGAGCCCCTCTTTTTTATTATTATTAATTTCATGGGTAGAAAAGTAAACATAATTCATGATTTGTTATATACAGCCTATACAAAAATAATTTAATTTGGTTATAATTTCCACTTAAGCTTATGAGTTCCCACATAACCAGAAATTCTTTTTGAAATCAAAAAGACCTATATAACATATAGGTCACTAGACATCCCTAGGACAAAATATAAAATGAGGTCAAGACTGTGATAGGGGTCCATCTAATGGTAAGGAATGAACAAATTGAAAAATAAAAGGAAAATATCCTTTTCAAAATACAGTGTTTTTCATCAAAATGCTTATTATACAGTATAATATGGAAAGGAAAAGACAGACTTATAGTCTAGCTGTACTGCATATAACTGTTATATACCTTGAGACTGGTCTTTTCTTCAGTGCTGGAATAGATGACAATATGTCCTTCCCAAGATATAGCCAAATTAGGAACAGTTAGGAGGAGAGAACTCTCACAAGGTGGTCGTAAAGTCCTCATGTATTGACCTTTCTGAATTGTATGTATAATCACAGTGCCATCCTATACACAGAAAATATCAGAATATGAAAAAGAGACACAGAACAACAAAAAAGAAAGAGGCTGGATAAATAAATACAGGAAAGGAACTCAGAAAATGATTATTTTACCAAGGACACACGTATCAGAAAAAATTCCAATCCTGAAATTTGAAATAGTATTTCATTTCGTAAGATGCCCTCTTTCCTTAACTAATAAGACCAGTAAAGTACCAAAACATAATCCAGTCTCTTTAAGTTTTTTTCTTTCTGTGTTATGCTACTTCTGTAAAAAGTCCTACACCAACAATAAAGAATTCCTATCCTTTTATCCATTCCTCTAGGAAAAAATTATCATCCCAATTTTAGTGTATGTGCCTCCAAAGCAAGCATGAAAATATTTAAATACAAATACTGCTTCTTAATTTGTAGGAAAAACCAGCATTTCTTTCTCTCTTTTTTTAAGGATTTTATTTACTTATTCATGAAAGACACAGACATAAGCAGAGACACAGGCAGACTCCTTGCAGGGAGCCTGAGGCGGGACTCGATCCTGGGACTCCAGGATCACGACCTGAGCTAAAGGCAGACACCCAACCACTGAGCCACCCAGGCACCCTCTTTTTTTTCTTTTTTCTTTTTTTTATAATAAAATTTTTATTGGTGTTCAATTTGCCAACATACAGAATAATACCCAGTGCTCATCCCATCAAGTGCCCCCCCTCAGTGCCCGTCACCCATTCACCCCCACCCCCCGCCATCCTCCCCTTCCACCACCCCTAGTTCGTTTCCCAGAGTTAGGAGTCTTTATGTTCTAACTCCCTTTCTGATTATTTCCTACCCATTTCTTCTCCCTTCCCTTCTATTCCCTTTCACTATTATTTATTATTTATTATTCCCCTCTTTTTTTTCTTTTAAGATTTATTTAGACAGATTAGGGGGGAGGGGCAGAGGAGAAGGGGAGAGAGAAAATCTCAAGGTAACTCCCCACTGTGCATGGAACCCAGGGTGGGGCTTGATCTCACGACCCTGAGATGATGACCTTAGCCGAAATCAAGAGTTGGACACTTAAATGACTGAGCTACTCAGGTGCACCAGAAAATGAGCATTTTTTTGAAAGATTTTCTTTATTTATTTATTCTTGAGAGACAGAAAGAAGGCAGAAACACAGGCAGAGGGAGAAGCAGGCTCCATGTGGGGCATGCAGGGAGCCTGAGGCGGGACTCAATCCTGGGACCCCAGGATCATGCTCTCGGCCAAAGGCAGGTACCAAAGCCACCCAGGGATCCCCCAAAATGAGCATTTCTTAAAGGTGAAATCTTACCCTTGATCCTGACACTGCCATGTCTAGTTCAGTGCTGATGCCGACGCTCAATACCTCATCAGTGTGTCCGTACAGAATATGAAAGGGTTTAGATGCTAAGCCCACAGGAACACCTCCCTAGTATTAGAAGAGAAGCAAAGGTTAATTTTCTATTAGGCTGTTTTCTACAAAAAGGTTTATACTATATTCAAATAGTCTAATCATAAACTAACATTGCAACTACTTCTTACACCACAGCCATCTATTCACAATAGGACTCATTCCTGTGTTTCTCCTTGGAGTCTCAAATTATTCTGTTTTATGAAGCTTCAAAACTTAATCTGAATAGTTTCAAGGTTGATTGCTTTGGATTAACTTTAACAGGTATATTATTTGCCCTTTTCATCTACAGATTTGTTCTCCCTTAATTACAAATAAACTTTTTGAGGACACCTGGGTAGCTCATTGGTTGAGGGTCTGCCTTCAGCTCAGGTTATGATCTTCTGGGGTCCTGGGATCAAGTCCCTCATCGGGCTCCCCACAGGGAGCCTTCTTCTCCTTCAGCCTCTGTCTCTCTCCCTCTCTCATGAATAAATAAATAAAATAAAAAAAAAAGCCAAAACTTTTTGTATTCTATCTCTGAATACTTTTTTTTTCTTTATTTCTTTTTGGGTGACAAAATGTTACATTACTTTCAGATATACAACAATGATTCAACAATTCTATAAACTATGCAATGCTTACCATGTTAAGTGTAGTTATCTGTAAACATACAATGTTGTTATATTAATTATGTTCCCTATGCTGTATCTCTGTGACTTATTTTATAGAATTACTTTATTTAAAGAAATATATTTATTTATTTATTAAGATTTTAGTTATTTATTCATGAGAGAGACAGAGAGAGAGGCAGAGACAACTCTGAGATCAAGGGTTACATGCTCTATCGACTGAGCCCACCAAGTGCCCCTGAATCTTTTAAATTTTTTTTAAAGATGCTAGGAGAAAGATATTGGAAGAGATTAACAAGACAAATGCAAAAATGCACTATTTTTGTAGTGAAATTTTACTAAAAAGCTACCAAAAGAAAGAAAAACACAGAAGAAATAGAACTAGTTATATACAAAAAAACACAACCCAAAAACAATATATAGTGAAGTGCAATAGCAAATGGTACACTAAATGGCACAAGAGTGAAGGCATTTTCATCAAAATCAGATGTTAGGGTGCTCACTCTAATTTTCTTACTCTACTGCATTATTAGCTAATAATGTAACAAAATAAGAAAATGAAATCATAAGTATATTTGAAAAGATAAATTCACCTTTATTTCACATCATAAACTGTATCTATTTTCAGAAAATCTAAGAAATACCAATAATTATAAGGATGAGGTAAGATTTGGTAAATCAATTAGATAACTATATAGAAATCAATAGATTTTTTATAGTAATCATAACCAAGTAGAAGAAAAGTGATTTTAAAAATATTAATAGGATTATGATAATAAGAAATAAACTTTAAAAAGTACAGAATCTATGGGAAAAAATTACCAAAAGATTTTTTGTTGAAGGACATTAAAAAAAGAACTGAAACAAATATGAAAGGTATTTTCTATTCCTGGATAGGCATGATTATAAAAATGTCAACCCATACCAAATTAACATGTAAGTAAAATACAATTTCATCAAGACTAAAATGGAGTTTTTTGAGGATGATATGGTTAAAAAAGTTGTAAAATTCATATGGAAGAATAAACACTAATTTTAAAATAGCTGAAAACATTTTTTATAAGGCAACACAGAAATTTGTTTCACCAAACATTAAACTACTAAAATGAAAACATTCTGTTGTTGCCGTAGAACTAAGTAAGTGTAAAATACAGGGAATCTAGAAAAAGATCCAATTCACTGGGTAATTATTTATGCTGCCATAATGACTTTCCACCCAGCAGTACATAAAACCATATATTTTAATATTCTATATTATTATAAAATATGTATTATATATATTCTATACTCTATCATGTATACTATATAGTATATATCTAATACTCTTATTCTATATTAAAAATTATAGAAAAATTAATTACCAATGGATTAAAGATTAAAATGTAAAAAATAAAGCAAGAAAAATGTTACAAGAAAAATTTTAGAAATTTATTTTAATAAATTTGGAGTAGAGGAAAGCCTGTTAAGTAGAAAACCTAAATGCCATAAAGAAAAACAACACTTCCTTGAAGCAACATTATAAGAGTACAATATGGTTGATGAAAATTATTAATCTATGATTTATACTGGTTCCCCCAAAAAGGAAGACAATGTGTAACTACCTGTTGTGTTATTTGCCATATCATACACGTAGTGTCTCTGGAACCAGAAATCAAATGTATTCCACAGTAATCTGTAGCTAAACAAGTCACAATATCTGTAAGAAAAAAAGAATTACAAAAAATGAAATAGTGTCGTTTTGCTGGAATAGAACTATAAGGGCAATTTTAGTTTATGTTCAAACTATTACTAAATCAGTTGTTTTAGCAGGAGAAATATAAGAATGGCAATGGAAAAGGCTGTCACAGGAAAGCAGCAGTATTTTTTTTAAAATATTTTATTTTTAGGGGCCTGGGTGGCTCAGTTAGTTAGATGGTAAGTGGCATCTCAGGAGCCACCAGTATAGCATAGTAGCAGACTCCATTTCCCTTTCCTAATAGGTTTATTAGTGGAAAATCTATACAATGTTTTGTTTTGTTTTGAAAGAGAGAATGGAGGGAGAGAGGAACTGAGGGAGAGGGGGAGAGAGAGAGAGAGAACCTTAAACAGGCTCCATGCCCAGCACAGAGCCTAACCTGGGCCAATCTAACACTGAGATCATGACCTGAGCCAAAATCAAGAGTTGGATGCTTAACCAACTGAGCCACCAGGTGCCCCCATGATGTTTTATTCTTATACTGAATGCTGAAACACTAAGAAGCACCAGGATAAACTACAATAATTTATCTCTCTCATGTATAACTGTTAACTAATAAGGCAGGTGATGTCTTATTCAACTATGAGTTTTTTTTAACCTTTTTGTCTTAAAATTCTTATTTGAAGAACAAGAACTTTTATTTTTATGTTTTAAGGATTTATTTTGAGAGAGAGGGAGAGGTAGAGAATCTTAAGCAGACTCCCGCTGAGTGCAGAGACTGACAAAGGGCTTGATCCCAGGACTCTGAGATCATGACATGAGCAGAAATCAAGAGTTGGATGCTCAACTGACTAAGCCACCCAGGGACCCTGTAGTCTGGGGTGCCTGGGTGACTCAGTCAGTTAAGCATCTGCTTTTGGCTCAGGACATGGTTCCAGGGTCCTGGGATCAAGCCCTATGTCGAGCTCTCTGCTCAGCGAGGAGCCTGCTCTTCCCTCTCCCCTTGCCTGCCACTTCCCCTGCTTGTACTCTCTGTCTCTGTGTCAAATGAATAAATAAAATCTTTACAAAAAAAAGGTTAAAAAGACTTAGCCTAACATCATTCAGGTATTTAATTTGTACACCATTTAGTATACCCCAAATACATTAAATACTTTTTAAAATTTTTTATAAAAAAATAAATAAATAAAACTGTATTTATTTGAGAGTGTGAGACAGAGATAGCAACAGAGACAGTGAGAGAGAACACAAGTGGTGAGGAGAGGGAGAAGCAGCCTCCCTGTTGAGTAGGGAGTCTGATGTAGGGCTCCATCCCAGACTCTGAGATCATGACCTGAGCCAAAGGTAGATGTTTAACCAACTGAGCCACTCAGGCATCCCTTATTAAATACTCTTAAAGCATATAATGTTCATAGCACTGCTCTATCAAGAAGTTCACTCAACTTTGAAGGTTAATTTTAATGATTTTTATAGGAGCAGGTACTGCCTTTGTAGTTAGAAGAAATAGAGAAACTTCTTTTTTGAGGGAAAAAAGTTAGTACTTACCCATGTGTCTGATATTGTGTGAAATAACTTTGCCTTTTGTAAGTGACATCACTTGAATGCTATTATCCCAGTGTCCAGCACTGAAAAGCAACTTCGCATCATGTGATACTATGAATAGCTTAGAAGTGATCTCCAGCCCTGGAGCAAAAGGACCATTCATACTACGCTGAGTTCTGTGAACACAATTAAATATTAGACTTTTCCTTAAAAGATCACTTAGACTGATATCAACTATTTCTTAAATTTCTCTGAAAGAGAAATAAATCTATTCAACTGTTCAATTTGAAATGTCCATTAATGAATGATAAAGACTTCCAGAAAACACATTAATTGTTTTCGTATTTCTCATTACGTTAAAAGATACCTAACAAATAGTCTCAAGTGTTAAGCTGAAGAAATTGAGACTGGTGAAGGTGTGAAAAGGATTTAAATCTTGACTTTCAAAGCCAATTCAGTGAGACCTCAATTTTATAAATGGTAGTTATCAAAGTATAAAGGACAAGATAAGGATATGAAAGGATGAGGAAAGCTGGAAATCAACTGAAACCAGAAATCTACTGCACAAGCAGATAAATGTGTATCTAACAATACTCATGAAGATTATTTTTCACTCAAACTAAAGCAAGTATATGGTATTTATCTGCTTCCCAATTAAGTAAATACCTGTGAGGTCAGCTAATCTAGCTTTCACAGAAAGACACAAAGAAGTGATTGTACTTCAGTGTATGTACAGAGAATGAAGGCCAATTCTGAGAGTTCAGCTCTAGAACTTTATTATTCAATATTAATTTGCTGAAGGCATGTTTTGTGCCAAGCCCAACAGTACTAAGTCCTGTGTGAGATAAGAAGGAAAAAAAAAAATTGCTCCTAATAAACATACAGATAAAACGACTTGGAGTAATGGACTCCGAATAATGACCTTAATTTAAAATGTAGAGTAATGACTTTAAAACATAACTTTTGTATATTTAAAAAATTAACTAAGGTAAAGAATAAATTCTTATATAAAACACACAAGGCTTATTTATAAATAACACTATACAATAAAAATACAATTAAGCCTAAAAAGTATTCCTAATATTTTCTGTTTCCATTACTTACAGAAATTATTTTATCCTTCAGCCAGTAAGCAAGTCAGGAAAAGGTAAAGAGGGAAGGAAGGAAAGAGAGAAGAAAATCTGCATGTCTACCATATGATTTTCAAAACAACACCAATCAATCTAGTTGTTTTTCCTGGCAATAAGGTATCAGCTGCACCTGTTTTGCTTTAAATGTTCATTTACTTACTTTGGATTTGTTACAGTTTGATCTTTGATGAATGTGAAGTAATTAGAAATGTTTCTGTCATAAGGCAGCCATCCATGGGTTCCAAGAACATAATTCATGCTTACTGTTACCTGAAAAAGAACAGATGAAGACAAAAATGAAATAAAAGATTAAATAAAGCAGCACAAAATAGCCAAATGCTCCCATGATATTAGCATTTATCACTTAAGGAATAATGTGGGATTCTGTACTTAAACAAAAAATTCATTCTTTTTTTAAGATTTTATTTTTAAGTAATCTCTACACCCAATGTGGGGCTCAAAACTCACAACCCTGAAATCATACGCTCTACCTTGAACCAACCAGGTGCCCTGCATAAAGTCTTAATAATAATAATTAATAAAGTCTTAAAATAGAAAAAGCTTTTTGTTTATTCTTATCTTTATTTTTAGTTTATCTCATAACTTATGGCAAGAAAAGTTGTCCAATGTATCTTTCTCTTTTTAAAAGATTTTATTTATTTATATGAGAGACAAAGAAAGAGGGAGAACACGAGCATGGGGAGGGGGCACAGGGAGAGGGACAAGTAGACCCCCTACTGAGTGGGGAGCCCAACATGAGGCTTGATCCGAGGACCATAAAATCATGACCTGAGCCAAAGTCAGATGCTTAACCAACTGAGCCACCCAAGTGCCCCTGTATCTTTCTTTAGTGAGATAGTTTTCCTCATTATTTCTCAAAGTTTACTAGATCTATTAGTTGGCAATCAGAAGAAATTAGAAGTCAAGTCTTATAAAAATATGACATATATAATTTAGAACATAAATAAGTAGAAGTTATGGCAAATTGTTAAGCTCTTTCTTCTTAGTGATAGTTACAGTGAATTTTTTAAAAATTTATTTGAGAGAGAGAGCAAGAGAGCGAGCAAGCAAGCACATACACGAGTGCAGGGAGGAAGGGCAGAGTGAAAGAGAGAATCCCAAGCTAACTCCCCCGCTGAGCATGGAGCCTGACGCAGGGTTTGATCTCACAACCCTGAAATTATGACCTGAGCCAAAATCAAGAGTCAGAGGCTTAACCAACTGAGCCAACAGATGCCCCTTACACTGAATATTCTTTTAAAAATGAAAATGAAAAGTTTTCCCCCCTTATTGATTATAAAACAGATTACCAAAAAAGAAATAAAGAGATACAAGTATTGAAGGTGAAAGTCACAAGAATTCTACCATTGAAAGGCACTTTTAAAAAGTATATCTTTCTAGACCTTTTTTTCTAAGTAAATATACAATATGCATAATTAGAAAAATAATCTTTACTGTTCCCTGTGCTATACTCTATTCTTATAATTTGTGCATGACAAAATGAGAATAAGACAAACCTAGGTTTGGTCCATGTGCCTGAGTCCCACATCTCTTACTTGCTAGCTCTATGACTTTGAGCAAATTGCTTCTGAATTTTAAGTTCTTATCTGTAGAAGGGAAATAATAATAGTGCCTATCTCACAGGACCATTAGGTAGATTAAATTATAAAATTCAAGTAAAGTATTCACTATGTCATGCGTGTATGCCTTAATCAGTTCTGTATTATTTCTCATTTTCATTCTTTTACTGGCTTATGCTATATTGTAATAGCTGATGCTATATCCTATTTTTCTTGTACAACATTTTCTGGTATTTTCACAATATTTATTATTCCAAATAAACTTCAGAATTGCAGTTAACTACCTGAACAATGCTATGAAACTAGAAGTCAACTTCAAGAAAAAAAAAATCTGGAAAGACCACAAATACTAAAGATTAAGTAGCATGCTCCTAAACAATGAATGGGTCAACCAGAAAATAAAGGAAGAAATAAAATACATGGAAACAACTGAAAATGAAAACATAATGTTCTAAAACTTTTAGGATGCAGCAAAAATGGTACTAAGAGGGAAGCACACAGCCAATAGAGGTTCACCTCAAGAAGCAAGGAGAATCTCAATCTAACCTTATACCTAAAGGAGCTAGAAAGAAGACAACAAAGAAGCCTAAAGTGAGCCGAAGGAATGAAATAAGAGATTAAAGCAGAAATAAATGATAAACTAAAAAAATAAGAACAGATCAATGAAACCAGGAGCTGGATATATGAAAAAAATAATACAACCAATACAACACCTCTAGCCAGACTAAATCGAAAAGATGGGTGCCTGGTGGCTCAATCAGTTTAATCTCCAACTCTTGATTTCGGCTCAGGCCATGATTTCAGGGTGGTGAAATCCAGCCCCAATCAGGACCCCCACTCAGTGGACAGTCAGCTGGAGATTCTCTCCCTCTTCCTCTATCCCCCCCTTGCTTGTTCTCTCTAAAATAAATAAATCTTTAAAAAAAGAGAGAGAGAAGGACCCAAATAAATAAAATCACAAATTTGAGAGGAGAAATAACCACCAACACCACAGAAATACAAATAACTATAAGAGAATATTATGAAAAACTATATGCCAACAAATTGCACAACCTGGAAGAAACAGATAAACTCCTAGAAACACAAATTGCCAAAGCTGAAATAGAAAGAATACAAAATTTGAACAGAGCAATAACAAGCACCAATTTAAAGGGATACATGTACCCTGATGTTTATAGCAGCATTACAACAATAGCAAATTTAGAAAACAAGCGTCCATCAATGATGAATGGGTCAAGAAGATGTGGGGTATGTTGTGTGTATGTGTATAAAATGGAATATTAGCTATAAAAAAGAATAAAATCTTGCTGTTTGCAATGACATGGATGGAGCTACAGAGTATTATGTTAAGCAAAATAAGTAAAAGAAAAACAAAAATCATATGATTTCACTCACATGTGGAATTTAAGAAACAAATGAGCAAAGGGAAAAGTGAGAAAGGTAGGCAAAGCAATAAACAGACTCTTAATTATAGATAACAAACTGATGGTTACCAGAAGGGAGGTGGGTGGGGAGATGGGTTTAATAGGTAATGGGGATTAAGGAATACACCTTTTGTAATGAGCACTGAGTGATGTAAGAAAGTGCTGAATCACTACATTGTGCTCCTGAAACTAATATTGCACTGTATGTTAACTAACTGGAATTTAAAACTTAAAAAATGAAAACTTAAAAAAATGAAAACAATTTCTGGTTCCAAAAACTGACCAAAAGCAAATAATAAATTGAGACACATTTATGAAAGAAAAAAAAATTACAGTTAAGTACTTGAAATAAAAGCTGTATAGCTGGAAGATACATCTTTTTAAAAAAAAGATTTATTTACTTTTAGAGAAAAGGAACATGAGCATGAAATGCGAGGGAGGGGAAGCGGGGGAGAGGGGGAGTGGGGGAGAGAGAAAGAAAGAAAGAGAAAGAGAAAGAGAGAAAGAGAGAGGATCTCAAGCAGACTCCATGCTGAGTGTGGAGCCCTATGCTGCTGGGTTCCATCTCACAACCCTGAGATCATGATCTGATACAGAACCAAGAGTTGAATGTTTAACTGACTGCATCACCCAGGAGCCCCTATAAAATACATTTTTATGTTTGATCAAGGTAATTCCATAAAAATCTTATTATTTTTTAAGAAGTCTTCAAAAAATTTATTTTTCTTGTTTTTGTAAATTGTAATGTATACAGATATAGATAGCAGTGTGGAAAAACTATAAATCAACTTACCAGTAACTCAGGACTGCCCTGAGACATAAAAGAACGAGACTGATTTTTAGGGACAATGGCCTTTATCAGTGGAACACCATCACTAATTCCCTATAAAATAAAAGACAAAGGCTTAGTGGCTGGTTCTGCTTATCTTTATTAAGTTATTGCAAACTTCTATTTCTTTGAATGTGAATGAACCCTATAATATAGCATTGTACTCTACCAAAATATATCATTTAGTCAAAATATAGAAAAGGAGAAGAATCACTATGGTGTACATTTGAAACTAATGTAACACTGTGTCAAATGTACTTTTAAAAAAAGTTAGGAAAATGTTAGGTTAAAAAATGTAGGAAAGGAACTGTATCATGTTTGGGTGGCATACCTGAAATTCCTAAAACCCATCATTTTCTTGTATTCTACTACTCTGCAGTAAAACAGAAATGCAGATTCCAAGCGGCGTCAACCACTTAAAATAGCCATGATTTAGGATCTTTCCTTTTCCCACGCCATACTGACACGAATATAAATTAGAAAATATAGACCACATAAGAGTATATTGCCCAAGTAAGTCAAATACAACAACTGGTTATATTTTTATAGAATTTCCTTTTGAGTTTCCTTTTGCAGATCTATTCCATTAACTGATGCAATCCTGGAATGCTAAAATGACAGGACCAGAAAATATAGTCCTCAGAAAATACCTTCATTATCTTATTACAACATGAAAGAGAAGAGTGATTTGAACTAAGTTTTTTGATGTAACAATATGTTCATAAATTATACCTAACATTTATTAAGTAAATTATAACCTAACATTATTGGGCTATTTGCCATTTATTAAGTAAATTATAACCTAACATTATTGGGCTATTTGCCAGGTTCTAAGATCCTTATATGAATTAAATAATGAATTATAAACCATATAAAGTTAGCACCTATCTTTTCACTCTGTGAATCAAGAGAAGAACAAACTACATTTGAACAAGCATAAATGCACATGGTGTTTGAAGAAATTCATTTATTAGGCCCTTGCTTTTACTGCTACCTCTGTTTTCTTCACCATTTTACCTAAGAAGAGATAACCTACAGAAAGGCTTTCTCTCTTCATATGAATGAGTGGGAAGTATCTTCTCTTATGATGATGAAAAAGGATCAACACATTATTAATAGTACCCAAGGTATCTATTGTGTTCTATATCCTGCTCCAGATACTCATCCTGGGGTAGCTACCCTGTGACATGATGAAAAAAAAATTCCTATGATACTGAATCTAAGAAACACATGATAATGATGCTCTAATGCAGAAATTGGCAAAGTTGGCCTGTGGTACAAAGTCCAGCCTACCACCTATTTTAGAGGCTGTGGGTAAGCTAAGAATGGATTTTATACTTTAAATGGTTATATTTTAAGTGGTTATATATGCATCTACATAACATATGTAATTCTGCCTTTTGACCACAAAGTCCAAAATATTTACTATCTGGCCCTTTAAGACAAATTTATCAACATCTATTGTATTGCATGAGAGTTACTGCTTGTTCCACACATTTCCAAATTATTCTCTTTTTTTAAAGATTTTATTTATTTATTCATGAGAGACACAGAGAAGCAGAGATACAGGCAGAGGGAGAAGCAGGCACCCCACAGGGAGCTCGATGTGGGACTCGATCCCTGGACCCGGGATCATGCCCTGGGCCAAAGGCAGACGCTCAATCGCTGAGCCACCCAGGCATCCCTCCAAATTATTCTTAATAACTTTTTATCATCACTTTTTCTTCTTGACAAGAATATTACGTCTTAACCAAATTCATTGATATAAATGCATTTCATATTCACCTTCTGAACCAAATTAATTCAATATGTAAATATTTGAATTTAAAGTACTCTTTCAATATAGCATTAACTATCTTGTTTTACTTGATTATTCTTTCTGATATTAGCAATTAACAATCTGACTTATTGAGCAGTATCTTATAAATGAGCAGACACTATAATTATGAGTTATTTTAACTCCCTCCACATATCATTTTAGCTGTCATAAAAAGCAATTTAAATCAAATAATTTATTCTTCCTTATCAGGAAAATGTGAAACAGAAGAAATCCAAGAGAAATAGTTGACTACCACTCAGCCAGCAAGCAAAATCTTCCAACACGATTGTTTCAAAAATCTAAGCATATTACTGAAACGTTATCTACTATTTTGGATTAAATATTATGACCCCCACCCCCCACTTTAGAGAATAAAAGAAACACAGATAGGTGTATAGAATACACAGAGGAAATGCTTTGATATTACCAAATTGGATATTACCTCTATAAAAAATGACTTGAGTTCAGAGAGGTGTTGAAATAGGTTTAAGGTTGAAGTGTCCGTTTTGGTCTGCCTTTGCACTGCTTCTTCTGCTGACAATCTAGGAGGATGTGGTTCCTTCAAATAAATTTTAAGAAAAAATAATTCTATAACTATATTAAGACATCTCTCACTGTATTCCTTCATACATACTGGGCTCTAGATACAATGGATTACATACCATGCAACTGTTGACAATTCTAGGCCATTGCTCAGATTACTCCCTCAGCAGAGTTCTTACCCCTATTCATTTCTAGAGAAACCCTACTCTTACTTTAAAGTTTTTCTTACTGACATCTGTCTTGAATTTCTAAGCCAGGATTAATTATTCTTTTATTATTTTCACCAGCACATTGCTTTGTTTAGTAATTTTTAGTACTTATTTCTCCCTATTGGAGTACGTAGTTGTTTATGGTCTATCTTGTCCAACGAGGCAATGAGTATCCTTTTTATTTAAGATTTTTTTAAAAGTAATCTCTACACCAGTGTAGGACTTGAACTCACACCCCTGAATCAAGAGTTGTACACTCCACTGACTGACCTAGCCAGGCACCCGCACCCTTAGGCAAAAAGTATCTTAAAATCAGAAAACAAGTCCTATTCATTTTTTAATTTTCAATACCTAGGATAGTATAGTAAGTATGATAGAGGCTTAATAAATATTTGGTAAAATTAAATGAATCATTCAAAAGTCAAAATTTATACAGGTGAATCCTTATTTCCTGAAATAAGATCAAATGTCAATACTATCAGAATCAAATTATAAATATTGCTGCAATAAAAAAAAAATATTGCTGCATTTGTTTTCAAATAAATTTTTCCCTAACTTTAAAAGTGTCAGCAACATAGAACAGTGTTACCTTTACAAATAACAATAGCAAATCAAATTAACATGCAAAAGGCATAATTAAAATGCAAAACAGAATTCCATCTAAAGAAGATTTTTCTACCTCCATCACAAATTAGGTTACAGAATATATGACAGCCATAGTACTTCAATATTTAGCTTTCAATCCATGTAAGTATTACTCACTTTATTTTTAATCAAAGTCTCACTGGGAATTAAGATGGCAGAGGGGTAGGGGGACCCTAGATTTGTCTCCTCCCTCAATACAACTACACAGTTATTATATCATTCAGCTAGATAGTTATCATATCATTCTGAGCAACCAAGAAATCAAGTGGAGGTCTGAGAAAACAAATGGTACAAGTCCACAAGTAGAAAAGCAACCATTGTTTGGAAGGTAGTAGGTGCAGAGACTTGAATCCAGTGTGATAGAACTGAGGATACAGTGGTGGGAAAGGAGCCTGCGTAAGGAGGCTACTGCAAAGTATTCTAAGCAGCTGAATGCAAAATCAGAAAGTACAGAAGACTGCTACAGCAGGGGATGTTCCTGGCTTAAATTAAAGGTGCTCAGGTGGTGAAGTAGGACAGAATCCCAGGTGTGACAGCGTGGCCTGAGGATCCTTGGGGTCACAAGAAGAATGAGTGGTGCCTAAGTGCAGCACAGCTCCCAGGTATAGGAGTGCAGAAGCCAGCAGACAACAGCAAGTCTAAGTGCCGGCTTTCTGCTCTATGTTGCTATAAACTGAGCCACTGCATTACCAAGTGACTGCTTTCCTGGGACAGGTCCCATAAAAGGCACAAGGATGGCAAGACCATCCTGGGAGGGGACAGCACAGATTCTGGCTGTGGGAGTCCCTCAACTTTGGAGTTTTGAAACTCAATCACGTGCCTGAGATAAAGAAGGCTGGACGTAAGCAGGGTGAACACAGATTCCTGATAACAAAGGGAGAGACAAAAATGATAGATTGCTTTCTGTGAGGCCTTACTGAAGAATAGGAAGGCATAATTTTCAATTCTGCGGCTAGAGAGCAGGGCACCACCATATTCTTCCCGGAATCATGGTGAGTCTTCAGGGAGCAAAAGAGCGCCACCCAGTGGAGCCTGGAGTCACTTACACCAAAACCTGCTCCCCTGTGCAATAGAGGCTCATTTGTACTAGAACAAGTCCACCCAAGAATCAGAACAAGGGGGCCACTCTCTCAGAACACCAGCACAAACAACTTGCTTGCACCAAGTCTACTGATCAAAGAGGACTGAAGAACTTCAGCTGTAGGGGAAAACAGTACCTAGCATTCTTTGTATTTTTATTCTTTAGTCTTTATTATTTTTTCAGTAATTTTATTTTTTCCAGTTACTTTAATTCTTTTTAAATTTTTATTTTAGTATTCTATACATATGTTTTATCTCTACTTCCCTTTCATTATATTTATGTATACATATATATTTTTTTTTCGTAAACATATTTTTTTTTTTGTTTTGCTTTTCTTGATTTTGGTACATAGTTTCTTTAAATAAGCACACTAAAACTAAAACACACCCAGGATTTAGTTTTTTTTCTGTTCTTTCTGTTGTTGTTATTGTTGTTTTTTCTCTTTCTTCCTTCTTTTCTTTTCTGGCAAAATGACAAGACAGAGAAATTCACCCCAAAAGAAAGAAAAAGAAGTCATACTCACAACCAGGTATATTCACTATAGGTATAAGATAGATATATGAACTAGAATTTAAAACAACAATTTTAAAGATACTAACTGGACTTGAAAAAAGCATAGAAGACACAAGAGAATCCCTTACTATAGTATAATGATAAAAGAACTAAAATGTAGTCAGGCCAAAATTAATGTGATAGCTGAGATACAGACTCAAGTGGATGCCATATAAACAACAGGAGGATTCCTGGGTGGCTCAGCGGTTTAGTGCCTGCCTTTAGCCCAGGGAGTGATCTGAAGTCCCAGGATCAAGTCCGGCATCGGGCTCCCTGCATGGAGCCTGCTTCTCTCTCTCTCTTTCTCTCTCTCTCTCTCTCTCTCTCTCTCTCTCTCTCTCTCTCTCTGTCTCTCATGAATAAATGAAAAAATCTTAAAAAAAAAAAAACAAGGATGACAGAGCAGAAGAGAATCAATGATACAGAATATAAAATTATAGAAAATAATGAAGCTGAAAAGAAGTGGGAAAGAAAACTATTAGATGACAAAGGTAGACTTAGGGAACTCAGTGATTCCAAAAAATAAAATAATATCTGTATTATAGGAATTCCAGAAGAATGGAAAAAAAGGGACAGAAGGTTTATTTGAACAAATTATAGCTGAGAACTTCCCTAATCTGAAGAAGGAAACAGGCATTCAAATTCAAGAGGCACAGAAATCACAAAAATACATCAACATCATGATATATTATATCATGAAACTTACAAATTACAACAATAAAGAAAAAATCCTGAAAGCAGCTCAGAACAAGAGGCCCTTAACCTATAAGGGTAGACACATTAAGGCTCGCAACAGACCTTTCCAGAGACCTGGCCTGTGAGAAAGAACTGGCCTGATATATTCAACAAGCCAAAGAGGAAAAATATGCAGCTAAGAATACTTTATCCAGCATTGCTGTCATTCAGAATAGAAGGAGAGAGTTTGCAAGACAAACAAAAACTAATGGAATTTGTGAACACTAAACCAACTCTGATTAAAGGGGGCTCTTTAAGCAGAAAGAGAGACCAAAAGTAACAAACACCAGAAAGGAAGAGAGAAAATCTACAGGAACAGTGACTTTACAGGTAATGCAATGGCACTAAATTAATATCTTTTAATAGTGACTTGTTGTAAATGGGCTAAATGCTCTAATCAAAAGACAAAGGGTATCAGAATGGATAAAAAACAAGACCAATCAATATGCTGCTTAAGAGGCTCATTTCAGATCCAAAAACACCTCCAGATTGAAAATGAAGGGGTGGAAAACCACTTGTCATGCTAATGGACAGCAAAAGAAAGCTGGGGTAACCATCCTTATGTCAGATAAATTAGATTTTAAACCAAAGACTGTAATAAGAAGTGAAGAAGGACACTATATCATAATAAAGGAGTCTATCCAACAAGAAGATCTAACATGTATAAATAGCTATGCCCCTAACATGGGAGCAGCCAAATACATAAATCAATTAATAACAAACTTATAGGAAATCACTGTCAATAATACAGTAACAGTAGGGAGTTTTAACACCCCCACTCACAGCAATGGACAGATCATCTAAGCAGAAGATCAACAAGGAAACAAGGGTATGAATGTCATACTGGATCAGAGGGACTTCATAGATACATACAGAGCATTCCATCCTTTTTTTAAAAAAATATTTTATTTATTTATTCATGAAAGACACAAAGAGAAGGGCAGAGACACAGGCAGAGGGAGAAGGGGGGAGCCTGATGTGGAACTCGATCCCAGGACCCTGGGACAATGACCTGAGCCGAAGGCAGATGCTCAACCACTGAGACACCCAGGTGTCCCCAGAGCATTCCAACCTAAAGCAGCAAAATACACATTCTTCTTAAGTGCACATAGAACATTCTCCAGAATAGATCACATACTGGGTCACAAATCAGGACTCTACTAGTACAAAAAAGACTGAGATCATACCATGCATATTTTCAGAACACAAAGCTATTAAGCTTGACGTCAACCACAAGAAAAAATTTGGAAGGACTACAAATACATGGAGGTTAAAGAACATCCTATGAAAGAATGAATGGGTCCACCAGTAAATTAAAGAAGAATTTTAAAAACTCATGGAAACGAATGTGAAAACACAACAGTTCAAAACCTTTGGGATACAGCAAAAGTGGTCCAGAGTGAAGAATATACCAAAATAGGCCTTCTTTAAGAAGCAATAAAAGTCTCAAATACACAGCCTAACCTTACACATAGAGGAGATGGAAAAAGAAGAGCAAATAAAGCCTAAATCCAGCACAAGAAGAAAAATAATACAGATGAAAGCAGAAATCAATGATACAGAAATAAAATATAGTGAAACAGATCAATGGAACTAGAAGCCGGTTCTTTGAAAGAATTAATAAGATTGATAACCCTTAGCCAGCCTTATTAAAAAGAAAAGAAAAAGGACCCAAATAAAAATAAATCATGAATGAATTAGGAGAGATCACAACCAACATCAAAGAAATACAAACAATTATAAGAGAATATTATGAGCAACTATATATGCCAACAAATTAGGCAATCTGAGATTTGGATAAATTCCTAGGAACATACGAACTACCAAAACTGAAATAGGAGGAAATAGAAAGCATGAACTAGGGACGCCTGGGTGGCTTAGGGGTTGAGTGGCTGCTTTCAGCTTAGGGGGTGATCCTGGAATCCTGGGATCAGGTCCCGCATCAGGCTCCCCCTGCATGGAGCCTGCTTCTCCCTCTGCCTATGTCTCTGCCTTTCCTCTCTCTCTGTCTCTCATGAATAAATAAATAAAATCTTAAAGAGGAAGGAAGGGAGGGAGGGAGGGAGGGAGGGAGGGAGGGAGGGAGGGAGGGAGGGAGGGAGGAAGGAAGGAAGGAGTAACACCAAACCAGCAAGGAAATTGCAGCAGTAATCAATAATCTCCCAACAATCAAGGGCCAGATGACTTCCCAGGGGAATTCTATCAAACATTTAAAGAATTAATACCTATTCCCTCTGAAACTTCCAAGTAATAGAAATGCAAAGAAAATGTCTAAACTTATTCTATGAGGTCAGCATTATCTTGGTCCCCAAACCAGAAATAGACCCCATTAAAAAGGAGAACTACAGGCCAATATTCCTGACAAACATGGATGCAAACATTTTCACCAAGAAACTAGCCAACAGGATCCAACAGTACATTAAGAGGATTATTCACCATGACGAAATGGGATTTATTTTTGGACTGCACAGTGGCTCAACATCTGTAAATCAATCAACATGATACACTACAATAATAAAAGAAAGTCAAAGAACCATATGACCCTCTCATTAAATGCACAAAAAACATTTGACAAAAATATATATCCCTCAATAATGTAGGAATAAAGGGGACACACTCAACATCACAAAGACCCTATATCAAATACTCATGGTGACTATCATCCTCAATGAGGAAAAACTGAGAACTTTTCTCCTAAGTTCAGGAACATGACAGGGATTATCCTCTCTCATCACTGTTGACAAACATAGTACTGGAAGTCCTAGCCTCAGCAATTAGACAATAAAAAAAAAAGTATCTAAATTGGTAAAGAAGAAGTGAACTTTCACTATTTGCAGATGACATGATACTCTATGTAGAAAACCCATGAGACTCCACCAAAAATTGCTAGACACCTACAGGATTTCAGCAAAGTAGCAGGATATAAAATCAACATACAGAAGTCTGTTGCATTTCTATGCATTAACAATGAAGCAGCAGAAAGAGAAATCAAGGAATCAATCCTGTTTACAATTGCACCAAAAACCATAAGATACCATGGAATAAAACCTAACGAAAGGGTTAAAAGATCTGTACCATGAAAACTATAGAATGCTCATGAAAGAAGTTTAGGGAAACACAAAGAAATGGAAAAACATTCCATGCTCATGGATTGGAAGAACAAATATTGTTAAAATGTCTATGCTACCCAAAGCACTCTAGACGTTCAATGCAACAATCCCTACCAAAATGCCATCAGCATTTTTCAGAGCTGGAAAAAACTATTCTAAAATGTGTATGGAACCAGAAAAGGCTCTGAATAGCTAAAGGAATGTTGAAAACCAAAGCTGGAGGCATCCCAAGTCTGGACTTCAAGTCCTGTTACCAAGATGTAATCATCCAGACAGTATGGTACTGGCACAAAAATAAATACACAGATCAAGGGAACAGAATAGAGAACCCAGAAATGGACCCTCAACTCCATGGTCAACTAGTATCTGATGAAGCAGGAAAGAAAACCCAACGGAAAAAAGAAAGTCTCTTCAACAAATGGTGTTGGGTAAATTGGACAGCCACATGCAGAAGAATGAAACTGGACGATTTTCTTACACCATACACAAAAACAGACTCAAAATAGATGAACGACCTAAATGTGAAACAGGAATCCATCAAAAATCCTATAGGAGAACACAGGCAACAACCTCTTTAACCTCGGCCACACCAACTTCTTGCTGGACACGTCTCTAGAGCCAAGAGAAACAGGCAAAAACGAACTACTGGGACTTCATCAAGATAAAAAGGTTTTGCACAGCCAAGGAAACAGTCGAAAAAAAACAAAGACAACCGACAGAATGGAAGAAGATAATAGCAAATGACACATCAGATAAAGGGCTAGTATCCAAGATCTATCAAGAACTTATCAAACTCAACACCCAAAGAACAAATATTCCAATCAAGAAATGGCCAAAAGATATGAACAGACCTTTCTCCAAAGGAGACATACAAATGGCCAACAGATACATGAAAAAAATGCTCAACGTCACTCGGTATCAGGGGAATTCAAATCAAAACCACAATGAGATACCACCTCACCCCAGTCAGAATGGCCAAAATTAACAAGTCAGGAAATGACAGATGTTGGTGAGGATGTGGAGAAAGAGGAACTCTCTTACACTGTTGGTGGGAATGGAAGATGGTGCAGTCCCTCTGGAAGACAGTATGGAGGTTCCTCAAAAAGTTGAAAACAGACCTATTCTATGACGCAGCGATTACACTACTAGGTATTGATTGCAAAGACACAAATGTAGTGATCTGAAGGGGCACGTGCACCCCGATGTTTATAGCAGCAATGTTCACAATAACCAGACTACGGAAAGAGCCCAGATGTCCACTGACAGATGAATGGATAAAGAAGATGTGGTGTGCGTGCACACACGGGCGCACACACACACACACACACACAGGAATATTATTCAGCCATCAAAAAGAATGAAATTTTGCCATTTGTAAGGACATGGATGGAACTTTTTTTTTTAAAGATTTTATCTATTTATTCATGAGAGACAGAGAGAAAGAGAGAGAGGCAGAGATACAGGCAGAAAGAGAATGGATGGAACTTAGAGGGTGTTATGCAAAGTATGTAAGTCAGAGAAAGACAAATATCTTATCGTTTCACTCAAATGTGGAATTTAAGAAACAAAACAGATGAACATAGGGGAAAGAAAGGGAAAAGAAAATAACAAAAACTGGGGATCCCTGGGTGGTGCAGTGGTTTGGCGCCTGCCTTTGGCCCGGGGCGCAATCCTGGAGACCCGGGATCGAATCCCACATCGGGCTCCCGGTGCATGGAGTCTGCTTCTCCCTCTGCCTATGTCTCTGCCTCTCTCTCTCTCTCTCTCTCTCTCTCTGTGACTATCATAAATAAATAAAAATTTTTTAAAAAAAAACCTCTTTATATATATATATATATATATATATATATATATATATATATAAAGAAAATAACAAAAACTGAGTGGGTGGCAAACCATAAGAGACTCTTAATCATAAACAAACTGAGGAATGCTGGTGGGGAGTTGGGGGGGAGGTGGGGTAACTGGGTGATGGGCATTAAAGGGCAATTGACATAATGAACACTGGGTGTATATGCAACAGAATTCGGTAAATTCTACCCCTGAAATTAATAATACACTGTACATTAACTAAAATGAATTTAAAGAAAAAATTAAGGAAAAATCAAAGGCTAACTTTTCTGTTATTTTTTATGGTGGTAAAAACTAATTAGCTCTACTTTCATGAAAAAAAGAAAAGTAAGCCAGTGCAAAAATATTATAGGATCTATTTCAAAGCTCAGGGAAGTTTTCTGTTACTTTTGCATTCCCAGCAGACAGGGATAAAGCATTGGTTTTAAATATGACTATTCTGTAAAAAAATAAATGTTGGAGGCTTCAAATAGAGTCTGCTAAGGAAAAGTAGCAATTATAAAACTTAGTCTGATAACTGAATTAAGAAAAGTACAACAGATTTATAAGCCAGAATTTAGATACAGTCTTGCTGTGTATCTCTTTTGCTCCACAGCTGTGGAGATTTCAATTCACAAATATCTACTGCACATATACTACATGCAAGAAAGATATAAAATGATTAAGAAAAGGCTGCTTGCCTGTAATATATTTATAATAAAGAGACAAATGCACAAATATACAACTAGGGCAGAAAATGTCACAATTAGGATATAAATAACAGCTTATAAAACATAGAAAGTGATCTAGTTCAATAAATGAGATTATAGCTATTAATTCAGAGGAGACAAGGCATGATAGAAATACTTCTGAGTTAGATAGTCATGCATCCAAATCCTGGTTCCAGTCACATTTTAGTTGTTTAAACAAAATAAAGTGATTGGCTGAGTAAATATTAACTTCTCTGTGACTGAAGTTATTGATTGAATATCTGGATTTTGACCACAATATTATGTTATTTCAAAATATGAACAATCATTTAAACCTATTTACTTTTTAAGTGACAGTATAATTTTTCTGAAATTCTAGATAATTCTGAGAGATACAGTTTTAAATCATTAAAATTCAACACTTCATATGTAATCAATAATAATTTTTGGTAATCAATAGCTTTAATGATTTACCTTTAGCAGCTGACAAGGTGTTTGCCCAAAATTATTAATCATCCCCTCTAAAGCTTTTCTTTCTTTCTCATCTGTTAAGGCATCCAGATCCACAGCTCCTAAAACAAGGAGAAGCACTCAACTCACTATGTAGTGAAACAAATCAGCAAGCCACACAACTGATTAATATACTGGAGACTGAGTAGTATATTTTCAATAAAATACCATTCTTTTCTTCATTTTTGTAAGAATATTGTAAGAGAGGCTTTTTTTATTTTTTAAAAGATTTTATTTATTTATTTGAGAGCCACAGAGTGCATTTGAACACAAGCAGGGGGAGGAACAGAGGGAGAAACACAAGTATACTCCATGCTGGTCATGGAGTCCGATTCAGGGAAAATCCCATGAGTCTGAGACGAAATCAAGAGTCAGATGCTTAATTGAGCCACAAACTGCCTCACAGTAGAACTAATTATTTTCTTCATGATAATCAAACTGAAACAAGTATAATAACCACACAAAATGCTTCTATAAGTTACTGCTTATCTAACAAATACTGGGAAAGATGATATTCTGGTTAACTGATTATACCCAACTGTACTTGATATGGTTAGTAAGTAGCCAAACTAGGTAAGTCTGATTTCAAAGTCTAAGTTCATAACCATCAAACATACTACCTCTCTATTATCAAATGAATATGCCAAAGCAAAAACAAGCTTGTCTATTTACCAAAAGGCATGGGTACTCTGTTCAAATTCATCCAACTTCACACTATTCACCATCTTTACTATTGAAGGATTAGAAAAGAAAAAAACTACTTCTTAAGGCTTCTTAAGGCTTCCTTCAAGAAATGTTCTTGATCCTGAGCTAAACATTAGAATGATGTCATCTTATTTTATCATTAGAAGAGTTTGTTATTTATAATACTTAAGATCTTCTTTTAAAGTCTGTTAAGAATTCAACACTGAATACTTATAATAGGACTGACTGAATAGGACACTTAGGGCTAGAAAGCAAAACCTTTTATGTCACCAATAACTGACATTTATAATTAGATTTGCATACATAACATTTTTTTGGATCCCCTGTATCTATTTCACTCCTCCCTGTACTTACCTCCCCTCTGGCAACCACCAGTTTATTTTCCATATTTAAGAGTAGTCTTTCAGTCTCCTTTCTCCTTTGTTCATTTTTTAAAAAACTTATTTACATCATTCTTAAGTTCTAATTTATTTTTTCTTTAAGTTTTATTTAAATTCCAGTTAGTTAACATACAGTGTAATATTAGTTTCAGGTGTACAACATAATAATTCATCAATTCCATACATCACCCATCCTCATCAGGGAAAGTGTACTCCTTAATCCCTATCATCTATTTGGCTCATCCTCTACTCTCCTCTCTTCTGGCAACCATCAGTTTGTTCTCTATGGGTAAGAGCCTGTTTCCTGGTTTGTCTTTCTTTTTGCCCCTTTGCTCATTTGTTTTGTTTTGTTTCTTAAATTCCACATATAAGTGAAATCATCTGGTATTTTTCTTTCTCTAACTTATTTCTCTTAGCATTATACCCCTTGTCCATCTATGTTGTTACAAATGGCAAGATCACATTCTTTTTTATAGCTGAGTAATGTTCCATGGTGAATGTGTGTGTGTGTATATATTATATATATATGTATATATATACATACATACATACATACATACAGATAGATATAGAGAGAGGGGAGGAGGAGAGAGCGAGCACACACATCTTTATCCATTCATCTATCAGTGGACACTGGTTGCCTCCATATGTTGGCTACTTATTACTGGATCATAGCATACTTCTACTTTTAATTTTCTGAAGAACCTCCATACTGTTTCTTGCAATGGCTGCACTAGTTTGCAATCCTAACAGTGCACAAGGGTTCTTTTTTCTCCATATCCCTGCTAACATTTGTTCTTAGGTTTTTTATTTTAGCTACTCTGACAGATTTAAGGTGATTTCTCACTGTGCTTTTGATTTACATTTCCCTGATGATAAGTGATGCTGAGTATCTTTTCATGTGTCTGTTGGCCGTCTGTATGTCTTCTTTGGAAAAATGTTCAGGTCCTCTGCCCATTTTTAAAATTGATTATTTGATTTTTGGTGTTGAGATGTATAAATTCTTTATATAATTTGCATATTGAATATACCACTTGCAAATATCTTCTCCCATTGAGTACGTTGCCTTTTTGTTTTGTCGACGGTTTCCTTCAGTGTGCAAAGTGAAGATTTGCATAGACACTTTTAACTACTACTTAAAAAAAAACACACATCAATCTCTTAATATTTCAAATCGAAGAGATCATTAAAACTATTTCTAAATGTAGTCTTTCTCATGTCCAAAATACCATATATGAACATCTATTAAATGATACTTTCTATCAACGGAATGCAAGATAAAAAGTTTATAGGCTTATACCTTCATAACTACAGTAATAGAAAACATTGAGTGCTTCCACTGCAGCTGGCCCCCTCTGTTTGTAGCCAAAAATCAGATCTATCCATTCATGAAGATGAGCAGAAACATATTCAGACTCCTAGAAAAAGAACAAATAATACAGAGATACCTTCCAACTACAATGTAAATATGGGTCCTTCAAAAAAGTAAGAGATAATTAAGCATTTCCAAACATAAATCTTACCACTGTAAATAAAATTATCTCAAAATCATGTTAAACATTTAATCAGTATCTACCACATATTTTATATATATTTTATCTAGTATAATGTAGAAATATTTATTAATATTTAATAATACGCACACACCTCTTAATGAATGGGTGAAGAAAATAACTCAAGTATTCTAATAGTCTAAATATCAGCAACAAAAAACTTAATGATGGCTATGGATATATCTTTGCTATGAAATTTCCATTGAAATAGCCATCTAGAACTTCAAAGAAACAAACAGTTGAGGTTGATTAAAGGTGGCTGAAAATCACTCCCTCCAATGTACCCAATCTAACACCCACTAAGAAAGTGGACTGTGTGGCAGAGGTTTAAAGGACCTCCTGGAGCCTGTTAATGATGGTTTGAAAGACAGTATGGAAATTGTTACTGGAGACAGAAGAAAAGGGGTCCATGTTTAGTTCCATCAAAGATAGAAAGAGTACCTAATCAACTCATGAATCTAGTGACAGATTTTTTTTTTTTTAGTTTTAATTCCAGTTAGTTAATACACAGTGTAATATTAGATTCTGGTATACAACAGAATGATTCGACATTTCCGTACAATGGGAAGGGGGAATGGGTTAAATAGGTAATGGGGATTAAGGAGTGCATTTGTTGTGATGAGCACCTGGGTGTTGTTTGGGGATGGAGATTTCCATGGCAATTGGTTCTTTTCTTTTCTTTCTTTCTAATTGGTTCCTTTAGCTGCCTATGATGAAGTGTGGAAGAGTAAGATGAATTTAAAAAAAGAACTATTCAGGTTTTAAATATAACTGAAAAAATATAAAGGAGCAGGTCTTGCTGAGTTCCAAATAAAATTATTCTCATTTCCAGGATACTAGAGAGCAAAGACTCTCTAAATGAGAAATGGTTAAAGTCAATGATTAAATCAGAATGTCATCAGTAAAATATGAAATACCCATGCAAGCACTTTTTTTTTAATATAAAAGAAAAAAAAAATGACTCAAAGCAGGAAGCTAAGAGCCAAAGGGTAAAACAAAATAGCCATGGAGAACTCTGGGATAGCACTGGGCCCTGATAAAGGAACTGAAACCATATCTCTGCTAGAATTCTGAATTGTTTTAAACCAGTTGCTGCTAGGTACCTCTTGTTTTTCTGTCCCTTACCTTTTCAAATTAAATTCTATGCCCAAGGTAAGGCTCAAACTCATGACCCTGAGATCAAGAGTTGCATACTCTATGGACTGAGCTAGCCAGGCACCTTTTTTAATCTCTCTTTTGAATGAGAGTTATCTATTATAATTCTCCTGTCTTTGTCACACCACTGTTGTTATGTGGGGACAGATAACCTGTTTCTCTACTCCACAGTCTTCAGATGCAAGAGCAGACAAACCTGAGTAGTTTTGTGCACACATGGATTTTATTTAGATGACTGACAAAATTCTGGACTTCAGACCTCATGCCTTAATGTCGGGATCAGCAAACTACTTATTGCTTGTGGGCCAAATTTTACTACCTCTAGATTTGTAGAGTAGTACAACAAAGCCATATCCATTTTCTTCTGCATTACAGTGGCAAAATTTTGACACAGACCTTAAAGCCAGCAAAAATATTTACTGATCCTTTATAGAAAAAGTTTGCAGATTCCTAACTTAAAGGTTGCTGACATGAGACTTTGGGAGGATCTTGAGAGACAGGAGAAAGTATGTACATTTTGCATGTAGGAGAAATGCAAATAATTTGCAGTCAGAGGGCAGACTGTGGTGGATTAAAGTTGGTTGAGAACTCTTTTTCCCTCCCACTGCTGAGAGATGGTGTTTACACCTTCCCTCCTCTTCAATCTACACTGATGCTATTACTGTTTGACTCTGACAAGGTGACAGAAATGCTGTGACCATTCACAGCCTTAAGCCTTAAGAAAGCATGGAAGCTTCCAATTTTGTACTCCTTCCTGAGCTCTAGACATGTCTGGGTACCTAGCTAGAGAGGCCACAAGAAGAGGAGATATCCTGAGAATACATGGAAAGGGAGAAAAGCCCAGTATCCCAGTGTCTCAATGCAGCCTCCAGATGACTCCAATCTCAGCTGCTATGACTGCCAAGGGCATGAGAACCTCAAGAAGGTGAGAATTGCTCAGCTTAGACCAGTTTACTCAGAACTGTGAGAGATAATAATATGGCTAAATTTTAAGTTACTGAATTTTGGGTAGTTTATTGCACAGAAATATATAACTGAAACATGGGCTTCTAACATAGTAATATAAGGAACATGTATTCCTAAAATCCTGGACCCCTACTTCATGTCATAGATAATACAGAGGAATGCATCTGGGAAGTTCCTGGCTAGCTAATAAGTAAAAGATTATTTTTCAGAGTTAATTTTTTTCAATTTCTTATTCATGCATAGTGTTACTGATTACAAATATTATGATCTAATCCTGAATTTTGTAACCTGACATACTATATACTAATGACAGGGAATGTTTCCAAGTATTGGCCTAATTAATTAGTTTCAGACTCTGAAACATTTCAATTTAGATAGAGAGCTTAGTGGGGGGAAATGCATCGTTTACAAAAAAGACACGATAGCAATGTTTATTACTCTATTCCTTTAATTCCAAACTGAAAATTCAGCTAAAAACTAATATTTTTTAAAAGTGGAATTTAGGATTTAGCAGTCATATTAAAAAACAATTGAAATCCTTGAGAGAAAATATAAATGCACTCATCCTTGTTAGATTTTTAAAATATTTTATTTATTTATTTATTTATTTATTTATTTATTTATTTATTTATTTGAGAGATAGAGGGAGGGGGGAGGGGGGAGGGGGAGAGAGAGAGAGAGAAAGAGCAAGAGAGAGAGAGAGAACAAGAGAGATGTACATAAGCACAAGCCAAGGGAGGAGAAAAGGGAGAGGGAAAGAGAGAATCTCAAGCTGACTCCACACTAAGTACGGAGCCTGACAAGTGGCTCGATCCTAGGACCCTAATATCACGACCTGAGCTGAAGTCAAGAGTTGGACATTTCACCGACTGAGCCACCTAGGTGCCCCTCATTCTTGTTAGGCTTGAAACAAATGTGGGAACTGCAAAACACCAAACAACACCAGCTTGGTGGTTGGAATAGTTTAAAATACAATAGGCAGTTATAGTAAAGACCTGAATATATATATTATGTATATAATATATAATAAATAAATATATACTATATATGTAATATAAATAAATATATCCATGGAACTACACTATATTTTTACTCTACCAAAGATTTATAACCCCGAAATAAATTACCATATTATACTCTCTACAACAGTATATATAACAGATAACAAATAAATCTAGAAAAATAATTAATAGCCAGATATTCTTTAGTCCATTCTCTAGAAAACACATGCATCTCAGTCTTAGTAATGCAATAACTAAACACAAAAATCTTACCAGAGCTTTCCTATGTTTATAGATGAAATCTTCAGCTGATTTAGCCCATTTGGGGAGAATGACATCATTTACTACTTCTTTGGAAACTTGGAGACAACCCAAGTTAAATTCTAAGATAAGTAAAGGATAAATGTGTCAAATCATTTTAGATTTAAATAAATCACGTAAAACAAATATAAGGGCACAGTCCTTAGCCAAATTGAGGCTTCTCTTCTCCTCTAATTAAGAAGGAATCAAGTTCCCTTCTTATTCTAAATTTACTGAACAGGTAAAAATAATTACATTGAAATGTATTTTATCAGTTGATTTAAAAAGTAAATGAGTATAAAACAGTTTTAAATTGGTTATTACGAAGTAAATCAGATTAATAATTGATTTTTGGTTGGGAAGTCCGGGATACCATAGACATGACCTAAACTGATTTCTAAACAATAATGCAATATTCAATATTCTTCTTGCATTAAAAATAATATAGTCCCTCTAATAGTTAATTTACAAAATACAGCTCCTTATTGCTTTTTGGTGTAACTTATACTGTTATCTATTTTTTATTAAGATTTTATTTATTTATTCATGAGAGACACAGAGAGAAAGTCAGAGATAGGCAGAGGGAGAAGCAGGCTCCATGCAGGGAGCCTGATGTGGGACTTGATCCTGGGACCGCAGGATCATGACCCAAGCAGAAGGCAGATGCTCAACCACTGAACCACCCAGGCGTCCCTGTATAACTTATATTTTAAATTGACGCAATAGAAGTGTTGTGTTTGTCATAAGGAAAAAAATATATTTGTATACCACTATTCTAAGTAGATACTGACATCATAAAGATTTGCTCATATAGTTAAAATACAGTAGTTTGACAAAATTGTCCCCAAAATGAGGTTTTCTGTTTTTATAGTGGGAAAAAGTGTTAACAAAAAAGACCTTCAAAAAAGAAGCTGCCTTAAAATATCAGTGTGTCCCAAAACTGGAGAGAGGTTTCAATGTCATAGAATGACAGGATGCATAGGGCCTGTGGCTTTGCTAACTCAACTACTGTGTAACAGACATAATTGCCAACCCACTAGCCATCCCTCCTTATTTGGTAACAGAACTTTGATTTTATTCAAGTACCCATCCTTGTGCTTTATTTTATGTAGCCTGACTGATGTAGGAATAATGAGGAAAGGCTATAAGAAAGGATTTCTTACTTTTAAGAAATGACACAAAGAATTAACAACCCACTTCTAAGACACTGTTGTATCTGCCTATGAAGTCTAGAAATGCTTACAAGTCATTTTCTAACCATGAGAGGGACTAGCCAAGGACAAAGCCGAAACACTTAGAACAGCAGAATGAAAATACAGAAAGAACTAGGTTTTGATGATTTTGTTAAGCTACTTGAATACTACCATACCTTGTAGTTTGCACTGTGGAAAATACTAAAATTTTCTTGCTTGTACAATTTTGAGGTTTTACTAATATTTGTTTTCCTAATTAATATTAATATTTGATGACATTCTTAATGTAATTTGCTTTCTCCCACCTACCTCATTTTTTTTTTAAGATTTTATTTATTTATTCATGAGAGACACAGAGCAGGCAGAGGGAGAAGCAGGCTCCATGCAGAGAGCCCGACGTGGGACTCGATCCTGGGTCTCCAGGGTGAGGCCCTGGACTGAAGGCGGCACCAAACCGCTGAGCCACCCAGGCCGCCCGCACCTACCTCATTTCAAACAAAGAAGCAACATACAGTCAGAAAAGGAAGCCAGTAGGACTGTATTGAGACAACAACTTGCTCTAGCGAACATCAGAAATTGTCAAGCTAAGAGTATCTTTGGCATCCAAATTTAATCTGCTCATCCCTCCTCGCCCAGATACCCTGCTTTGGAGGCTCCAGTCCTATGGCTCAGAGTCCATCAATAGATTCATTTGATTTTCTGAAAGTGACCAATTTTAATTACCTCACTTTGAGAAATCAATGCCCTGCCTCTATCAGTGTGTTCCAGAGTGCATGATCAGAGCACACAAAGCCCTGGATATACTCTCCCTAGTGTAGCAAACAACTCTACTGAAGAAGCAAAGGGTCAAACATTAACATTATATAGTAGAGGAGGAAAAAGAAGCTGATAATGGTCCTCTGACACTAATTTCCCTTAAGAACACCAATAACAATCTTGCCATTTTTATTGTGCTTAAAAATAAATCCAAAAATACTTCCTAGAGGAGTATTTGGATATTTTTAAAGACTGTATTTGGCTCCATAATTCTCTACTTCAAAAACATAATATAATTTTTCAAATATTGTGGTAACTTATACTCTGTCATTATTTTCAATTTGCCTCTTCTCTTCTGCTCTAAACCAGGAGCCAGTGAACTTTTTCTATAAAGTATCAAAGAATAAATATTTTTCACTTTATGAGCCTCATGGTCTCTACTGCAATCACTCAAATATGATGTTAAGCTAAGAAAACAGCCACAGTCTATATGTAGATGAATTGGCTTGGCTGTGTTCCAACAAAACACAACAAATAACTTTGCCCTGTAGATATGACCCACAGACCTATAGTCTGCAAACTGTTGGTCTAAATCCTCATCTTACCTAACTCAAACACTTTTGTTTTTCTTTCCTACTTCTAACTCAAACACAGCCTAAGTGGCTAAGCTATATGGCTGAAATAGCATATGGCCATCTTTGCTTTCTGGTAAACAGTGTACTCTGATAAATTCTCTAACCAATTCAAATTTGACTCACTTATCATCATTCACCAGAGCATAGCATTTTACTGGAAAAACGCCAGACTACATCTGGCCATCAGTCAAACCCTATTGAATGAATACACAGATACAATGAACCTTAAATACTATAGAATATCACAAAAATGTCCTGGAAGGTATTTTTCAGGATCCTTCACTGGGACCTGTTGAATCAGATTTTTAATCTCTTATTTCTTACGATTTTGATTTTCCAAAAACTCTGGGAAATAGAAGAATTCAGGAATCAGTTCCTTCACATCATATGGGTTGTCCATGAGTGCCTGCCAGGTGGCAGGAATGGAATGGAACTGTCGATCTGCACAGTCAAACCTGCATGTGGAGATTAATAGAGAATAGTGAGTAACAACAGCCAGGAAACAAGTCTTACACTTCCCTTCAGATTTCCTAATGATTAGAGCTTCTTTTTCAATCATCTTTCTCTTGATATTTGATAACACAATTTGTTTTCTTTCTTATTATAATCTATCTTTCAAATTTTGTTGCTAGAACTAAATACTGTAATTTTAATCACTAATATTTTAGTTAAAAGAGCTGAAAAACCAATCATACTGGAGAAAATATCCAGATTAAACTAAATTTAAACCTAAGGAAAGGCCTAATTTTTGCTGAGTAAAATTCAATATAGAGAGTGAATAAAAATTATTCAGATATTTTAGAATGACAGAGTTTAAATATTACTATTAATATACATGATTAACAGATCCAAGGAATGCTGCTGATAATCTCTCTATATAAATATCCTTGCAAACTCTTCTGCTAAAAACCAGTGGGTGAGTTAGGGAAATAGTTCTGTGGCTAAAGCTTTTATATTTTACTTGTATGTACTATTATTTTAAGTTTCATCACAGGCCTATGGTAGTTGAAAGAAGCGCAAGTAGCCAGTTGCAATTTTATTATACTGTTCTGATATATTCACAAAAAGCATAAACCCCTCTGTTTCATCTCCTTTGATATTGTTTTCTTGGATTTAGTTAATGACTTACTAAATGACGCTGATGACTATTTTGATGCTTTTTATGCCTACCAATCTTGGTTTGAGGTGAAGCTGAACTTAGCAGAACTCTGAATTTAATTACCGTTAGTGAGTGGGTCATTAATAAAGTCTACTGATGGTGTATCCAAATTCAAGGAGACACAATCTTAATGGCAAGATTTTTTGTTTGGGTGAGGGAGAACAGCTTTACTGAGATATAATTTACATATAACTCACAATTCAATGGTTTTTCAGTTTATTCATGAGTTGTGCAATAATCACCAGTCAATTTTAGAACATTTTCGTCACTCCAAAAAGAAACCCTGTAGCTATGAGCAGTCACTCTCCATTCACCCTATCTCCACTCTCTGGCAACTACTAATCTATTTTCTGTCTCTATGCATTTGCCTATGTGGGACGCTTCATGTAAATCATACAACATGTGGCTTATGTCTGATTACATTTACATACCGTTTGTGAGAATCATCTGTGTCATAGCATGTATCTTTTATTCCTTTTATCTACTTACTGCCAAATAATATTCCATTGTACAGATATACCACATTTTATCACCTGACAGAAATCTGGGTGGTTTTTACTTTTTGACTATTACAAATAATGCTGCTATGTACACTTGTATCAAGTTTTTGTGAGACCATATGTGTTCAATTATTTTGAACGTATAGTTAGGAGTGGAATTACTAGGTCATATAATAATTCTATATTTAACCCTTTGAAGAACTGCCAGACTGTTCCACAGAGGCTGAATCATTTTTTATTTCCACAGGCAGTACATAAGGTTTCCGACTTCCCAATATGTACGTCAACACTAGGTATTATCTATCTTTTATTATAGCCATCCTTATAGGTGTGAAGAGGTTTCTCAATTTGCTTTTGATTTGAATTTCCCTGGTGACAATGATACTGAGCATCTTTTCATATGTTTCTTGGACATCTGTACATCTTCTTTGGAGAAATGTCCATTCAGTTCCTTTGTTCAGTTTTTAATTGGGTCATTGCCTGTTTATTATCGCATTGTAAGGATTACTGTGTTGTAGACTTCTAAATACAAGTCCCTGGGGCAGCCTGAGTGGCTCAGCGGTTTAGCGCCAACTTCAGCCCAGGTTGTGATCCTGGAGACCCGGGATCGAGTCCCACGTCAGGCTCCCTGCATGGAGCCTGCTTCTCCCTCTGCCTGTGTCTCTGCCTCCCTCTCTCTCATGAATGAATAAATAAGATCTTTAGGGATCCCTGGGTGGCACAGCGGTTTAGCGCCTGCCTTTGGCCCAGGGCACGATCCTGGAGACCCGGGATCAAATCCCACGTCGGGTTCCCGGTGCATGGAGCCTGCTTCTCCCTCTGCCTATGTCTCTGCCTCTCTCTCTCTCTCTCTTTGTGACTATCATAAATAAATTAAAAAAAAATTACAAAAAAAATAAAAATAAAATAAAATAAAATCTTTAAATAAACAAATAAGTACAAGTCCCTTATTAGATATATAACCTAAAAATATCTTCTCCCCCTGAAAGGGTTGTCCCTTTCCCTTCTTGATGGTGTCTTCTGAAGCACAGAATCTATTTCTAAAGCTCTATAATCAAATCATGTATTGCAATCAAATCATTTATTGTTAAAATCATTAAAAGCTGAAAAGACCCAGTTAATATTTTAACGAGAGGAAAATTACCTGCTATCATGTAAATGTAACATTTGGAGATGGTTAATGTGATCACCAGGACAGAGTTTCTTCTTAAAAGCTAAGCTAAGGCTTATTGTGTTAAAGAGTAAAGGCTAATTTTGAGAGATAAAAACTATATGCAAAGAGAGTACAATAGATAATGTTTATACAGCTCAGCTGGTACATAGGAAAGGCGAAATAGTAATGTTAAAGAATAGGACAGCATAGAGATAACATGTGAATAAGTAGGGAGCTACAGGGAGGATACACTAGAAAACGAAAGATTCACAAAGAAGTTTATTTCTTTAGGATTATTAGGAAAGCATGAAACATAGTAAGTTATAACTCTGACAGGTAATATGATAATACAATAGCATTTCAGACCAATGTGGGTTATTGCTAATTATGTAAGAGCCCCTCATCTGTCCTCCTTTTTATTTTTTAATAAATATTTTAAAGAGGCATTGGTTACGTCTAAATCTCTGACAGACATTCTGGATCTCAGTCTAAATTAGTTCAAACTCTCAATCTCTGGTAGGTTCCTAAAACCATTAAAAATCACAAAGATACACTGGGAAGAAATTCTCCTTAAAGGGCATTTGTTAAGTCAATTGGAATGACCCATTCTCAAACTATTTTGGCTGTTTTTATCTAGAGGCTATTAAATGAATCAAAATCTAACAGAGGAGAATAAAAAAGATAAGGCCTTGTTACATTGTACATGACATGAAAGGCAGAGTTTTCAATGCTAACATGTAGTCTTAAGAAAATAACTTATTTACCCAAAACATACCTTCCACTCTGAAGCTGGATATGGAGGGTGGTGAATGGTTCTGTACGAATAAGATAGTGCATAACTCCAGCAGAATTTGAATAGTGAGTACCATAATGAAATTTATCAATAGTTCCCATGGGATCCTCAAAATTTTCATATCTAAAAAAAGAAACTAAAGTTTTGTAACCACAACAGTAAAATTAAAATTAGGAGGACATAAGATTTATTGCATTACTAGAAACAGTTTTTAAGAAGTCCTTATTAATATTTATTATTTATGTATTCATATATCACACCAATAAAAAATTATTTATTAATACTAATTTCTGAACAATATCACTAAAAAACAGGATTCTGGAATAGTTTCATATTATGTAATAATACATATTCACTGTAGATAAGTTAGAAAATACAGAGAACAAAAAAGAAGAAACTTAAAACCAAGTACAGAGATAAGTAACATTAACATTTTGATGAACAAGGCAGTCTGGGTGGCTCAGTAGTTTAGCGCTGCCTTCGGCCTGGGGCCTAATCTTGGGGACCTGGTATCCAGTCCCATTGTCAGGCTCTCCTCATGGAACCTGCTTCTCCCTCTGCCTGTGTCTCTGCCTTTCTCTCTCTCTCTCTGTACCTCTCATGAATAAATAAATAAAATATTAAACAAAATTTTTTTGATGAACATCTGTCACCCTTAATGCATGTTAATATACAAATATATTTCAATATAAAAGTGCTAAAAATAATGTTTACAACCTATTTTTTCATTTAACAATTTTCTATTTACATTTTTCCAACTGAACAGTTTATTTTTTAACAGGCATAGGGTATTTTTAACAGTAACATATATGAACGTACAACACTTTAACTACTTCTTTAATTTTATATATAAAGGGTTGTTTCCATTTTTCTGCTATTGTAAGAAATATGATAATAAAACATCCGTTTGTGGCCAAGGTAATGGAAGAAAAATATGGAGGATCAGTCAAGAATTGTGGAAATGAATGCCTAACAATCAAAGGAAAAAGAAGGTAGGAAAGGAGGAAGATGATGGTAGAAGACCTAAAACAGATAATAAGCAAAGGATATATATAATGATTCTGTAAGCACTACCACTGTGTAATTGTTTTGAATGGTGGTTTAAATACTGAATTAGTGCATATAAAATCTGAATAAGAACAAACAGCTTTTTGGAGAAAATAAACACTAAAATTTTCAAACCAAAATAGTAATTAGCTCATCCAGTTGAGGCCAATTACCTTTCACACAGAAATCATTAATATTGAGGGGAATAAAATCTTTCAGGTCAGAGTCATCTGCATCTATGCAAAAACATATACTAGTGAAATTTAAAACAATATTTCCCGTGGTACAGTGTTCAAAAAAAATTGTGTTTTTGTTATTGTCAGAAAAGTTTGACTAATGGTAGTGAGGTAACATACACACAGAATTCCACTAGTAAATCAAATCAAATATTAAACACTGCAAAAAGTTCTAAGGTAAATTTGAAAAAAAAAAAAAAAAGAAAGAAAGGAAATGTACAATCTACTCTCAAATAAATCTACACTGTTTGTTTGCAAAACAGTTCTTTGCCCTTATTATCAGAAGTCAAAACTGACAAGTCATCCACAATTTCACATGGAGAAAAAGGGAAATTAAAATTAGATTATTATTTTACCTGTCAGCAGCTTGCTTTGAAGAAAAAGAATTTTAAGACATTCACAGGATCATAAACATACAGAATTATAAAAATTCCTTTCCTTATTAAAATAGATAACTTTCTAAATATTTCACTATATTTATTCACATTATTTGTCAATGTTGGATTACTACTGATTTTTAAATCTATCAAAATATTATATTAAGGGTATTTTTTCATGTTTAGATTAGGAGATTAATAAATCTAAAAATACCTGGGAAGAAAAATTACCCTTCACCACATACAAGGTGAAAAGAAACTAAACAAAATCAATTTAAATTTGGCAAGGAAATGAAATAAACAGACTATAGTTAAGATATGAGGGACAACTGATATATTCTCAGGAAAACATAGTGAAGGGATTATCAGACTCTGATTATCAAAAGTAGTTGTGCATTTAAAAAAAGTAATACTTAGTTGGCCATAATAGAAATTAATGCAAATTCAAAATACCATCACAAGTGATGGGTATCTTTCAAAACGGATAAAAGGCACTTACTTTTCTCGCATGGCTTTGGCATTTTTATCATTAACTACCCCAATTGGTTTGGAAAGATCTCGAAATACAGATGGATTATTAAGGTCCAACTCTTCTGAAGTATAATCTTGTAAAATCCAAGGAAACTAAAAGAGCCACAATTTACAATTTAGACATTCCTTTCCACAGAAGCTACTATCCCCATATATTATATCTAATGCTTATCTAAAGACAAAGAGGGATAGTTTTTAAAAATATTTTTCCCTGTTTCAAATGTTTATTCATCTTTAGTTCCATGACCAGAAGCATCATTTCCTCTAATACCATTGGAATATTTTTAGTGAAGTGAAAAAAAAAAAAAAAAAAAACCTTTTATTATTTAATTACTTTTCATGTTTATACACTTTTTGAAGATGGTAGGGTAGAAAATAAACAAAAGGCAAAAACAGGTTTTGTATCTTTTTTAAAGATGAAAAATAATCATCATACACATACATTTTTGTGTATTATAAAATTGAAAGGAAATTCCATATTTATGTGATTTCTGTAAAACTTACCACAGGATACTGCGCAAGGTCATTATAGGTTCGTCCTGCCATTGTATTTATTTGAATGAGGTAGTCAAAATTTGATATCTCTCTGTTTACCCATTTCTAGACAGTACACAAAACAAAAGTTTAAATTTTTAGAAGTTACTAATTATAAATGATAGTACTAACAGAATATTTTGTTCCTATTGCCTTGATCAACTTTCTAATAAAAAGAATAGAACTTTTTAAAAAAAGGCTTAAATCAATGTATTTTTCCTAAATATCCTACCTGTTAAAAATTGGTCATTAGAAAAGGAAGAAAAAATTAAAATCTTTTGTTATAGTAAAAAAATTCATAAGAATTATACCTTTTTTCCAATTATTTTATTTAAATATTTTTAAAATGTCAATTTTAGAACTGTCCAACATTGAAAATTTTGTTATAAATTGAAATATTCATAAGTCCACATATTAAATAAAAGCAACCTAATGTATTAAAATGATCTACAAATTCTAAATAAGTATTATGTTAACTATCCTTAGAAAATTGCCTTGCTAGAGCAAGAGTAGATGGGATTTTGCTATATTAAATATAAAATTTTCTCAAGAAAAATATAATCACTATTTTCTTTTAATCACTTCATTATCCTAGATGTTAATTACGCTACAAAGTGTAGGTATGCTCAAGAATTTTGCTGACAGATTAACATTCACCTTTAAGTTTACTCTTTGCCTTAAGCAAAAAATGTACTTATGAGAATGGTGAAAAATGAATCTATATATAGAGAGAGATTTTATAGAAACCCCAATTATAATTATTATCAAGTGCTAACTTGAGAATTACCTTAACGAATAAAGTTTGTTCCACAAAAAAAAAAAAAAAAACAGGAAATGTACTCCATTAAACAAAGCTTACTCCGTAAGCAATATGAAAGAGCTGCAGATAGCTTCTGAACAGAGTAACACTTAAGATTATTATTAATGCGGATGTGAGAGGGAGGAAAGAGTCAAGAAGCAGAGATCTGTATTAGGAGACTACTGACAGTCCTACAAAGCAAAACCAATGGCCTTTCCTTGGATTTTGGTAATAGAAATTCAAGAGATATTGAGATATAAGTGAGAATAAAATATACAAGAAGATTAATTAAATTTGGTTGACAAAAGAATTAAATTTTTGCCTTTTTTCCCCATGGTGTTGTGTGTTTTCCCACTTTTTACTTCATGCGTGGATTAATTTATTATTAGAAAACCCCAACAAACTCATTTGTTATATTTTAAAAAGATAAAATTATTAAAATAGAAGAATTCATAAGATATGCTCATGAACCAAATGGTATCATTTGGAAGCTGGAAGGCAGGGCTTTGTGTTAGTGAAACAGAAAGATTCAAAGATAATTCAAAAGATCAATTTGAATGAAAGGTGGTTATCACAACCAAAATAAAATAATCGGAAGAGTAAAGTTTTACTTTTAAGCAAAAGTCTGAAATATAAAACAAATGTTAGAAGAGTGACTGAAAATTTCCCACCTGTGTCAATCCTGATGCTTTGAATAATTCCTGTGGAGATCTGGTTCCATAACTATTTGGAGAATGAAGTGACAACAGTTTGCTGTATACTTTGTTTCTAATCTAGAAAAAAAAAGCACTTTATAGTTTAAAAACTGATCAAGACAAATTAGGATTATGGCTTTGTAATTATTTTACTGGAATATAATTCACATGCCACAAAGTTTACCCTTTTCAAATACACAATTCAGTGGGCTTTGTTGATGTATATTCACAGAGCTGTGCAACCATAAACATTATCTAACTCTGGAATACATTCATCATCCTTGAAAGAAACTTCATACTGACTAGCCATCACCTCCCAATTCCCACTCCCTCTCATTCCCTGACAACCACTAATCTATACTTTCTGTTTCTACAAATCTGCCTCTTCTGGACATTTCTCATAAATAGATTATGGTTTTAACTTCTCTTTTATACTAAGTTTGGTGAAGTCAAGCCATATATTTTTTGAAAAAGTTATGGTATATAATGGAATGATCAACAGATACTGCAAAAGAAAACTAGCTTGAGTCCAGTTCACATTTTGTTCTGCCATTTACTAATCATACTGGCAAATCAATTAATTTACTGAGTCTCATTTGTATATTAAACATAATAATCTCGGGGGATCCCTGGGTGGCGCAGCGGTTTGGCGCCTGCCTTTGGCCCAGGGCGCGATCCTGGAGACCCGGGATCGAATCCCATATCGGGCTTCCGGTGCATGGAGCCTGCTTCTCTCTCTGCCCCTCTCTCTCTCTCTCTCTCTCTCTCTCTCTCTCTCTCATAAATAAATAAATTAAAAAAAAATTAAACATAATAATCTCTGCCCCTGTAGTCTTCTGAATTCTTCTAGGTTACACAAATATAAAGTAATAAAATTCATCTTTGAACTTCAGTATCCTGATCTATAAAAAGAGAATAATAGAATTTGCCATATTGAATCTGAAGGTTGTTATGAAGATTAGATACCATATATAAATGTGCTTTAAAAACTATAAATTTATACAAATGTACAGTATTCAACAGGAGCATGCTTGGTTTAATTATACTAGTGTATAATTAAGATAATAGAAATTATAGATAAGATAACTGATCAATTATCAATATGCACTGAATTAAGATAATTAATTTAACTTCCAAAAAAACACAAGCTTTTCATATTCCTATGGGGAAAACTTATTTCTAATAGTAAAAAAGTAACCTTTTGTAAAACTACAAATATGTCCTTTATTTTTTAAAGATTTTATTTATTTATCTGAGAGTCAGACAGAAAGACAGACCATGAGCACAAGTAGGGGAGGCAGAGGAAGAAGCAGACTCCCCACTGAGCAGGGAGCCTGATGCAGGGCTTAATCCTAGGACCCTGGGATCATGACCTGAGCTGAAAGGAAGATGCTTAACTGACTGAGCCACCCAGGCACCCCCCAAAATGCCCTTCAAACGTCTGAATAAAATTATCTATAAGTAACCCTGGATCCCACAAATGAACAGAAACTTAGTTATTGACTGTGCTAATTCAGATCATCTCAGAAGCAGATGGCAAAAGAGAATGGAACATTCAAGGATTTTATTAGTAGAGGCACCTGTGATGGAAAATGGAGAACGAGACAAGACAGGGAGAGCTGTCAGAGAATGATGCAAGTCTGACCTCAAGTAAATAACAGAAGGAAGAAAGGTTGGGGGCAACTGTCCTACAGGTACACAACTATTGGTGGAGCTAGTATCTGTAACCAGGTAATCTGGCTTCAGTGGTAATATCTTAACCACTTACACTATTCAAGAATTTACTCTATACCTGAAAGAAATATCTGCCCTATTATTATTTAACTGAAGCCAATCCAATTTCATAAATCCTGTCATATTACATATATTGCATATGATTTCACAACTGGATACTGTAAGACACTTATTGGCTGACAGTTAATAGTCTACTGATTTACCTACTCATATATAAAAACTGAAAACAAGTACCCTAAAAATACTCAAATATAAATCCCAATAGAATTAATTTACTACTTAGCTCCTAAAGTGTATTTATTTTTCCTCTAATATTTTGACTTCACCAATAAGCAGAGTCCAAAGTTTCATTACAGCTTACTTGTTGGAAAATTCTTTTTTTTTTTTTAAGACTTTATTTATTCATGAGAGACACAGAGAGAGAGAGAGAGAGAGAGAGAGAGAAAGAGAGAAAGAGAGAGGCAGAGACATAGGCAGAGGAAGAAGCAGGCTCCATGCAGGGAGCCCAATGTGGGACTTGATCCCAGGACTCCAGGATCACGCCCTGGGCCTAAGGCAGATGCTTAACTGCTGAGCCACCCAGGCGTCCCTGGAAAATTATTTCAAGTTAACACTGGGGCTTCCAGAAAGGTCGCATCTTACATACCTCTTTTTTGAAATTGAGAAAGTAGTTGGATTGGTCAACATGAAAAATCTCAAGAGCTGACCTCCTTAAATTGTAACGCCGCAGGTGAATCTCTCGAACCTGAGAATGAGGCCACTTGAAATCAAAGCCTACTCCTGAAAACAGAAGAAATCCTGTGACCAAGGTACCATATGAAGTTACTCATGTTATGCAGAAAATATCTCCTAGTTCCTGACAAAGGTAGCACTTAGGGAAAAGAAATTTAATTTGTTTCACAGAAATCATTTGTTAAATTTAGTGGATGTTTAAGGGTTTCTTTCTTTTCTTTTTATTTTTTTGAGAGAGAGAGAGCGAGAGGGCATGCCTGTGTATGCAAGTGGGGGACAGGGACAGAGAGAGGGGGAGACAGAGAATCCTAAGCAGTCTCCATACTCAGCATGGAGCCTGACATGGCGGTTGATCTCACAGCCCTGAGATTATGACCTGAGTCAAAATCAAGAGCAGGACATGCAAGTGTCTGACCCATCCAGGCAACCCTAAATGGTTTAAAAACGTTCACAAAATTCTACAGCTTTTCCTCTTCCTTCTTATGAAAACAGAATAATCCTGATTGTTTTACCTCAAAAAAACATTTTTCCTTTCCTCTTTATGTTGGCATTTTAGATTTAAATATCCTTTTTATTTTCAGGCAAAGGGCTAGGTGAGAAGCTGATAGAAATATACAAATAAAATTAAGATTGCATTTTATAACAAGTTTACAGCAATCCTCTCTCACTAAACCTTTTAAAAAATTGACAAAAAAAGCATTCCCTTCAATACACTGTTGAATAATAAATTGAATCCCATATTGACTTTCCATTTCTCCTTTTACATGATAGACCACAATTCTAGTCTCCTCTTACTGTTTTCTTCTCATTAATGATTGATAAACTAGATACTTAACTATTGAACAACAGAAATTATTCCCCAAGAACTCCTCACCATCTTCTTTTTCAATGCTGCAATCGTAGAAGTAAATGTGTTGAGTAGTGATTTCTAATCTGCCAGGAATTACGTCAATTATTGTAATGAGTTCACAGTCTTCCAATAACACCAATTTTTCTTTTTGATCCTGTTCTTCTTTCTCATCACTGTAAATAACAAAAATCAACCAATCAAAACCCACCCAACAATGTATTCTACGTAAATTGAAGAATATCAAGAAAGTGTATTTGAATTACCTACAAAAGTATTTCAGTGCATATTAAATTACTTAAATACTATCTAATAGTTACTGCCCAATAATTCAGTTTCCAAAAAAGTTTTACATTTTAATTGTATGTGAAACATTAAAACAAAATATAGTGAATCTTTATTATTACGGGTAGAGGACAGTTCAAACGTGTAGCAATACTAGTGTGATTTTAGTTATATTTGGGACACATGAATTAACCAAGGGAATATACGAATCTGTTAATAAAGGACTGCATCATTAGTGATGTTTTATAAATAATTATCAGAAGCACTAATTATGACTGATTCTTAACTTGTAAAATGACTTCTCAAGAGTAACTGAATCTAGGTAATATCCCCTGACAATGGAACTGGGGATGATACAAAGAGCTACTACTGCAATATCTCACTTAGAGTGAAATCATCTTGTATTAAAAGGACTGTTACACTTTATGTTTTTTGGAGAAGATAACTGGTAACTTAAAGGAAATCTTTAAAAATTATTAAAATTATATGAACTTGTTTATGTCAACAAAATATACTGTTGAAACTGGTCAATTTGTAATCCTGAAATAAGCTTCAAAGAAATATACATCATATGTAATTAATAATCCCCAAAAGAGTGATGTTCAGAATAAATTATATATTTAGGTCTTAACTCATTTTTGGCTGAAGGTGAGGCTTTATAAACAAAAAGTAAAAGTCAGGGTAGATGTTTAAGTCACAAAATTCAAACACATTCCCTAAGGAACATAGAGATCCACTGGCAAAACATAGCAGTCTTCTCGAACAAGGGACTTAAATACAACCAACTAACTAATTATTGACTGACCACTGAACTATGCTAACTTTAAAAGGCCAAACTTTTTTTCAAAAAAACTTTTCATTTAAAAACAAAACAAAGGGGCAGCCCCAGTGGCGCAGCGGTTTAGCGCCGCCTGCAGCCCAGGGCGTGATCCTGGAGACCCGGGATCGAGTCCCACATCAGGCTCCCTGCATGGTGCCTGCTTCTCCCTCTGCCTGTGTCTCTGCCTCTCTCTCTCTAGCTGTGTCTCTATGAATAAATAAATAAAACCTTTAAAAAATAAATAAAAAATAAAAAAACAAAGAAAAAAAAACCATGAATATAGACATTACTGGCAACACACAGCAGATAAGAAACACTCCACAGGATTAGTCTAAGAAAGGTAGTGGAATGACATACTCAAAATGCTGACAGGAAAAAAACACTTCTTTACTAAGAATTGTATAGCCAATAAAACTATCCTTCAAAACAGAAAGCAATGGTTCTCAGGCAACTGGATAATAACGTGCAAAAGAAAGAATATAGAATCCCACATCATATCATGTAAGAAAATTAACTAAAAGTGGGTCAAAGATCTAAATGTAAGAGAAAAGGATAAAACTCTTAAGAAAAAATAAATGGGCTTCAAAACTTAAAACTTCTATGCATCAACAAATTGAAGGAAAACACATCCAATGGAAGAACATTTTTGCAAATCATGATAAGGCATTTATAATACAGAACTATTATAACTTAATACCTAAAAGACAACTCAATTAAAAAATGACCAAAGGATTTGCATAAATATTTCTTAAAAAAGATATATAAATAGTAAATAAATATATGAACAGATGCTCAGGATCATTAGTCATTAGGAAAATGCAAATTAAAACTACAAGGCACCATTTCAAATCTAGGATGGTATAATAAAGAAACTCCTAGAATAACAAAAGTTGGAGTAGATGTGGGGAAATTTAACCCCCCATACATTACTTGGGGAATGTTAAATAGTATAGTCATCGTTAAAATAATTTAATAATTCCTGGTATAAACAAAGAATTACGATATGACTCACAAATTCACTCCTAGGTATATACCCAATATAACTGAAAACATGTTGACACAAGATTTATACATGCCTACTCATGAAGTATTACTTATAATAGCTAAAAAGTAGAAATGTGGAAATATGGCCACAACTGGTGAATGAATAAACAAAAGTGGTATATCCATATGATGGAATATTATTCAACCACAACAAGGAATAAAGTACAGCTTACATGCTCCTCTATGAATGATCCTTGGAAATATTATACTGAATGAAATAAGACAGACACAAAAGGCCACATATTGTAAGAAATAAATGGAATGTTGAAACAGGTAAATCCAATAGAGACAAAAAGCAGATCAATAGTTTTCAGGGGATGTAGAAAGGAGAAAATATGGAGTGACTACTAAAAAGTACAAGATTTCCTTTCGGAGTGATGGAAATTGAAGCAGTAATCAAACATCTCCCAAAAAACAAGAGTCCAGGGCCAGATGGCTTCCCAGGGGAATTCTATCAAATATTTAAAGAATTAATACATATTCCTCTGAAGCTGTTTCAGAAAACACGACTGGAAGGAAAACTTCCAAACTGTATCTGTGAGGCCAGCATTATCTTGATCCCCAACGAGACAAAGACCTCACCAAAAAGAATTATAGACCAATATCCCTGGTGAACATGGATGCAAAAATTCATGATACTAGCCAACAGAATCCAATAGTACATTAAAAGGATTATTCACAAAAAATAAAATTAAAAAAATATATAAAAGGATTATTCACCATGACCAAGTGGGATTTATTCCTGGGCTACAACAGTGGTTCAACATTGGCACATCAGCCAATGTGATGCAGTACATTAATAAAAGAAAGGACAAGAACCATAGGTTTCTCTCAATAAATGCAGAAAAAGCATTCGACAAAGTACAGCATCCTTTCTTAAAACTCTTCACAGTGTAGGGATAGAGAAAATAAATCTCAGTATCATAAAAGCCATGTACGAAAAACCTATAGTAAATATCATTCTCAATGGGGAAAAACTCAGCTTTTCCCCTAAGGTCAGGAACATGTCAGGGATGTCCACTCTCACCACTGTTGTTCAACATAGTACTAGAAGTCCTAGCCTCAGCAACCAGACAACAGAAAGAAATAAAAGGCATCTGAATCAGCAAAGTAGTCAAACTCGCACTCTTCGCTGAGGACAAACTCATTCTTCCACTGTATATGGAAAACCCAAAGACTACCTCAAAATTGCTAGAACACCTACAGGATTTCAGCAAAGTAGCAGGATATAAAATCAACATACAGAAGTCTGTTGCATTTCTATACACTAACAATGAGACAAAAAAAAAAAGAGAAATTAAGAAGTCGATGCCATTTATACCTGCACCAAAAACCATAGATACCTAGGAATTACTCAACCAAAGCAGCAAAGATCTGTACCGTGAAAACTATAGAACGCTCATGAAAGAAATTTAGGAAAACACAAAGAAATGGAAAAACATTCCATGCTCATGGATTGGAAGAACAAATATTGTTAAAATGTCTATGCTACCCAAAGCAATCTAGACGTTCAATGCAACAATCCCTACCAAAATGCCATCAGCATTTTCAGAGCTGGAAAAAACTATTCTAAAATGTGTATGGAACCAGAAAAGACTCTGAATAGCTAAAGGAATGTTGGAAACCAAAGCTGGAGGCATCCCAAGTCTGGATTTCAAGTTCTATTACCAAGATGTAATCATCCAGACAGTATGGTACTGGCACAAAAATAAATACACAGATCAAGGGAACAGAATAGAGAACCCAGAAATGGACCCTCAACTCTATGGTAATTTTGCCATTTGCAAAGATATGGATAGAACTAGAGGATGCTATGCAAAGTAAAATAAGTCAATCAGAGTAAGATAATTATCATATGATCTTACGTGGAATTTAAGAAACAAAACAAAGGATCATAGGGGAAGGGAGGGAAAAATAAAACAAGATGAAATCAGAGAAAGAGACAAACCATAAGAGACTCTTAATTACAGGAAACACTGAGGGTTGCTGGAGGGGAGGGGAAGGAGGATAGAGTAACTGAGTGATGGACTTTAAGGCAGGCACATGATATAATGAGCACTTGGTATTATGTAAGACTGATGAATCACTGAACTCTACTTCTGAAATTAATAATACATTATATATCAATCAATTGAATTTTAAATTTAAAAATATAATACAAACAGTAAACTGTACTGTTGGTCTTAAAACATATGAAAGTCTGTATTTATGATAATAATAACACAAAGGAGAAATAAGGAAATCAATATATTTTCATTTAATACTGATAGATGCCTAATTGCTGATATAGCAGTAACTGATAGATCCTGAAAAGACAGCTGACCCTTGAGTAATGCAGGGGTTAGTGGCACTGAAACCTGTGCAGTCAAAAATCCATTAATAAATCTGACTCCCTAAAAATTTATCTATTAATAGCCTACTGCTGACCAGAAGCCTTACCAATAACATACACAGTCTATTAACACATTTTGTATCCTTATAAATAAAGTAAGCTAGAGAAAAGAAATGTTTTTAAGAAAACTATTTGGAAGAAAAAATATAGATATTTACAGTATATTACTGGCTGAAAAAATTTATATATAAGTGGATCCATGAAGTTCCAACCTTTATTATTCAAGGGTCAGTGTTCTTAGGATTACAATCAAATATCTTCAACAATTTTATAATTTCATTTTTGAGAAAAAAATAATTTTTAATTCTTTCAAATACTTATACATACATATTTACTCTGGCTGTTACATCTTCTTCAGGAAGGTCTAATTTATCTTCCTCCATATTGCTAACTTTTACTTGTTTCACTACTTCCAAAAGCAAAGAATCACTGGAAGGCTGTGAGTGTTGGACACCTGTTTAAATAAATACAAATTATCTATTAAACACAGTAAAAGGGGATCCCTGGGTAGCTCGGCGGTTCAGCGCCTGCCTTTGGCCCAGGGCGTGATCCTGGAGTCCCGGGATCAAGTTCCACATCGGGCTCCGGGCATGGAGCCTGCTTCTCCCTCTGCCAGTCTCTGCCTGCCTCTCTCTCTCTCTCTCTCTCTCTCTCTCTCTCTCTCGAATAAATAAATAAGATCTTTAAAAAAAAATAAAATAAACACAGTAAAAAATAATCTCTATAATTTGTTAATTACATAATCATATGTATTTTATTTTTTTTCATAATATGTATTTTAAAGTAAAGGAGGAGGGGTGGGGAATTGGGTATAGGGAGTCAAAATGTGTAAACTTCCAGGTGTAAGATAATTAAGTATTAGGGATGTATGGCATGATGACTCTGGTTAACAGTGCTATATGGCATTTTTGAAATTTGCTAAAAGAGCAGATCTTAAAAATTCTCATCATAAGGAAAAAAAAGTTTGTAATTATATGCTGTGATAGATGTTAAGTGTACATTGCTGTAATCATTTTACAATATGTGTGTAGCTCAAGTCATTATGAGCTACATCTACACAGTATTCTACATCTTACACAGTATTCTATGTCAATTGTATCTCAGTAGAACTGGAAAAAAACTAAGGTACTTAAAGTTTTCTAAGACAAAAGAACAATTTACAGGGTGCCTGGGTGGCTCAGTCAGTTAAGCGTCTGACTCTTGGTTTCAGCTCAGGTGGGGTCATGGGCTTGAGGACTGTGTTGGGTTTCTGTGCTCAGCAGGAAGTCTGCTTGGGATTCTCTTTCTTTCCCTCTCTGTACCTCACTCCCCCCCCCCACTCATGTGTACTCTTTCAAGTACATAAATCTTTAAAAAGAAGAAAGCAATTACTAGAGAAAAGTTTTTATATGTGATTCAGAGTAATCTAGGCTGTGATCTTAAAAACCATTACATGTATAATAAAAGGAATGTTTTAAAAAGTGCTATCTATTTTTAATGATATTATTTATGTTTCAAAATGGGCCAAGTAATCTCTTTAATCTAATTTAATTCTAAAGCATGTCAATATGTCATAGATAGAATTTTCTCACTGTATTAATAGAACTTTTACTTTGTATTTGTATTAAAATATTAAGAAAGATGACAAGTATCTTTTTTTTATAATATTGTTTATTTATTTGAGAGAGAGAAGAGCAGAGGGAAAGGGACAAATAGACTCCATGCTGAACACAGAGCCTAATGTGGGGCACAATCCCAAAACTCCGAGATTATGACCTGAGCCAAAATCAAAAGTTAGATGCTTAATTAAAAAAACTGAACCATCCAGGCACCCCAAGATGATGACAAATTATCTTTAATTGGAAGAGAATACATAACTCAAGAGCTGGGGCAGATGAAATTTAATAAATAATTCTGTATACAAAAATATGCAATAAATATAATGCATTTTAGAAATAATACATTTTTTAAGAGGGCAGGGCTAATGTAATAGGAAGAACAAAGGCCATGTGTGAAGTGGTAAACTTAAATTTAAATTCTGTTCTGCCATTTATTAACCAGGTGACCCCTCTGAATCTTTGCTTTCTTAACTGTGAAATGGAGATACATCACATTACATTAAGTTTATACTTGGCAGCTATCATTATTGTACATTCACCTCTCAATTAACTGAGGGGCATAAGAATAGTAATAACTGCATAATTTATAGTTAGGACTAGGAAAAATTTATGTATGTAACTATGAATAAAAGTATTTCAGTTGTGGGAAATACAAATAATTCATACTAAATAACAAAACATTATAGGGGTGCCTGGGTGGCTAAGTCGGTTAAGTGTCTGACTCTTGGTTTCTGTTCAGGTCATGATCTCAGGTTTGTGAGATCGAGCCCTGCATCAGGCTCTGTGCTAGGTGTGAAGCCTGTTTAATAAGAGTCTCTCTCTCCCTCTGTCCACCCTACCCCTAATAAAAAAGAAGAAAACAAACAAAAAGACCCCTAAATAACAAAGTATTATAAAGATGACAAAATCCTCCTTTAATTTCTCAAAAGGTATCATTGCTCTGACATTAAAAAAAAAAATCAAACAACCTAATGTACAGTTGCATTTTTCTGTTTAAATCTCCTTTGATCACACCTTCATCTCTACCCAGGAAGCACTGGCTCACACTATTCCTAGAACAAATAACTACTTTCACTGAATAGGTTTCTTCATATTCTTCATGGTCTCATTTTTTTAAAATTTTATTTATTTATTTATTCATGAGAGACATAGGGGGAAAGAGAGAGAGGCACAGACATAGGCAGAGGAAGAAGCAGGCTCCATGCAAGGAGCCTGATGTGGGACTCGATCCCAGGTCTCCAGGAACGGACCCTGGGCTGAAGGTGGCGCTAAATCGCCGAGACACCCGGGTTGCCTGGTCTCATTTATTTCATATGGCAAAATTTATTGTTAAACATTTAATTAAACAAAGATTGCACATTAGAACACGCAATGAAAACTGAAAATAAGGAATCTAGATATTTCTGATACAAACAGAAAACAGACTTTATGTAGACAGATGACATTACGAAAGAGTGTAAGTTCAAAATTTGATGAAAGATTGGTAAGGGGCACCTGGATGGCTCAGTTATGGTTAAGCATCTGTCTTTGGTTCACGTCACGATCCCAGGGTCCTGGGACTGAGCGATGAGTCAGCCTGTCTGCCTGAGAGAGGAGTCTGTTTCTCCCTCTCCCTCTGCTCCTCTCCCTGCTCATGCATGCTCGCTCTCTCTCAAATAAATAACTTTTTTTTTTTTTTAGAGAAAAGAAAGACTGGTGAATAAAATGAGGATGGGAATCATGTCAGGCAAAGAGGCCAGGTGGCAAACTACTGTTAAGTTTGGGAAAAGGTACCACCAAGCTAAGCCATGGCAACAGCAGAAGGAATGAGAGTAAGATTCAAAAGATATGCAAGGGAGAATTAACAGGACACTGTACCTAAAAAGCTATTATGTATAGGGATTAGGAAGGATGAAGACAGATTCATGGCTAATATTAATGATTTGGAATAACTAATAGATGGAGAAAATAAAACTAAAACCCAAGATACAAGAGAAGCAGAGTCTAGGGTGAGGAGTAGACAAATGAGAAAAGATAATTTAATTACAAAAATCTTATGTGGAGGCCTCTGTGGAAGAGGTATCCCAAAAGACAGACAAGCAATTGGAAATCTTGGTCTAAAGGTCAAAAGGCAGGTAAGAATTAGAAATACAGGTGAGAAAACACCTTTATACACACATATATATATGTATGTGTGCATATACATATATATATGTGTATATATATAGTGTGTGTGTGTGTGTGTGTGTGTATATATAGTGGTGAAGTCGTGAGATCACCTCTTCAGAGTAAGCACTGGTAAAAGGCAAGATGGCTAAGTATGGACCTAGGAACATGATTATTTTCAAGGTAACCAAGAAAAGATGAGAAATTGGTAAGAAAATTAGGAGGTTAAGCACCAGCACTAGAAAGAAATATATACTTACAGAGGAGGATAACTACCAAAATTTAGAGATAATAGAAACAATGTAAGGACTAAAAGTAAGTTGTTGAAAATACTAAGGAAAGAATATCTAATGAAAAAGTACGGACAAAAAAATTTCTCTAAAACCAAAATAAAATATTTTTTTCTCTCTAAAACCAAGTATTTTTATGATATATTTAAGAATATACTTTATTTTTGACTATTTAAATTCCATAATTCATAAGCAGTTGTGTTCCAAAAGAGGCTTCACAAATCACCTGTTTGAAATTCACAATGAATTTCCCATCAAAAATGTTACAGATAACGGTTAACTTTGTAGTTTAGCCAACAATGTAAAAACTACTCTGCACATTTGCAATGGGAGGCTTACAAATAGTAGGGTTATATGAAACAAAACAAAATAGAATATTTTAAAAATACCATGAATTCTGGCAGCTGATAAAAATACTTATAGACAAAAAAAATACTTCTAGACAAAAATAAGGAGTTGACTAAAACATTTTAATTCTGAAGTATAGTTCAGGAGATTTTAAAGAGCTTTAGAGTTTTTTGTCACTGGTTTTATAGTATTTCCAATTTCACTTTGAAATGTATGAACTTTGTTTCTTCTTTATTATCTTACTATCACTAACATACTTGGGATATTTTTGAAAACGAGGTAAGGAGAAAAACTGAGAGATGAAAAAAAGAAAACATGAATTTTCCTAGACTAAAACTAAGAAGAAGGGACATAAAATTTTATCTGTGTACTTGTATAAAGGGGTGAGGAGAAGAGGAGGAACGGGGATTTCCTGGGATAGGATTTCTTGCCAAAAATGAAGAAAAAATAGGAGATGCTATTCTTTAAGTATTACTAGATTCAAGTCATTTACCAAAGATACTGGCTGAGTGATAAGCATTATCAAATTCCAATGAGAAAATATAATTGTCTCAAGATACATATAGGCAGCACAAGCTATATATAAGTATAAGATACTCTCAAAGTTAGAGTTTCTTTCATGAGTGGGGCCATTATTTTGCACTAAGGAAAATTAGTTATTGTGTCTGATTTATTTTTGAATGTAAGACCATAAATGGCAGGCATCATAGACAGCACTCTTGATTAATATATGGCATCAACTGTATTGGCCAATTATTAAGGCAACTTTTAAAAAACTGGTACTTGAATTTCATCTAAAATTTAGTCATTAAACACAAAGTGGCTATGATGAAGCAATTTAGTGTACACATGACTGAATAAATCAATATTTTGGGTATTTCACAGACTGTCTTCAAAAAGAGAGATACAGGGCAACCTGGGTGGCTCAGTGGTTTAGCAGTGCCTTCAGCCCAGGGCATGATCCTGGAGACCCTGGATCGAGTCCCGCGTTGGGCTCCCTGCATGTAGCCTGCTTCTCCCTCTGCCTTGTCTCTGCCTCTCTTTCTCTCTGTGTCTCTCATGAATAAATAAAAATAAAATCTTTAAAAAAAAAAAAAAGAGAATTCTAAATATATCTAAAGTTAGCCTCAGTCTTGGTAAGAAGATGATTAAGGGAAAAGAATCATTGTTTCAATGTACCATCATAATGGATACAAGAGACAACGCATTCATTGCACATAAACTACAATATAATTTTATGATTGCAAATTATGTTTTTCTTTGAAAAATTACAATTAATTGATACAGGAAGTCATCTTAGATTTAGGCCAAGGTAACAGCATTTAACATATACAACCATTTAAATATCAAGTAATTCCTGTACAACAAAGCTTTGTAAATGGTATCCTAACATTTTGAAAAAGAAGTAATTATAAAATGTCACACTTCAATCATGAGTAAGGAATTTTGAAACAATTAATAAAAACAATAACCAACCCATCAATATCCTATCTTCAACAAATAATTAAATAGGCATTGGAACTCACCTAGATTATCTCTCAAAGCACTAGCGTCTTCATGAGTTTTGAAGTTATAATTTGGCACCAATTTAAGTCTCATGCGGGAATAATTTTCTACATTAGCTAGTTTCCAGTGAATTGGATTTTGTTTCCTATGAATATTAATAAGTAAACAAGTAAAATTACTTAGCTTGAAGTTACAAAGATTGGTTGATTGAAATAGAATCAATCTATTTGATTGTGGAATTTTACATCTGTATAGCACCATTTTATAAAAACTTCACGTTCATTATCTCATTTGACCCAAACAACCCTGAAAGAAAACCAATGTGGATATGCATTACTGCAGTTTATATATGAAGAACCTAAGGCAGACTAAATCATTTGCCTGAGATGCCATGTTGTTTACAAGTAGCATAAATAAGAACTGAACATAAATCTTTACACTTAAAGCTAATATCTTTTACTCTTTACCTGTTCGGTGGAAATTCTTAAATATACAATGAGTTTATCCTAAATACAATGTTCAAAATAAAATAATTTTACTATAAATAAGGGGAATATAATTATAAATAGATCAAAGATCTAAATATAAGAGCTAAAACTCTTAGAAGAAAAGAGAGGAGTAAATCTTTGTGACCTTGAATTTGGGAGTGGTTTCTTAGATATTCTATCAAAAACATGCAACAGAAGAAAATAAGAGATAATTTGAACTTTGAAATTAAAAAAAAAATTTTGTATACCAAAGGCTACTATCAAGAAAATGAAAAGACATATGTACAAATCATATATCTGATAAAGGTCTATTACTGAGAAAAAGAACTCTTATAACTCAACCACAAAATGTCAAACAATCCAATTTAAAAATGGGCAAAGAACTTGAATAGACATCTCTTCAAAAAAGATATACAAATGGCCAAATGAAAAAATACTCAATGTCACTGGAAATACAAATCAACATCATAAGATACCACTTCACATCCACTAGGACAGTCATAATAAAAAAATTGGAAAAATTTTACAAATATTGGTAAGGTTGTGGATAAACCAGACCCCGCAAACAATGCTGATGAGAATGTTAAATGATGCAGTTGCTGTGGAAATTGTTTGGCAATTCCTAAGTTAGACAGTGGATTATCATATGACCTAGCAATTTTACTTGTAGGTATACACTTAAAAAGAATTAAAAACAGATGTTGAAACACTCGTTCACAAATGCACATAACAGGACTATTTATGACAACCGCAAGGAAAAAAAACACAAATGTCTATCATCTGATAGGTGAATAGACAAAATGTGGTATTAATCACACAATGGAATATTATTTGGCCATTAATAAAGTAACTACTAATACATGCTACAATATAATGAAAATATTATGCTAAGGGACAAAGAAGCTAGACACAAAAGGTCACATATTGTATGATTCCATTTATATAAAATATCAAGAATAAGCAAAATCGGAGACAGAAGGACTGGTGGTTGCCAAAGGAAAAGGAATAATACAGAGTAACAGACTAATGGGTCCAGGGTTTCTTTTTGCAGTAATGAAAATGTCCTGAAGCTGGAGAATGGTAATGACTGCACATTATGAATGTAGTTAATGTCACTAAATTGTATATTTTTAAAAAACAATATATGTGGTTAAAGTGGTAAAGCTTATATTATGTGCATTTTACCACAATAAAAAGGGTGGGATACATATACATATAAATATGAAATATATTTCAGTAAAATATATGTAACTTGAAGGATCAAGTAAATAATCTGTAAAATACTGAAATACATATAACATCACTAACTCTAGCAGTATCATGAAAACAAATTCAAGACTTAAATCCTACATCACAGGGTAAAAGGAAGGGAAATAATAACTGCATGGTGAAAAAACATATATACAAAGCTCTGAACTTCCCAGAACTGTAATTCACAAAAAGACAACCAAATTAATTAAAAGCAATTTTTAATTAAGTTAAGTGTTTTAAAAATTGGAGAGGTCACTGGCTCAAAAAATTTTAGGCAGGAGTTTTAAAGAAGAAAGTGTATTTAATAAATAATATCCTACTACCTTTCAGCCCAAGGTCCCCTTTCAGATGTAAGATAGAGCTGTACTGCCTTCCAGCGTCTCAGAGTGATTAACTGTTGACTGCTAAGTTGTTTAAGCGTATTATTATACCTCATGTTCTCTTGGCGTGCTTTTCGATTAAATGGCTCCACAAAAAACTCCTGAAACAGCAATAAATAATAGCACTGAATCATAAATTTAAATAATTTTAAAAATCTGACTCAATAAAATCACACAATAAAAGAAGTGGTAACTAACCAACAGTATTTTCTTATTCCATTAGAACAACTTACTTTAATGAAGCATGATTCTAACTATAATCCATCTGTATTTTGTAAAATTTAAAAAATAAAATAAACATGTGAAGAACTTCAAAAATGTAATATACCTCAATAGAGGATTTTTAAACTCAAAGTTATTAACCTCATATAGTCAAATAAAAGGATCTTCCTTTGGTATCCTTTGGTTTTTAAAACAATGGATTGAGACTCATGATTAAAGTAGAAGGAAGAGTAACCACATCCATACTACTACTGGGAAACTGAAAGACAATGCCAAAAAAAAAGAAGAAATCTACAGGAGCAAATCTCTCACAATGAAAAATTTCATCATGTGGACTGCTCTCTGAATAACATCCTAGTTATCAGCAAATGAATTCACATACTCTTCCAGTTTTCAGGATAAAACAGACCCTGCTAATAGAAATGGGTTCTCTCAAGAAAGAATGCTAAGCCATTAAAGTTTTACAGTTTTCAAAAAGACAAGTGGTAAGACTGACTTATCAGACTCACACTGATATTCACCTATCAGGAAGGAACCAAATTAACAGTATTAATTCGTTTCAGAAATCGATCTGAATTATGTTGAAAAAGAACAGTTAAAGATATGGATTTAGATATGGATTTATTTTTTTTAAAAGACCTTATTTATTTATTCATGAGAGACAGAGAGAAAGGCAGAGACAGGCAGAGGGAGAAGCAGGTTCCCTGTAGGGAGCCTGATTCAGGACTCAATCCCAGGATCCTGAGATCATGACCTGAGCCAAAGGCAGACACTCAACCACTGAGCCACCCAGGTGCCCCTAGATATGGATTCAAAAGACATCTTTTAATATTTTTTTTAATTTATGATAGTCACAGAGAGAGAGAGAGAGAGGCAGAGACACACAGGCAGAGGGAGAAGCAGGCTCCATGCACCAAGAGCCCGACGTGGGATCCGATCCCGCGTCTCCAGGATCGTGCCCTGGGCCAAAGGCAGGTGCCAAACCGCTGCGCCGCCCAGGGATCCCCAAAAGACATCTTTTAGAGAAGCAGTACAGCAGACTGTGGTTCATAATATAGTATAACTCTGGGGGTGCCTGAGTGGTTCAGTTGGGTAAGCACCTGCCTTCAGCTCTGGTCACGATCTTAGGATCCTTGGATCGCCCTGCATTGGACTCAGCGGGGAGTCTGTGTCTCCCTTTCCCTCTGTTCCTCCCCACAGCTGTGCAGGCACATCTCTCTCTCTCTCTCATATAAATAAATGAAAGTCTTAAAACAACAACAGCAACAACAAAACAACTCTGGAGTTAGGCCTGGGTACAAATCTTAACTACTTAATTCTGTGAAGCTTAGTATCCTCATCTCTAAGATGAGGTTGACAATAATTGTCATCAAAAAAGATTAAGACTTAAAGTGCTTAATACAGTGCCAGAAAAGTAGTAAGCTCTTAGAAAAACGGAGTTGTTACTATAATTGTTATTATAATTATTACTAGACCTTTGGAAAATCAATGATTTGGAATTAACAAATATTTAACACAGATCATTGCTAAGAAAACTGAAGAAGTCACGACAGTTCCATAATAATAAAACATCAATTTTAGAGTTGATGAGTTCAAGCAATAAGAATATTTTAAGGTTAGGTTTCCCTAGAAAAGCTAAGGGTGAAATTACAGAGAAAGTGTTGATTGGAACAGAAACAGAACTTCTATGAGGGCAATATAACAGTATTTATCATAAGTGTTGCATCCAGTAATTCCACTTATTCTAGGAAAGCCATCCTGGATAAGCATAAAAATATGACCATAAAGATGATCAATATTACATATAAACAAAGCTAAATTAGATCTAAAACTGGGACATAAATTTAAATATGTCCTAATACATAATAAAATGGACTACTTAATGCAGTCATATAATGGCATGGAAAGATGTTCACAATACATTTTAAGAAAAAGGTATAGCAAACAAAAACTGTGCCATTTTGGTTTAACCAAATATATACATAAAAACTAGGAAAGATATATACCAAAATGTTAATAGTAGTGGATTACTTTTTATACTATTTTATGTAATAAATATATTTTTTATTTGGTCATCCTTGTTTCAACATGTTTATTTTTAGATCCTGTACGTATTTTATTGGATTGATATCTAAGTATTTTATTCTTTTTTGAGTTATTATAAATAGTTCTTTTTCAAAATTTCACATTCCAACTGTTCACTGTTAGTATATAGAAATATGATTAAATTTTGTGTACTGATCTTGTGTCCTGCAGTGTTGCTAAGCTCATTAATCACAGGAGATTTTTGGTAGATTCATTAGGATTATCTACATAATCATTATTATCTGCAAATACTTTTATTACTTCCTTCCCAAGGTAAATGACTTTTATTTCTTTTTCTATCCTTTTTTTTTTTTTTAAGATTTATTTGAGAGAGAAAGCAGGGGGAGAGGAAGGGCCAGAAGGAGAGGGAGAGAGAAAATCTCAAGCAGACTCTGTGCTGAGCCCAACGTGTGGCTCAATCCCATGACCCTGAGATCATGCCCTGAGCAGAAACCAAGAGTTGGATGGTCAACCCACTGAGCAACCCAGCTCCCCCTCTTTCTACTCTTAATGCATTTGCTAGGACTTACAGAGCAACAGCGACTAGAAGGGTGTTGAGAGTGGACATTCTCACCTAGTTCTCTTCTACTAAAAAAAAGTGCTCAGTTTTCCGTCTTTTTTCCTCTAAAGATTTATTTATTTATTTATTTATTTGTTTGTTTGTTTGTTTATTTATTTATTTTTTTATTTGAGAGACAGGGAGAGAGAGAGAGAGAGCACATGCATCCACTGAAGCGAGAGGCAGGAGGAACAGAGGGAGAGAGAATCTCAAGCTGACTCCATGCTGAGCCTGATGTGAGGCTTGATCTCACAACCCTGAAATCATGATCTGAGTGGAAAGAAGGGTCATATGCTTAACCGACTATGCCACCCAGGCATCCTCAGTTTTCCATCTTTAAATATAAAACTGGTTGTAGGATTTTTGTAGAGATTCTATTCCTATTTCTAGTGTCTTGAGATCTTTGATCATAAGATGGATGTTGAATTTTGTCAAATGCTTTCTCAACATCTACAGATGTGATTATATAGCTTCTTTTTAATGAATATGAATTTGGTCCATTATCATTATATTAATTATCAAATGTTGAAGCAGTCTTGCATTCCAAGTATAAACTACCTGGTATAATGTATTATTTTTTTATTTATTGCTAGATCTGGTTTGTATCTATGTTCCTATGAGATATTGGTTTGTTTTCTTAGACCATTTTTGTGATTTTTAACCAGTTTAACTAATACACAGTATTATAGGAGTTTCAGGTATATTCTTGTACTATTTTTGTATGGTTTCAAAGAGGATAACATTGCCTTCATATAGTAAGTTGGGAAGTGATTCTACTTTTCTGTTTTCTGTTTTCTGACTGTGAGGAATTGGGTGCTATTTCTTCATTGTATGTTCACCAGAACTTACTACTGAAACCACCTGGGCCTGAAGTTTTCCCTTTTGGAAGATATTTACTTATTTGTTTTAAAGATTTTATTTACTTGAGAGAGAGAGAGAGAGAGAGAGCGCATAACAGGAGCAGAGGGAGAGGAAGAAACAGGTTCCCTGCTGAGCAGGGAGCCAACTTGGGGACTCAACCCCAGGGCCCTGAGATCATGATCTGAGCCGAAGGCAGATGCTTAACTGACTGAGTTCTGTTCTCAGTTCTGAAGTTTGTTTGTTTGTTTGTTTTTTTTAAGATTTTATCCATTTATTCATGAAAGACAGAGAGAGAAAGAGAGAGAGAGGCAGAGACGCAGGCAGAGAGAGAAGGAGGCTCCATGCAGGGAGCCCAATGCGGGACTCGACCCCAGGTCTCCAGGATCAAGCCCTGGGCTGAAGTCGGTGCTAAACCGCTGAGCCACCTGGGCTGCCCCTCAGAAGGTTTTTAAACTATAAGTTCAATTTAATAGGTAAGGCTATCTAGGCTACCAATTTATTATTGAATTTGTTTTGGAAATTTATATTTGTCAGGAAATTGATCCATTAAGTTATCTTATTTATGTGCATAGATTGGTTTGTGGCAGTCTCTTATTATCATGTTGATGTCTGTGGAGTCACTGGGGATATCTCCTGTCATTCCTGGTAATAAAATTTTTCACTTTCTTTTTTTGCTTTTTCAATCTGGTTACAAGTTTATCAATTTTACTGACATTTTCAAAAGTATTTATTTTAGTATTAATTTTAGAAAGAGAGCATGAGAGTGAATGGGGGAAAAGGGGAGATTGAGAGGGAAAGTCTCAAGTAGACTCCACACCGAGCATGGAACCTAATGCAGGGCTCGACTTTACAAACCTGAGAGCACAATCTGACCTGAAACCAAGTGTCAGATGCTAAACCAAGTGCACCACCCAGGCACCTCAATTATACTGCCATTTTAAAGAACTAGATTTTATTTATTTTTTTTTAATTTTTTTATTTATTTATGATAGTCACAGAGAGAGAGAGAGAGAGAGAGGCAGAGACACGGGCAGAGGGAGAAGCAGGCTCCACACACCGGGAGCCCGACGTGGGACTCGATCCGGGGTCTCCAGGATCATGCCCCGGGCCAAAGGCAGGCGCCAAACCGCTGCGCCACCCAGGGATCCCTAAGAACTAGATTTTAGTTTTATTAATTTCTCTATTGTTTTTCCTGCTTCCAATTTCATTGATTTCTGATCTTATTATTAGTTTCTTATTTAGAAACCCGCTTAGATTAATTTTCTTTCTCTAAGGCAGAAATTTAAATTATTAATTTTAAGTCTTTCTTCTTATCTAAAGCAAGTATTTAGTACTATATTCTCTAAGTGGGGCGCCCAGGTGGCTCAGTCAGTTAAGCGCCTCCTTTCTGCTCAGGTCATGATTCTGGAGTCCTGGGATCGAACCCTGCCTGGTCGGGCTCCCTGCTCAACGGGAAACCTACCTCTCCCTCTCCTGCTCTCCCTGTTTGTGGTCCCTCTCTCTCTCTGTCAAATAAGTAGATAAAATCAATCAATCAATCAATCAATAAATGTTCATTCTCTAAGCACTGATATATACCCAGCCTCCTTAGAGATATGTACTATCAGTTTAACAGACTTTTTACACACCCACTATACATAGAACATTTTGACACTGACTTTTTAACTGTTACTGATCAGTCTTTTTCTTTTAATTCTGAAGTAGTTTTCAAACATAGGAAATACCATTTGTTTTCAAAGTTCAGACTTGTTAATACTCTCACTTGAATATTAAATGCTTGAAATCAACATAAAAAACTGATAATAAAAACAATGAATATTTTTTACCTGAAACTTAAGCTTGCTTTCTCCTCCTTCCCGGTCTCGTTTATGCATATTCACCATTAAGGCTTCATAACAATTCTTCCAATAAAGTGCCATGCTCTCATGATTATTATAAAATGTATGGGTTTCATACTGCTTCATGTAAGGCACAATCTTGTAAAAATATATATATATACAGAAAATTTTAAACACACTTTCATAAAAATGACAACTTTGAAAATTTTCACTCAAAATAGACAAAACTTACATATTTTTCGATGTAAACTTGCCATTCATTTGAACTGCAATATTCTTGAAAATCTTCAAAAAATGAAGAACTACCATTGGTAAAAGGTAAAGAAGGCAGGTGCAAGTTCATGAAGAGAAGCTCATAAATTTTGGAAACCAGGGTACGGACCAGGGGAATCAGAAATGAGTAGATTTCAGTCTGTTCCTTGATTGACTGACTTAGAACATATTCCAGCTTCCCTAAAATGTAACATGCTTCATTCTGATTTTCAATCACTTTGGTCTGAAGAAGGGTGTTTAGTTTAGCTGATGCCATTGCACAAACCTGAGGAAAACAGTATAGGTGAGAAAAAAAAACAGAATAAAGCAGACAGCAAAAGTTATTTGGCTCTTCTGAAGTCTTCTTTTTTTTTTTTTTAATCAATTATAAAAGCAGAATACATAGAAAAGGTGTGGTGGATAATTAATCACCCCACCATCCAGGACACCTGGGTGGCTCCGCAGTTGAGCATGTGTCTTTCCTCAGGGCGTGATACTGGAGTCCCAGGATTGAGTCCCACATTCGGCTTCCTACATGGAGCCTGCTTCTCCCTTTGCCTGTGTCTCTCCCTCTCTCTCTCTGTCTCACCTGAATAAATAAATGAAATCTTAAAAAAAAAAAATCACCTCAACATCCATTCCACTCCTCCTTATAGTCTGCAAGTATAGGGGAATTATTCCATCTCTAGTTCCAAAAATAGGTCCTAAAAGATATAAGCCAAACAGAATATCCAACCACTTTGCACAGTGAGTGGTTCAGGTAACTAATCTTTCAGTAAACTTATGTCACTGCTTTCATCACAGGGATTCATTTGGGGATGGGTTTATCAGTCAAGTTCAGAACTTTTACTCATAACTGTCAAGAACTGTGAAGATTCTCAGATTTTGCCTTGCCTCCAGCTAACAAGTTAGCCTGCCACATTTTTCATAGATGCTGGTGGAAGACATGAAACTCCTGGCTCAAAGACAAAGATCTATAGTAGTCACAACAGCCAGAATATCAGTCTTTGCCCTGGTTCCCTGAACTGCAAGATGAACAGGGTGAGAGATGAACAGGGTAGATGATGCTTGCACATGCAGTGGCTGCAGTATAGGGGAGGAACCCTAAGCATAAGGAACCCCTATCTTCTATATCAGGCAGTAAACTGAATTTTGCCTTGGAGGGAGACACTATTATACTGGATAGTAAACAAACCTGCCTTTTGCTCTGGAGGGAGACATAATCTCTGACTTCCAAAGTTGTTCACTATGCCTGCATCCTCAAAATGTAGTTCATAACAAAGACATCTAGTGTCTCTACTTAGAAGATATGCAGAAACACATGAGATCCATGAAGAACTGTCTACCAACAGTGACAGTAGGAAGAAGTACTCTTTTTCCTTTTTTTTTTTAAAGATTGTATTTATTTGAGAGAGAAAACATGAGTCTTATTACCTTCAAAATGACGAAAAATGAGAGAAAAGAGTAAAGTATCAGAACCTGACATCATTTCAAAATTTGTATTTGTGTCAAACACTGATCTGAGCTGTATGCACAGATCTTTGCAGACCAAGGCAATAAAAAACCTTAGGCAGTCTTTATACACAAGCCCTAAAAGAGACAAACAGCACTGGAGAAACAGTATCTAAGATGGCTCAAGACTTTAACTTTTCTACTTTTAACTTAAGTGTCTACTGGTGAAATTTTTCTAATCTCCTCAGACTTTCCCCAATCCTCCATGTTAGCGTCTGAATCTGACTAAAGCAGCTTACTTCTAATAGAGACCAACAAAGATAAGAAAAAAGGCCACTGGGATGCCTGGGTGGCTCCATGGTTGGGCGTCTGCCTTTGGCTCAAGGCTTGATTCTGGGATCTAGGATTGAGTCCCACATCAGGCTCCCTGCAGGGAGCCTGCTTCTCCCTCTCCTATGTCTCTGCCTTTCTCTCTCTGTGTCTCTCATGAATAAATAAATAAAATCTTAAAAAAAAAGAAAAAAGGCCATAAAAATCTCACCATCTAGGAAATACCAATGCTGATAATTCTAGGCTTTTTACCTATGTGTTTTTTTAAAATACCATGTAACATAAAAAGTTGCATATCTAGTGCTTTGTTTTTAACTTAATATCATGGTATTAAGTAAACTAAAAACTTCTATATTTATTTAAAAGTATAAAGATACTTTTAAATGAATATATTTGACCACTGTCTTAATTTTGCATACACACACACACACACACACACACACACACACCATACAGACATATAGGATTCCCCTACCCTCATAAAGAATACTGCATTAGGGTCACCTGAAAAATACAAAAAATACCAATGCCCTAGTTCCTCCATTCTGATGTAATTACTAAGGGTGATGTCCCACAAAGGTATTTCTAAAAAGCTCCTCCAGGTGATTTCATGTTCTCATTGCTGGCTGAGATAAAACAACTAGGGGAGGAGGAAACCAGACAAAATGAAGACCATCTGCTCCATCTAAATAAATCAACAACCACCTAGTCCTGCCTTAGAGATAAGCTAGGAAATATTGACATTTATGCGACATTTAATACTTATATACTAGCAATTAACTAATAAGTATGAGCCAAACAAAACAAATTTGTAACCCGATTGCAAAAAGCTCTATTAATAACCTTATAGGGAAAGAAGCTCCTTTCCTGGCCTTTAACATGCACAACCTCAGAGAAATATGTTTTTATTCTTCAGAGAATAAAATTAAACTAGCAAGTAAAAAACATTTTAGATTACTAACTACTGGTAAACAAGGTATCTATAGTTTCTGTACTCAAATTTTTTTTAAGATTTATTTATTTATTCATGATAGACACAGAGAGAGAGAGAGGCAGAGACACAGGAGGAGGGAGAAACAGGCTCCATGCCAGGAGCCTGAGGCAGTGCTCGATCCCGGGACTCCAGGATCGTGCCCTGGGCCAAGGGCAGGCGCTAAACCACTGAACCACCCAGGGATCCCCTGTACTCTATTTTTTGCCTTCAGTTTTTAAAAAAAATTTAAATTCAATTTAATTAACATATATTGGATTAGTTTCAGAGGTAGAATTTAGTGATTCTTCAGATCACATAACACTCAGTGCTCATTACGTCACGTGTCCATCACCCACTTATCCCATCCCCCCACCAACCTCCCGTCAGCAACCTTCAGTTTTTTCCCTATAGAGAAGTCTCTTATGGTTTGCCTCCCTGATTTCCTCTTATTTTTCCTTCCCTTCCCCTATGTTCATCTGTTTTGTTTCACTCACGAACAATAAAAGTGTTTCATTCACAATGAAAGTAGAGTGTGATCATTCCACATATGAGTGAAATCATATGGAATTTGTCTTTCTCTGACTTATTCCTCTTAGCAGAATACCCCCTAGTTCCATCTACCTTAATGCAAATGGCAAAACTTCATTCTTTTTGATTGCTGAGTAATATCCCATTGTGTGTGTGTATATATATATATCACATCTTCTTTATCCATTTGTCAATGGACATCTGGACTCTTTCCATATTTTGACTACTGTCAGACACTGCTGCTATAAACATTGGGGTGCACCTGCCCCTTTGAACCTCTATTTAACAAGGATTTTTAGAGCCCTACTATGGGATAGGTATTGTATGTTAAATGGTGAACAAACATATTTTATTTGTAAAAAGTGAAGGTGGCTAGAAGTAGGGAAAAAAAAGAGTCCTCATATTTAAAATAACTAACTGGCATGCTGGGTGCAACTGCTTTAATTGCCATTAGGCTAATATTAATGAAAAAACCTCAAAAGCTATCCTCATTTTATTTTTAGGTAGAGAAAAAAAAAGAGTACTATCATAAACATCTATATATACAAAGGCTGTTTGGTATTTTGTATTATTACCTGACGCTATAGTTTTAGAGAATTACTAGATAAAGAGTGTGATCATTTTTTTAAGTACCTAATTCATATAATTTCAAATTGTATTTGAATGGCTGCATATTCAAGCTTCCACCATCCATATATCAGAAAGCCATCTCCTTATTTAGTTTTTCTGCATTTTCCATGTTTCTACAATGAACATGTTATTTTTATGATTAAAAAAGGTATTTTCTAAAAGGTAGTAATATGTGGAAATGAGTTTAATATAATTTTAAGAGAAAGGAAAATAAAATTATCAAAATATGTGATCATTTCAATCATCTGAAAAAACATCTCGTTATGTTTTTGTGTATTTTCCATAATGAGCATATGTTACTTTTACAATTAGAAAAAAAAATCTACTGAAAAGTATGGCCTTTTAAAAATATGGCAACCTAATGGCATTTAACCTGTCCATGTTTTCATCATTACAGTAAGTTTATACATATTGGAAACCATCCCCACCTCCAGCTTCTTTCCCCAAGTACTTAAAATTCCAGTATGAAAAGAAAATTAAAAAGGCCAGGTAAACAGCAGGGGATCATGTCATGATTAATCCAACCAAGGTTCACCAATGTAAACAGGGAGATGATGGACTAAAATTTATGTGGAACTTCTCCAATCTTTAAAATTTTTTTTTCAATCTTTAAAATTTTTAATTAAAAACAGAAATAATATTCCTTGGTCCATATGTTATTTATCTGTTTTTGAAAACCTAACACAATGCTCATACTAGGTATTCAGTGTTTGATGAATTAAAAAATATGGTATATAATGTAAAACTGGATTAGTAAAAAGACTTTGAAAGAAAAAAAATAATTTTCCTAAAAATATAAGCCTTAAACTGCACACGTATAAATAACATGTATAAATAGTCTAGGCAGGTTTTTACCTCCTAGCTACATTAAATATACATAATATGAGTAACAACTCCTTGGGTAAGCTATGTATAAATCCTTTTTTAAAAAAAAAAAAAAAGATTTTGTTTATTTATTAATGACAGACACACAAAGAGAAAGAAAGGCAGAGACACAGGCAGAGGAAGAAGCAGCTCCATGCAGGGAGCGCAATGCAGAACTTGATCCCAGTACCCCAGAATCACACCCTGACCCGAAGGCAGATGCTCAACCGTGGAGCCAACCAGGCACCCTATGTATAAATCCTTTTTTTTTTTTAAAGATTTATTTATTTATTTATTTATTCATGATAGACACAGAGAGAGAGAGAGGCAGAGACACAGGAGGAGGGAGAAGCAGGCTCCATGCTGGGAGCCCAACACAGGACTCGATCCCGGGACTCCAGGGATCGCGCCCTGGGGCCAAAGGCAGGAACTAAACCGCTGAGCTAGGGATCCCCTGTATAAATCCTTTTAAAGGAAAACTTAAAATTATACTGCGCCATACACATCAGGAAGAAACAACCAATGAGCTGCCTCTGAAGCCTCTTTCTGATTAACAAGACTGAAACTACAGTGAAATCAGATATTTTTAAACTAATAAAAAAATTATGTACTATCATTTTGTTAGTACACGAATAATTCCTATGCCTCATGCAAAGTATAGAAGATAATGCAAAAGAATTGACAAACCTGCACATTACCCCTGCCAATGAAACCTAGAAGCAACTGGATTTGAATTTGAGGAAGTTCTCTCCATATTGTACTTTCAGAACAGCAAACTGACAGACCATCGAAGAGCAGCATCAGATCCTCTAAAAGCTATCACAAGGGAAAAATTGAGAAATAAAAACATTCCATTTTAATACCTACTGGTGAGTTTTCCCCAACAGTAATACATACCATATATATTTCAAAATTAGTTCAATTGGTAAAAAGCTAAAAGAATTATCCTAGTAATAGCTAATGAAATCTGTTAATGATTTATCACATCTTATCCATGTTTGTTGTATCTGATTAAATAGTAATGCTCTAAAAAGAGGGGGCACAAAATTTTGTTGAATAAAGTCCTTGACAACCAGAAAAATAATATCAAAGAATTATTACTGTACCTTCTCAGTCCACATGTTTGAATTAACAAGACCCTCTGACTGCAGGAAGTCCTGTATGATCACAATAAGTCGTAAGGCATTATCAGCAGTTACTGGATTAGTTTTGGATTCTCTGTTTTCTGTGATTGCCCATTCTAACATTTTCTGTAGCAAACTAAATGCAAAACAAAATCATTTTAAAACCATTTTAAGTTTAGAAAAATAGTAAAACATGAAAAAAAAAAACCCTAGTTATTCATTAATATGCCTGTAATCTGCAAAGATACACACTTACTGGCAGGGATCAGAGGACATTTAATAACAATGAAGCACCTTTTAATATCTGAAGTATATATCTTTAATAAATGTAATACAAAAGGAAAGTAAAAATTATGTTTTATTTAACTATAAAAAAGCTGTTAAAATAATTCAAATTTCATTCTCTATGAATACTTAAGTTTCTTTAAAGCTGGAAATTGAGGTAAGAAAAAAAGGCCTTATTATGTCTTTTAGAAGGTCTAGCCCTGCAGAGAACTCTAAATGTTTTAGTGAAGCAATTTTTATGAAAATACTACTTGCTTCCCTCACATAGAAACTAATTTGGACAAGACTGTAGAACATGATGCCTAACTTATTACAAAAGTAATTTAAACAACAAGGAATATAAAATCACTAAAATCCAAACTAAAAATTTAAACCTCCTCCTACTTTTGGATTTCTCTTTAGATTTCACTAAAATGGCAACAGAGGAAAAAAGGGGGCTGAGCACAAAGTTTCTCCTTTTCCCTCACTATACCTACTAAATCATGAATAAATGTTCAATAAATAACACTTTAGACTTCTATACTTCAAAAGGAAAGGGTCAATAAAAAAAAAAACAAACAAAAGGAAAGGGTAAATCACCAACTGAATGCTTACGTTAATTTTATTTCATCTGATGGTCTAAGTAGTTCACTGGATATTCCTGGTTTAGTTAGTGCTGAAAACACTTGTCCCCGTTCAATCCAAGTATCATCATCAGACTTTTCTAGTCCCTTACACATTACATAGTTCAAAATATTTGTCAGTAATTGAAGAAGCTCCTCCTCACATCTCTATAAAAAAGATAAAACTAATATTAAATCATTGAAAGGAGGTGGTGTTAAAAGCACATAAAAAGAACCATCACATATACTGACTATAATCACTTAACACATTTTTAAAGTGTCTTGATGAACCAGGAACTTTGCTGAGTAGGCCCTAGAGATATGAAGATGAGTAAGACACTGGCTTTGTTCTCAAGACACAATTTAATGATTCTAGGCTTCCAAAATCTTAGATCATAAGACTTATAACATGAATATAATACGAAATTTTTAACAATTACACATTTCTAAGGATTACAAGTGTAAAACAGACATGCGAAGAAAAAAAAAACAGCATTTGGATAAATAAGTAATTTTACCTCTTGGCTTTCAAGTAAAGAGAAGTCATCACCAAACCCTGTATCACTTATGATGCTGCTCTCTTTGTCAGACTGCACAGAAAATGACTTAGTAGATTCTATTGGGGATGGCGTGCTAGGCAGGCTGTCTGGCATGTGACTTCCACTGTCACTCAGTTCACATGAATCTATTCCACTGAGATCTAAACTCAAATGTGAAAGGTTATTATTCCAGAATTCTTCTTGATTCTCTGATTTGAAAGATAATTCTCCCAGAGAACTATCTTCTTGAAATAATGGTGTGTTTGAGTCTAGAGAGTGTCTATCCTCTAAACTCCATTGATCTGAAGGCACATTAGCTGAGGCAAAAGAGTTGATTTTTTCTTCATCAGTCTTTTCATCAAAGTTCCTCCTGGTATCTTCAGCTGATATATTTTTATCATTGTCTTTCATTGAAACAGCCCTACTGTGCTTATGAAGAGTATTCCCATTTTCAAAATTCATTTTTAAAAAAAGTTTAACTAAAGTGTCTTGCCAACCCACTTGTTGGGATATTTGATGTGCTGCATCTGGTTGGGACTGCAAAATCTGTAAAATCTACAAAGAGATTAAGAATACAAAATTCGTCAAAATATGCAGTACTTCACATCAAAAAGAGTTTCTTTTCAGTTATTTTAATGGCAGTGTAATTTAATGAGAAACTGAGGGAAGATATACTTTCAAAAAATCATGTTCTTAACTGGATTACAAACTATCTGGAGGGTATACATTGTGTTTTTAAGTAATCTGCATATTACTCATTTTACAGAGTACTTAAATATTTGCTGAAAGAAAAAAAAGGAAAAAAATGATCCTCTACATATCAACAACACTCATGTTATTAATTTAATCTGGTCAAAGAGAATGAAGATATATAGATATATATATAAAATGTAATATAGTTATCTCCTCTCAACTAAATACTTTCCATGAGCCTACTACATTTGTTTAGCAAATACTGAATATATACTATGTACCAGGTCTCATTCTGGCCCTAGGGTTAAGGGAGTAAATAGGACACACAAACACTTTAATAGACTCTAGATATCCCAAGAATGTTTCCCCATCTTATTTCCTTTTCCAGGGAAAGTTAATGGTTGCTTGTGCAAAAACATTTTTTCCCCATTAACTCTATATTGTACAAACACTAATTCCAATAAGATGGATGCTGCTATTTAGCTGGAAAAAGAAACTGAAATTAAAGAACAGACACTGACATGTCAGTGTATATGATCTCTACTACTACCCAACTGATTCCAATTTTTGGATTAAAACAAGTTCTGCAATGAGTTGCAATGAGTTGCAATGAGTCACAATGACACGATGTTCCTTTCCTTATTAATGCTATTGGTAAGCTACTATTACGCTACTGAAGCAGAATATCAATTTTTTCTAAGCAAAAAAATTTTTATTTCATGATTTTAAAATTTCTATAAAATAAGACTTATTTTATGTCTACTTTACAAACATATAATGGATAAAACTAGGCTGCACTGAAAGCTCTTTTCAAATGGAAAGGAAAGGATCAATCCATATGACTAGCTTCAAGGACAATACAGCAAAATCCATCAAAATGTGAAATATGAATACACTCTGACACAGCAATTCCATTTCATGGACTATAACCTACAGATGAATTACCAAAAAAAGGGAAAAATATATGTAAAAAGGTGTTCTTAGCAGAAGTTTAACATAGAAAAACAGGAAACAACCTAAATGTCCATGAATAGGGAACCAGGTAATACTTTATACAACAGCCACAGAATAAAAACTATACATAGCTGCTAAAGAGAAAGATATATATCCAGACTTACTAATGGAAAAATACAATAACATCATTAGGGAGTAAAATTAAAAAGAAAACCAAGGAAGCAAATTAAACAGTAGGTCAGTGATTGCTAGTAGAGGAGAGGGTTATAATCAGGAAGAAGCTCACAGGATAACTATTTTTTTACTTAGTTAAAGGGATGCCTGGGGGTGCCTGGGTGACTCAGTTAAGCAACTGCTTTTGGCTCAGGTTATGATCCTGGGGTCCTGGGATTAAAACCTACATAAGGCTCCCTGCAAAGGTGGGGAATCTGTTTCCCCTCTCTCTTTGTGATCTCTCTCACTTTCAATCTCTCAAATTTATTTTTTAAAAAGATTTTATTTATTCATTCATGAGAGAGACAGAGAGAAAAGCAGAGACATAGGCAGAGGCAGAAGCAGGCTCCCTATGGGGAGCCTGATGTGGGACTCAATCCCAGGACTCTGGGATCACAACCTGAGCCGAAGGCAGACATTCAACCACTGAGCCACCCAGGCATCCCTCAAATAAGTAAATTTTTTAAAAATCTTAAAGGGATGCACTGAAGGCAAGTCACTGTTGCTTTTCCACAAAGATCCAATGATTCAGAAATTCTACAATAATGGTATATGAATTAGAAATGGTCACAATTGTTGACACCTTATTCTTCTAATAAATTTTTTACTGTGGAAAGGGCCCATTTCCAGGAGACCATGCAAAGCTAAGAACACATTTTTATGCTGATTTTGTGACTTCATTTAATTCACCCCCAAAAAGGAAAGTACTTATTTATAAAATCATGTCATTTATAAAATAACAGAAATTAAAACTTATATCTGGTGTAAAATACTCAATATAAAAGTTATTCACAGTATTAACAATACTCTTATTTTTAGGTATATCTTAAAAGTTTACTAACCTTTCTGCAGACAACCACCCTGACATTTATATGTGTTCTATGCGATATATATACCACAGACAACAGATCTTTGAAATTAATAGCAGGATCTATGGTGGGGAAAAACAAAGATAAAATAAAATTCCAGAGATAACCAAAGAAAGAACTGTGATAGATAATGTTTCATTTTTATTTTTCTTGCTGTCAACAAGAGATATCCTTTATTTTTTTCTAGCTTTGTTGAGATATAATTGCCATAAAACAGTGTATAAATTTAAGCCATACAACAGGAGGATATGACTTATGTATATACTGAAAATACCCAATAAGGTTAGTTAACATCCATCACCTCAAATAGTTACCATTTTCCATTAAAGTGAAAACTTTTAAGATCTGCTCTTTTAGTAACTTTCAAGTATATAACATTGTTAATTATAGTCACCATGTTGCACATTAGATCCCCAGAATTTATTCATCTTATAACTGGAAGCTTGTACCATTTGACCACCTTCACTCATTTGCCCCACCCCCAGCCCCAGCAACTTCCAATCTACTCTCTGTCTCTAGAAGTTCGGTTTTTTTAATTTCATGTAGGAGTGAGACCATACCGTATGTGTTCTTCTCTGACTTATTTCACTTAGCATAATAATGCCCTGCTGTTGTTCTATTACAATGGCTAGATATTATATATATATACACATATATTATTATATATATGTACACATATAAAGTTATACACACATACACACACACACTCTATTTTTAATTCTTGGAGGAACCTCCACAGTAGCTGCACTAATTTGCATTCCCAGCAACACTGCACAAGGGTTTCCCTTTCTCTGTATCTTTAGCAGCACTTGTTATCCTTTGTCTTTTTGATAACAGCCATCTCAACAGATGTGACGTGCTTTCTCCTTCTAGTTTTGATTTACATTTCCCTTATACTTAGAGATGTAGAGTACCTTGTCATATACCTACAGGCTATTTGTATGTCTTCTTTGCAAAAAAGTCTATTCATGTTCTTTGCTTTTTTTTTTTCCTTAATTCTAGTTAGTTGACATACAGTTCAATACTGGTTTCAGGAGTAGAGTTCAGTGGTTCATCATCTACATGTAATACCTAGTGCTCATCATTACAAGTGCCCTCCTTAATACCCATCACCCATCTATCTATCTTACCCCCCCAATCCACTTCCCTCCATCAACCCTCAGTTTGTTCTCTATAGCCAAGAGTCTCTCAGGATTTCTTTCCCTCCCTTGCCTCTTCTTTCCCCCTCCCAAATGTTCATCTGATCTGTTTCTTAAATTCCACATGAGTGAAATCATATGGCATTTATCTTTCTGACTTGTTTTGCTTAGCATAATATACTCTAGCTCCAACCATGTCACTGCAAATGGCAAAATTTCATTTTTGATGGTTGAATAGTATTTTTGATGTTGAATATACATACACACACACACACGCGCGCGCGTGCCACATCTTCTTTATCCATTCATCAGTCCATAGGCATTTGGGCTCTTTCTGTAGTGTCTATTATTGATAATGGTGCTATAAACACTGGGGAACATGTACTCTTCTAAATGTGTATTTCTGTATTCCTTGGGGAAATACCTAGTAGCACAATTGTTAGATCATACGGTAGTTCTATTTTTAGCTTTTTGAGGGACTGCCATAATTTTCTCCAAAGTGACTACACGAGTTTGCATTCCTACCAACAGTGGAAGAGGGTTCCCATTTCTTAGCATCCTAGCCAACACCTGTTGTTTCCTGTGTTGTTAATTTTAGTCATTCTGACTGGTGTGAGATGGTATCTCATCACGGTTTTGATTTGTATTTCCCTGATTATTAGTAACGTTGAGCACCTATTCATGTGTCTGCTAGCCATCTGGATGTCTTCTTCAGAAAAATGTCTATTCGTGTCTTCTGCCCATTTCTTAACTGGATTATTTGTTTTTTGGATGTTGAGTTTAATAAGTTCTTTACAGATTTTGGATACTAACTCTTTATTAGATATGTCATTTACAAATATTTTTCATGAGTTACTTTCTCCCACCCTGTAGACTGCCTTTTCTTTCTGTTGATGGGTTTTCTCACTGCGCAGAAGCCTTTTAGTTTGATACAGTCCCACTTGTTTGTTTTTGCTTTTGTTGCTTGTGCTTTTGGTGTCATTGCCAAGACAAATGTCAAGGACTTTTCCTTATATTTTCTTCTAGGAGTTACATGATTCAGGGCTTACACTGAAATCTTTAACCCATTTTAAGTAAATTTTTGTAAATGGTATAAGATAGGGCTTCATTTTTATTCTTTTGCATATAAATACCCAGTTTTCGGCGGCCCCAGTGGCGCAGAGGTTTAGCGCCGCCTGCAGCCCAGGGCGTGATACTGGGGACCCTGGATTGAGTCCCACATCGGGCTCTCTGTATGGTGCCTGCTTCTCCCTCTGCCTGTGTCTCTGCTCTCTCTCTCTCTGTCTCTATGAATAAATAAATAAAATCTTTAAATAAATAAATAAATACATACATACATACATACCCAGTTTTCCCAATGCCACTCATTGAATAGACTATTTTTCTCCCACTGAGTATTCTTGGATCCCTTGGCAAGTATCAGTTAACCAGATATACCTGGTTTTATTTCTGGGTTTTCAATTCTAATCCACTGGTCTATGCGTGTTTTTATGCTAGTACCATACTGTTTTGATTCTATAACTTTGTAGTATAATTTGAAATCAAGACCTATGATGCTTTCAGCTATTTTCTTCTTTTTCAAGTTCTTTCTCAAAGAATAAACTGTGGGTAATAGTTATACTGAAATGACTATCTCATTTAAAATAAAGACTATTAGAGGCACCTGAGTGGCTTAGTTGGTTAAGTGTCTACCTTTGGCTCAGGTCCTGATCCTGGGATCGAGTGCCACTCAGGCTCCTTGCAAAGCTCCTTCTGTCTCTCATGAATAAATAAATAAAATTTTTTTAAAAAGGTAAAATAAAGACTGTAGAGGGGTGCCTGGTTGGCTCAGCTGGTTAACCAGCCAACTCTTGATTTTAGCTCAGGTCATTATCTTGGAATCCTGGGATCAAGCCCTTATGTTGGGCTCCATGCTCAGCAGGGAGTCTGCTTGAGGATTATCTCTCTCCCTTTCCTCTGCCCCTCCCCTCTCCTGAACTCATGCTCTCTAAAATAAAGAAATCTTTAACAAATAAGAATTACAGATATGTTTAAATTTTACAAAGAAAATGGATTTAGAATATTTGGCATTCTCCTAAGTCATAAACAACAGGTTTTTTTTCTGATTGTCATACTGTTTCTTACATTATTCTTTTTTATGTACATGCCTTATATCTTGTGTGCTTATCAATAAGATAAACTATTCAAGACAAAGAAACCTATACCTTTTGAACCCCTAGCATCTGACATAAACACTACATTTTGTAGTACATACTAAAAAAAATGTTATTTAAAAAAATGAGAAACAAAAGGATATCTGAAAGAATATCTAAAATTAAGGATTTAAGCTCCCTTAACAAAAAGACAGAATGTTTTATATGTATTTTCACTAGCATCCTTTTCTTATTATAGAGGATTCAATTATTTACTAATCAATCAATAAACAATTACTGAAGGCCTAGCAAGTAAGGCACTATGTATGCCTGGGAGAGAAAAAAACAAAAAGGTAAATAAAAAATAGTACCCAAGAAAAGCCCTGCTGAATCAAATAATAGGTCATTAAAAAGTAACCTGAGGAAGGAAGGGAAAAAAACACTTTAGAAAAAAAACTGAGAACCATCAAATAGAATTATGCTACTACAAAGAACATTCCTTAATTATATCAGTATTATTAGCCTTAGTCATACCTGTATTTATAATTTGATTGGTGAGGCTCTTAATGAGAGAGGTATTAACAGATGCTTCATTAAGAAGAAGTCCCAATCCTGAATAGCCAACTTCTCGGAGCCGAATACGTTGCTTACTTCGTTCATAAACATTTGTGCATTTCAACATTTGTTCCATAACCTGGTCACAACAGTAATATATTCTTCTCAATACAGAGAACTGAGAACAGTCTGTCACTTAAGTTAATACTGAATATAATATTATCATACTAGCATTATTTTGGAGCATCATTTTATTACTTAAGTTCAACAAACCCAGAAGTAACAGGGAGGAATACTTCATATAACATACTCTCATTTAAAAAATGGATTTAAGGGATCCCTGGGTGGCGCAGCGGTTTAGCGCCTGCCTTTGGCCCAGGGCGCGATCCTGGAGACCCGGGATCGAATCCCACACTGGGCTCCCGGTGCATGGAGCCTGCTTCTCCCTCAGCCTGTGTCTCCACCCCTCTCTCTCTCTCTCTCTGTGTGTGACTATCATAAATAAATAAAAATTTTAAAAAAAATAAAAAATAAATAAAAATAAAAAATGGATTTAAGAAACTGAACTAAAATAAAATTAAAATTTGCATTTAAATAAAATAAATAAATAAATAAATAAATAAATAAATAAATAAATAAATAAATAAATAAATAAATAAATAAAATATTTAGGGATCCCTGGGTGGCTCAGCGGTTTAGTGCCTACCTTCGGCCCAGGTTGTGATCCTAGAGTCCCAGGATCGAGTCCTACATCAGGCTCCCTGTGTGGAGCCTGCTTCTCCCTCTGCCTGTGTGTCTCTGTCTCTCTCTCTCTCTCTCATGAATAAATAAATAAAATCTTTAAAAATATATATATATTTAAAACTGTTGTTTACATATATTTCTTGGCAGATCAAAGAATTTAAAATTTCCTTTTTAATGGCTAAGGCTTAGATAAAAATAAACCTTAACAGCCTTCATGAAAAACAAAAGTATATTATTTTAAAAGAGAAAAAAGATACTTCTAGATCAATTTAGTAATTTCTGTAATATTTATGTAACAGTTATCAAAATAATTTTTAAGAACAAGGAAACATTTTGTGAAGCAACACATCTATATGTTCAAATGGGAGAACGAGTTAGTAATCCCATGCTTTTCTGAAGTGTGATCAGTGTTTTAAAAGTGACATGTGAAACTCTATGGAAAGGATAATTTTGGCAGAATAATATCATGAACAATCCATATAAGGCCATTTCTGGAGAATTAACATTTAATCTCTGTAAAGGAGTGATTGGGCACATACTTTAAAGAGCAGCCAAGGGGGCCCCATAAGTGATACTCATGAGAGACTTTGCCAGATTATTTTTATTGCACCTTTGTTTTCCAAAGTCTAGGGATTCCAAGCACAGGCAATCCAAACTTGACCCCATAAATAGACTTGTATTATAAAATGTAACACTAATGATATAAGAAGAAACAAATGTCATAGGCGATCAGGCTGAACGAACAGAATAAATTACGGTAAGTAAAAATATGACTCACTTCTCTTTTTTAAAAAAAACAAAAAACAAAAAACAAAAAATGTGAGGTAGGTGGCTTCACCAAAAGCTCCAAGTGACTGCTTTGGATAGCTTAACAAAATATATTCAATATCCTTTGACAAGTTACTAACCTCTCTGACCTCAGTTTCTTTACTTGTAAAATGGGAATAACAATGTACACTTCACCAAGTTTTTGCAAGGACTAAGTTAGCTAACATCTGAAGAATGTTTACTGGCTGATGAATAGTGGGTGCCACATGAGGTTAGTTGTTATTATTAACTGCTAAAATGTCTGATCTGAAACAAAGACCCATGGTAAGTCAGAAGAGAGATGAGACAAGGAGTGAAATGGAGTGGAAGGTACAGGCTTCCAGTTATGAAATGAGTAAGTCACAGGAATAAAAGGTAGAACATAGGAAATATAGTCAATGGTATTGTAATAACAAGTGACAGATGGTAGCTACACTTGTGAGGAGCATAGCATAATACATAAACTTTTAGAAACATGATGTTATACACTTGAAACTATTGTAACATGTGTATCAATTATAAAGAAACCGTTAAAAGGCAAAAAAGGGAGAGGTTTTATTGAGGATGATACAACAAAGTGGATTTTCCACTGAAATAACTGATCAGATTACAATATAATTAGTTTTTAAAAATTCAAGATATGAAAAATATATATCAAAACAAACTGAAGAATTGATTAATTAATTTTTTTAAGATTGTATTTATTTATTCATAGAGACAGAGAGAGAGAGGCAGAGACACAGGCAGAGGGAGAAGCAGGCTCCATGCAGGGAGCCTGACATGGGACTTGATCCCGGGTTTCCAGGATCACGCCCTGGGCTGCAGGCGGCGCTAAACCACTGAGCCCCTGGGGCTGCCCCTAATTAATTTATTTTTAATGCAGGTTCCACATCTTAGCATAGAGCTCAACGCTGGGCTTGAATTCACAACCCTGAGATTGAGACCTGAGCCAAGATCAAGAGTCAGACGCTTAACTCAGAGTCACTCAGGTACCCCTACAACAATTTAAAATTAGATAGATATGAAAAAAAGAATTTACATTTATAAAATAGATATTTATAAGTAAATTCATATACTCACAAATGTCCCCAAATATAAAGATGCTTAAGAAATGTGTGTACCTTAAAAACAATTTCTCTTAGTCTGTCAGAGTACTTCTGATTTAAGAGCAAGGCATAAAGTATGTCAGCATTTCCTGGTTCAAACAGCAGTAAGAAAAGCTGACCTCTAGTTGGGCTGGTACGTAGGAGACTGAAGAGCATATCCAAAATTCCGAAGAGCTTTTAAAATTAAGCAACACAAAACAACCACATTCATATATGGAAGTAAAAATAAAATCTGAGCGACAGTTATTTAAACTAAGTCCCATATACCCTAATGTTTTAGCTTAACTGAACTGTCTGATGTCTTATGAAATAGCCCTGACTTTTACCTCCATTATGTTTTTGGCTTATTTCCTTTTGTACATCCTCTTAATGTGCATGTTCACTTGCTGAGCCTTATTATGCCTCAGCTACATTAAAAGCTATGTCTTAAAAAAAAAAAAAAAAAAAAAAGCTATGTCTTCCATAAAGCCTTTCCTGGTCTCAACATGTAATACTCTCCTTTGAAAACCTCATAGGACTTTGTATTACTCTTATAGTTACTATCATATTCTTTTATTGTTTGTTCCATAACTATTTATAAACTTCTCTTATTCACTCTTCCCTCTATTAGGCTAAAAGAATGTTAACTTACTCATTTTAATATACCCATAATATTTAATGTTACTCTGTGTGTATAATGAGCTTTCAAGATGAATGGATAAAGAAGATGTGGTTTATGTATACAATGGAATATTACTCAGCCATTAGAAACGACAAATACCCACCATTTGCTTCAGCGTGGATGGAACTGGAGGGTATTATGCTGAGTGAAGTAAGTCAATCGGAGAAGGACAAACAGTGTATGTTCTCACTCATTTGGGGAATATGAATAATAGTGAAGGGGAATATAAGGGAAGGGAGAAGAAATGTGTGGGAGATATCAGAAAGGGACACAGAACATAAAGACTTCTAACTCTGGGAAATGAACTAGGGGTGGTGGAAGGGGAGGAGGGCGGGGGGTGGGGGTGAATGGGTGGCGGGCACGGAGGGGGACACTTGACGGGATGAGCACTGGGTGTTATTCTGTATGTTGGTAAATTGAACACCAATAAAAATTAATTTATTAAAAAAAAAATGAGCTTTCAATAAATACCTCTTTGACTGAATTGACCAAGAAAATATTGGCAATTAATCACAGTGGGTGACAATACAGCTATCATGAAATAAGATGGCTACTGACTAAATAAAAAGAAGCTTCTGGAGTCTAATCTTATGGGGAAATAGCCTAATTTAACTCATCTATATAATATCAATTATGAAGTCATGTAATATCTGATTACACAATGAATACTTCATCATAGAACACAAAATATTTGAGTCAACATAAATTAAGGCTACTAAGGTTTGGTGTTGAGAGTGGTATACAGAAAGAGCACAGAAATAGCAGTAAATATACCTGAGTTCTATTCCCAGGTTTGCTAGCTGTATGACTTTTTAAGTCATCTAATCTCTCTGAATATGTACTTCCAAATGTGCAAATGCGAAGATTAATTCCTGGTCTGTATATTTTATATCAGTGGTTCTCAAAGTTTACCATGTGTCATAATCACCTGGAAGGCTTAGTTCAGTATGTGTGCATTTCTAAAAAGCTCCCAGGTAAATCTGGTCAGGAACCATACATTGAGAACCACTGTTTTAAAGAGTAGCTCTGAGATACAAATAAGTAAGAATGTAAAAGTATCTGAATATATAAATATATTTATAATTTACTCTTCATACAAAATTTTTATAAACCTATGTTAAAACACGTTAGAAATCTGCCCAGTATCTTGAATGACAGGTAACTATACATCATGTGGCCTATGAAAATAAGATTCAGAACTACCACAACAACTATTTCCAGATATACTACTTTCTAGCTAATTAAAATATTTGATTACATTACCACCTCTTTAGTTAAATTTTCAGTTAAGAGATAAAAATTTACTTCTTTAACTGCATAATACTGTTTTTCATATGATAAACATTTTACTTTTAAAATGTTTAATATATATGGAATTTTCAAGGAAGATGATATAGTGTGAAAAAGAAAAGAAGACTTTTTTTTTAAGAAGACTTTTCTTGGGCATAATACCTGTTCTTCTTCATTGATAGCAGCTATATAACCCATAATACTCTGTATCTCTTCATGAGTTCCACCTTTGCACAGAAAATACTTAATTAGTCCATACAAAGAAGTCCTTATTGTTCGAACGTCATCTAAAGACAGCTCACTATATTTACAATCAGTCCTGAAAGAGAAAGTAAAAGTGCAAGAATTGAAATGTAAAATGTTTACATTTTAGTATTTTACACGAAAGAATTCATAGTTTAAATAAAGATGTTTCCATGTAATTATTAGAATTCATGGTATCTTTGTTTTCTTTTTTAAGGAAAACCTTGAATTTCAATGACAAAGATATAAATAGTTAAACAGCTTATATTTAAGCAACACTAAGTGTCAGATGCAGTTTTAAGTGTTTTGCATATTATTAATGCATTTAGTTTAATTCTCAAAACAACCATAGGATATCACAGGTTTATATCTCCTGTCACAGACAAGAAAATTTAAGCACAGAAAAGTTAAGTTGCCTTCAGCCAATTATGAAATACAAGATTCAAATTCAATATATGTGGATCCACTGTTCATCATTTTAACCTCCACAGTCTCCTGTCTTTCTGAAGTTAAAGGATATTACAATTACTGGGAAATAAATAATCTAGATATTCCAAGCAAGCAGCAGGCAGAAAACAGTATCACACTGAGAAGGAGCAAGGACATCATACCCATAATAAATCCTAAGTGTATCTAGGAGAAATTGCACACCATACTTCTTTCGGAAAACTCTCCTGCTGTCTTTGATGATGGTGGAAAGATACTGTATATGACCTAAAATACAAAGTTCACTCTTAAATGAATACCTAAAATAAAATCCCACAGGTAGTTATAAATTTCTATAACAAGTATAAAATTCTATCCAACAGAATGCTCTTACCAATTCGAAAGGGAAAATCTCCACGGTTCCAAATACGGAAGTCAAAAAGTAAATACTGATACATTTGCTGCAGAAGCTGCATATTTTTTTCTAATGATACCTGTTCAATTAGTAACTGAACTGCCATCAGTACATTAACATCCATCAAGGCGCTTGGCACCTGAAATTCAAACAGAGTTTCGTAAATTTTAGTTTAAATAACTATCATTAAGCTACATCAAATTTCAAGTGATTAACTCAGAACATCTAAATATGAGAATCTTTGTTACAAAAATAGAAACAATTTAAACTTTAATTTTCCAATGTACATTAGACCATATATTCCTAATGTCATATTCCTAAAAGTCTTAAATTTATCAAATATCCCAAATACCAGTACTAACAAAATCCTATATATAAAAGATTATACACTATTACCTAAGTGAGTAATTCTTGTAAAAAAGTGATTCAGTGTAGGTTTTAAAAATCTGCTTGTCAAACAAAGTTACATCCATGAATATAACTGAAGCCATAATAATGTAATTTAAAAATATTTACTTAGTAAGAAGAAAAACCCTAAAGACAAACTGCTAATTACAATCATTAGCCACACCGACAAATATTAAACTAGCTCACCTTCTGAAGTAAGGCACCAAGAGTGGCAACTCCATGGGAGTGAATGAGATTGTCCTGGTTGATAGGATGTCTTTGAATAAAGTGTTTCACAATCAAGATAAATGTTGCAATTAAATTTCTTTCTAATCTTGACTCTGAGGAATTGTGAACATGTCATTAATTATAATTATTCTAATCACTCTTCTATCACATTTTCTGCCATAATGCATATTGTAATAATCAAAAGATCTGGGTGAGCAATCTGCTTCCAAAGGTCACTGGGACAATGCAAATATCAGAGAAACCAGCGATTGTGTATCATATACTTACATACACATGCAAATATTTTCTCTACCATAATTTTAGCAATGCTGTCATATTTCTACTAACAGTTCAAACTAAGAATAGCAAGAATAAAACCAACTTCTTAATTTTTTTGACTAAAATATTAGGAACTTTTGGAATTACATTAGTAAAATTAGGGATGGGCTGCTTCAGCTACAAATTGTTAAGTTTCCTCCTAACAGTGGCAAGACATTTTATCTGTGTTTCAATTAATCCCCAAATTTTCAATGACTATTTTGTGTTAATTATATCTTGATACCTGATGCCTTTGTGGAGGTCAATACGACCCAATCTCCTTCTACAGGAGTTATCAATTCAGAAACTGTGCTTTCATTCATTCCTTCAGAAATCTGTCCTTCACCAAAGTGGCTGATTTGTTCCAACAGAGGAAAGAGTATATTTAATCCACCTATGCAGTTTATGATGTCCTGAGAAAGAAAATTACAATTTTTTAATCTTATAAAACAATGGCAATTTTGTCATTTAATATTTATACAGCCTGTGTGAGGTTACACTTTGCTAAACTTTTAGGCAATGCACAGGACAGCCTAAGCTAAAGGAACCCTTGTTTGGGGAGATGCTTTAAAGAGTAGCCATGGGGGTCACTAAATCAATATTCAAAACTATGCCAGACCCTTTGTACCAAAACTTTGTTTTTCAAACTTTAGGGATTTCAAACACAGGCAATCCAAACTTGACCCCATAAGTAGACTTTAAAATGTAACAGTAATGATACAAGAGGGATCAACTGTCATAAAGCAATTAAGTATAATAAAATAAATTAAGAAAAAAATACAACTGGTGGTAGAAATATGACTGACTTCTCTAATTTTACTTAACAAAAAAGGTGAAGTGGGTGGCTTCAACCAAAGTTCAAAGTGACTATTTTGCATAGCTTAACAAAATATAGTCCACATTCTTTAACAAGTTACTAATATCTCTGGCCTTGGTTTCTTCATCTGTAAAATGAGGATAATAATAATTTTCACTTTGTAAAGTTGTTACCAAGATTAAGCTAATAAAAGAGTGCTTAGTGCCTGATGAGCTGGGTGCTACCCAAGATTGGTCATCATTAACTGCTAAAATGTTCTGATCTGCAGTTTAGACTCAATTTCATTATTAAACAACCCTTTTCATTCTTTTTGCCTGTTTTTCATACTGATTTTTAAGAGTACAGCAAGTAAATTAGCTTTCCGAATGGCAAGTATTTTTCTCTGTCATTTAACAAATTTTTTTTGATTTTGTTGCAGTATAAAAATACAATGAACATAAGAGACACTGAACTCTAGGAAACAAACTGAACATTTCTGGAAGGGAGGTGGGTAGGGGAAGGGATAATTTATGGGTGATGGGCATTAAGAAGGGCACTTGATATAATAAGCACTGGGCGTTACATGCAACTGATGAATCACTAAATTCTACCTCTGAAACAAATTTTTAAAAAGTCTTTAAAAAACCCAAAAAAATAAAAGTAAGACAATTTTCTGAAGGAAAAAAAATACAATGAACATTTTCTCATTCATTCTGTTCCTGTTTGATTTCCCTGTAGTTGTAACTCAAGGCACCAAAAACTACTTTGATTTTCAAATATAATGTATGGCACAAATAATCAGCTTTCTATATACAAGTAATACGTACCTACAACTAGCCTCAGAGACCAATCTTATTAAGTGACAGCAAAAGTTAACTTATGAATGGACAAATGTCATAAATTTTATCATTTTATTTATTTATTTTTTAATTTTATCATTTTAACAGGTAAAATTAAGTGGTCTCATTTCAAAGTCAAAGAGAAAAATGCTTTATACCATATGAATAACATGGACTAACAATTGATGGGTTCATTTTCTATACTGGCAGAATTATACTAACGATCTCTGTTCCACTGAAACAAAAGGCATATTTGATGGATGTTAACGGACTATAAGATAACAGGGTTTTGGGGGACTCCTGGCTGGCTCAGTCTGTTGAGGGTTCACTCTTGACTTCCACTCAGATCATGATCTCAGTTGGGGTCCTGGGACTTCTCTCAGTGGTGGAAATCTTTTTGAGGATTCTCTTTCTCCTCCCTCTGCAAGTCTCCCTGCTTGCATGCACATTCTCTTTCTCAAATAAATAAATAAACTGGAGGGGGGGGTGGTTACCTGGATGGCTCAGTGAGTTAAGCATGTGACTTTGGCTCAAGTCATGATCTCAGGGTTCTGGGATTGAGCCCTGCATTGGGCTGACTCCCTGCTCAGTGGGGAATCTGCTTGCCCCTCTGCCTCTGCTCCACCCCTCACCTGTGCTCTCTGGTTGAAATCTGCCATATAAATTTAGGGATTAAATACCTTAAAAGCAGATCAATAAACTAAGGCAGTATATTCTTCTAAAGGAAACTGTTAAATTCAAATGCAGTTTAAGGAGGTAACTAACTTTCAAGCAAACTAATCATTCTACTCCTTTGTTTATACTTCAAACTGTATATCTTGCCTGCAAACATATTCACCAGGACTTATTACTCAGATTAAACTGGTGGTGCTTAGGGATCCCTGGGTGGTGCAGCGGTTTGGTGCCTGCCTTTGGCCCAGGGCACGATCCTGGAGACCCGGGATCAAATCCCACATCGGGCTCCCTGCATGGAGCCTGCTTCTCCCTCTGCCTGTGTCTCTGCCTCTCTGTCTCTCTCTGTGTGACTATCATGAATAAATAAATAAAATCTTTAAAAAAAAAAAAACTGGTGGTGCTTAAAAGATAAACTCTTTAAAAGGTTCAATAAACTCAACATAGTATGTTGCTCATCATTACTTACCTTGATGTCCCAGTTCACTACTTTGTTTCCTGTTAATCTCCCATGCAAACAATTAGTAGATAAATCAAGACAGATTGAATTTTTGCAGGCCTAAGAATAAAAGGAAAATATGGCAAATAGCTAAGCACAATGAGGACAAAACATCATTTTAACTATATGTGAAACATTTCACCATAATTTTTTTCTTTTCTTTTAAAGATTTTATTTATTTATTCATGAGAGACACACACACACAGAGAGAGAGAGAGAGAGGCAGAGACACACAGAGAGAGAGAGAGGCAGAGACACAGGCAGAGGGAGAAGCAGGCTCCATGCAGGGAGCCTGACATGGGACTTGATCCCGGGTTTCCAGGATCACGCCCTGGGCTGAAGGCGGCGTTAAACCACTGAGCCACCCAGGCTGCCCATTTCATCATAATTTAAAAGGGTATATAGAATAGTCAATGATAAGATGCTTACAATATTAAGTTATAAGCTTCTTAAAGTCAGACACTTTATTCATCTTTATATCCTGAAAGTTCAGCACAATTCTTGGCTTGAAGAAGACACTCAAAAAATTATAAAAATTATCAGCAATGGATGGCTTAACACCTCCTACACATGAGCACAAAAATGAAAAACTGCTGACTGTCAAAAAACCCTCTAGAGCACCTTTTCCCAGACTAGTACTTGTCAATAAGTACGATTAAAAAACAGAACATGTTCTATGCTCAAATAACTTATGAAAAAAGTAGGATAAAACAAAAGTAAACTAGTTTTTAACAAGATTTTTCAAGTGATATCATCAATCTCTAAATGGATATACAAAATACATCTCCCCAAACTTAACCACAGAACACTCATATTATCACCATTTTTAAGAAATATTTTCGAAGAAAATGTTTATTGTATATATTTGCCATACTGAATTTCTTGAGGAAAAACATTAATAGCTATTTTATTACAGAATTTTATCAAGTTTAAATTTGAAAAGAGAATATGACAACCATAATGCCAAAAAGACTCAATTAGCTATTAAGTCTAGAACATGCTACTAAATACATTAGTGAGATTAAATTCAATTATTTCCTATCTACTTCTAAAAGTGAAAATAAGAATATGATACAGTTCCTCCCAAGAAAATAACTTAAAAGTCTAGTTCAGCAGACAAACATATCTTTGGAAAAAAGTTAGTGTTACAAAACGCAAACATTAAAAAAGATTGAGGCAGAAGAGACCTTATAGATAACACAATGCATGAACCTTGATCCAGATTTAAATTTTTAAAAGGCTAATAAACAAAATATTTTCAGGAAAACTGGGAAAATTTGAAAGAGTATATAAATTACTGATAATTTTTCTAGGTAGGTTAATAATTACATAGAAATATTTAGGGGTATTTAAAAGTGTCTGATAGCTACGTCAATCTATCTTCACAAAAGATTGAGACAAAGTCAACAGGTATGGCAAAATGTTAATAATTGGTGAATTCAGGTGGAGAGTATATATGATTTTAGTTTACCATTCCTTCAAACACTCTAGGCTTGAAATTAATCAAAATAAAAAGTTAAGGGTAATATAAATGGTAAGTAAATTTTATTAGGTCAGATATCACAAGTAAGTTTTCAAAGTAATAAATTATGACCACGTACTAGCTGGCTAACCTAGAAAAAAATTTCTACATTGTATAATCTCGCAAACAAAAGCATTTTCTGGGTCAGCGTAACATTTGGTACAATGAAGGCAACTAATATTGTTTATGTCACTTTCCCTTTTTTCCTTCGAGTTCTACGCTTGATCTTTCCCTCAGCTATTGCTGATCTTAATTACTTTCACTGGGTAACTCTTTGAAGGAAAAAGGACTATGTATGCTTGCATATAAGTAGTTTCTTATTTCTCTTTATGAAATAAACATTTCTTTTTTTTGGTTCGTTTTCTTGCTAGTATTACATTTAAAAAATAAAAAAAAAGTTGTTCTATTTAATCTCTCCTTCCAAAACAGTAAGATAATATAAGTTTACTGATGTCAATTCATTAGTACAAATTCCAACTATAACGATTCCCACTCATACTACTGGGATGAAATAATGATTAACATTTGAATCCTAGTTGAGAGTTGCCAATTAATTTTTATTGCTTCTCCTCTTCTTTTGAAAATTAGTAATTTTTAAATGGAAATTCAAGACCATCCTTCTCAAATATCCATCAAAATGACAAAAGGAACAAAAATGGAATTTTAGTTCACAGCATAATTACAACTAGATACACTCCATGCATTTATTCTCACCTTTGCAGTGTAGTGAAGAAGGATGTTACCAGGCAGGTCAGCCATGTCAGACTCTTGGAATTTCCAAGGACTTAAACAGTTTGGACCTGAAAATTATTTAGACACACATACACAAATGTCACTGAATATATATGGCCTCCTTGGTTCTGTGTAATCAGAATAAAATTTAAAATTAAGCTGTTTCAAGCTATTCAACACAGTTAAAACATACTAGCCATGGTATAAAATCTGGATGCAAAGCTAGGGTGTTAGAGCCCAGGAATTTGGAGGGACCTATCAGCCAGCAGTGAGGACACCTCAATGGAGAGCTGAGTTTAGGGTTAGGGTTAGGGAGAAGGTGAGGGTCCAACAGCTTGGAGGGTCCCATCTGCTATCATGGGGGAGACATCCCCGCAGGGCTGAAGTGAGGGCAAGGGTTAGTGAGGTTCAGATGCACGGCTGGTGTGCAGGGTGGGCTCAGATTGCCCTTCCAATTTCTTGAGCTCCTGCTGTCTGCTCCTCATACAAACGGCACTTTTTCCTCCTGGGGGGTGTCCCGAGCTTTCTGGTGTCGCTCATGAATCATCAGTCCCTCGGGATTTGGACCCAGGCTCTGGGGCTGGGTCAGATCACATCTCAATCTAGGGTTAGGGCCCAGGAGCTTGGAGGTTCCCATCTGCCCAAATGGTAGAGACCTCCCCAGAAGGCTGAGTTGAGGGCAAGGCTTAGCGTGAGGCTCAGGATTGGAGTTGATATGCAGTGGCGACATTGAATGTATGACTGGGCTCAGGAGGCCCTTCCAATTGTTTGGGTTCTAGATATTTGCTGGTCTTCCAAATGGCCACATTTCCCCGAGTGGGTGGCTGAGTTTTCTGGTGTCGCTTACGTGTTGTCAGTCCCTTGTGCTTCTGGGCCAGGCTATGGGGCTGGGTTGAGTCAGAACCCAATTTAGGGGCAGCCCGGGTGGCTCAGTGGTTTAGCGCCGCCTTCAGCCCAGGGCGTGATCCTGGAGACCCTGGATCAAGTCCCATGTCAAGCTCCCTGCGTGGAGCCTGTTTCTCCCTCTGCCTGTGTCTCTGCCTGTGTCTCTGCCTGTGTCTCTCATGAGTTCATGAGTAAATAAATAAAATCTTAGAAAAAAAAAAAAAAGAACCCAATTTAGGATTAGGGTTAGGGTTAGGGTTAGGGTTCGAGTTTGAGTAAAGCACTAAAGCACTGCTTACGAAACACAGATTTATGGTTTTTATTTCTTACTGCAAAGAAACTAAGGATTTTTGAGTCTGTTGGTAAACATGGTTTGTGCTTTATTGATTCATCAACTTAGGTCTAAAGAATTCGGATGTAAGGGTTCATGCTTACTTACTATATTGTTTTCAAGGGAGACTAAGGTTTCTAAAAGTTAAAATTCTGCTAACTATACAAACTGATAAGAATCAGAGATAAATTCTGCATGTAGAAAACTAGGAGATATGTTACAAAGATATAAGGAATGGAAATGTATTTTTGTTGAAGGTAAAAGAAGGAAATTTTGAAATAAATAAGATTGATTGATTGAAAAGGAAAAAAAAAACATACTAGCCAAATGAACTTTATTTTTACATCACCTCCAGTTCATCTAAAACCTAAAAAAAGCTGGGGGGTGGTTTGATGTCCACTAGAGAAAGGGAATTTTATATGGTATCAGAAAACTAATATCAAATATAACAAAATTTACTTAGTAATTTATCTAACGTAATTTAAATTTATAAGATAAAATAGCAAAACAATCAACCAATAATGTGAATAGATACCACAGAAATTGAACTGTGAATTAATAAGACTAAAAAAAAATCTAAGAAATACAAATTATAACAAGTTCCCATCTTAAATCAAAAAATGAAGGAAACAGTACTGACCATTCCACCTTAATAAGCTGTGGTGAAACTGGTATACTTACATTTTACTAGTAGACACTATGAATTGGTATATATCTTTTGGAAACAGATTAAGCAACATGTATTAAGAGCCAAAAAAAATTCAAACACTTTGAATATATATCCTGGGAGTTTATTATAAGTGAACCTATCCAAATTAAGGAAAAACACTAAAAGTACAATAGCTCATCTTATTTAATACTTGAAGTTTATGTCAAATTAAAAACTATAAACAACCTAAGTAAATTATGCAATAGAGATTCAATGAAATATTATGCAACCATCCAAAACAATCATTAAGAAGACTATACAACAAATAATTATTATTTGTAAGAGTAGAACTGTAAATTGGAAGAATTATAAAAATAAAATCCAAATTAAGTCTAGGCAGTCCCATTCATTTCAAGATTCTTATGTAATCTAAAAAAGATATTTTTACATAACTCTTTTGCAGTTGATACATATAAATACTTAGAGGTTTACCTCCTGAACATCCTACTATAGATATAATTTTGAAAAGTTATGATCCAATAATAACAGTGTGTATCTTTAAAATCACTGCCAAAAGAAAAAGGAAAAGCCAAAACAAAAATAGCTTGTAATCTTATCCAAGAAATAGGATTCTTCTGTCCTCATTTCTTCAGGTATGTTAATATAAAAATGACAGGTCTTAGAACAAGACACATAATTTTAGAATCAATCATATGATTTCTTATAAACATAGACTTATTTTTGTTTCATCAATTTATTAAAATCTGTCAAAAGTACTGGCAATATTATATACTGAATTATGTCCCTCCCAAACTCATATGTTGGAAGTTTTAGCCGCCTACGTGATTATATTTGGAGATAGGGTCTTTAAGGAGGTATCTAAAGTTAAATGACGTCATAAGGGTCCCTCATAAGAAGAGGAATAGACATCTTTCTCTTCGCACATACACCAAGGGAAGATGCCATGTGAGGTCACAGTGAGAAGGCAGTCATCTACAAGCCAGGGAGAATCTTCAACAGAAACCAAGCCTGATGGAAACTTGATCTTGGAATTATACACCCAGAATTGTGAAGAAATAGTGTTTAAGTAACCCAAGTCTGTGGTATTGTGTTAGAGCAGTCCTAACAGACTAATATAGATGTTATTGTGAATATTTGAAATATTTCCTAAAGGTTTGCTTTATTTATGCTTACCAAAAAAAAAGGTATGGTATACTAGAGTTAACTATACTATATTATATCCCAAAAAGTTATTAAGAGAGTAGGGCAGCCCAGGTGGCTCAGCGGTTTAGCGCCACCTTCAGCCCAGGGCCTGATCCTGGAGACCTGGGATCGAGTCCCACGTCAGGCTCCACATAAAGCATGCTTCTCCCTCTGCCTGTGTCTCTGCCTCTCTCTGTGTGTCTCTCATGAATAAATAAATAAAATCTTAAGAAAAAAAAAAAGTTAAGAGAGTAGATCTCAAATGCTTTCACCACACATCACACAATCACACGCTGTAATTATGTGAGGGACTGAGGTCCTAACTAACCTTATTGTGGTAATCATTTTGCAATATGTATGTGTACCAAATCATTACATTGTACTTCTTTTTTTTTTAAGATTTTATTTATTCATGACAGACAGAGAGAGAGAGGCAGAGACACCGGCAGAAGAAGGCTCCATGCAGGGAGCCTGACGTGAGACTTGATTCTGGGACTCCAGGATCACACCCTGGGCCAAAGGCAGACACTCAACCACTGAGCCACCCAGGCATCCCTACACTGTACTTCTTAAACATACCTATGTTCTATATCAATAATACCCCAATCAAGTTGGAGGTGGGGAGGATGAAATGTAGTGAGTATTTTCTTCCCTTTCAGCTTCCATTACAAATAGAAATATACTCTTGAGATCAAATATATTCTTCAAAATACATGTAGGCAACAAAAAAACTAAGTTTAAGAAGTATGACTGTACATGCTCACCTGCTAAATATAATGCCTTCACTTGAGGAGGCTGTAGTGCTTCGTAGAAGATGATAACAGACCCTAGCTGACCCTCCAGAGATGTGGGGCATCCCCATTCACTATCTTGGGTTCCAGCTGATATCAATTTGGTAATCAGTTTTGATTTTTCAAGTGATCCTCCCCAGGAGGCTGATGACAAAATTCCACCAAATGATGTCCGATGAGGAGTAATGGGGGAAGAAAAAGGCGGATCTGGAATTTGGGATGGTGGAGGAGTCGTGGTTCTTTGCCCAGCTGAACCAATGCAGCAGGAAATAAAAGGCTAAGAATTAAGAAACAAAATAAATTACATAATTTTAATTACATCTCTAACTTGATATTGAAAAAAAACAGTACATAAAATTAAGAAAACAAATAGATGGAAACTAAAACAGGAAGTTTTAATTTTATTGGTTCATAATGTGTGCACACATAAGTCATTACAGATGTTACTTTTGGCCTATGGTATTTAGATGCATTACTTTTATAACTCACATTTTAATGAGTATTTTTAAAATCTTTAACAATTTTACTGTATTCTCAAATAGAGGAAACTACTTTCGCCCTTAAAATTTATAAACAAGCTAAACATTTGTATAAATAATACTAATTACAGGTTATTCTGTAATGAGCATCAGGATGGATAACAACAATTACTAGAATCCTAAAAGGACTTAGGAAATAATGTATTTCATCATTTTTTTAAAAAGCTCTTTCAAAATTATTTAAGAATTCTCAAAAAACCTTTACACTAATGTTCTTCAAGAATCATCTCAGTAGGGCAGCCCCGGTGGTGCAGCGGTTTGGCGCCGCCTGCAGCCTGGGGTGCGATCCTGGAGACCCGGGATCGAGTCCCACATCGGGCTACCTGCATGGAGCCTGCTTCTCCCTCTGCCTGTGTCTCTGCCTCTCTCTCTGTGTCTATGAATAAATAAATAAAATCTTAAAAAAAAAAAAAAAAGAATCATCTCAGTAAATATATTCTGGTTTATATTTGACTACAATTTAAAGGCTTAAAGTTTCTACATAACTGGGATACCTGGGTGGCTCAGTGATTGAGCATCTGCCTTTGGCTCAGGTCATGATCCCTAGATCCTGGGATCGAGTCCCGCATCAGGCTCCCCACCGGGAGCTTGCTTCTCCCTATGTCTCTGCATCTCTCTCTCTGTCTCTCATGAATAAATAAAATCTTTTTAAAAAAAGTTTCTAAAAAAAAAAAAAAAGTTTCTTCATTACTATTTTAAATTCAGTAGAAATGAAAAAGAGCTCATCATAATAATCTCTAAGTACCTTGTATACCTGATGGGCTTTATTTATTTACTAAAAGATTTTATTTTAAAGTAATCTTTACACTCCATGTGGGGCTTGAACTCATAACCACAAGAGTCCCATGCTCTTCCCACTGAGCCAGGCAGGTGCCCTTGGAGGAGCTTTTTTAAACAATCTTTTGCTCTCTACTATTCAATTTCTTTGGCTTTCCTATTTTTAGTCTTTTTCTCCTAAGCCTAATTTAACTACATTTGTTTCTTCTTTAAGTTGTTTTTATTACATGTTGTCTAACTTCATCTAATAATGATAGGCTAATGGTATTAAATATTAACTTACTATACGTTATAATATAGAAAACCCTTTAAAATTTATGGGCACATATTTAAAAAAAAAACAGAACCTTCTACATTAAATTAAAATTTTTCAAGGGGGATCCCTGGGTGGCTCAGCGGTTTGGCACCTGCCTTTGGCCCAGGGTGCGATCCTGGAGTCCCGGGATCGAGTCCTGCATCGGGCTTCTGGCATGGAGCCTGCTTCTCCCTCTGCCTGTGTCTCTGCCCCTCTCTCGCTCTCTCTCTGTCTCTCTCTCTCTCATAAATAAATAAATAAATCTTTAAAAAAAATTTTTTTCAAGAGTTCTCAATGTGTCCCATAAAGAATAGGTTAGATATGCTTACTTCATTCATGGCAGGAAATCTGAGAGGGGCAGAGACCTTCTGCTGTCCGTTGTCATAGATATAGACAAGGCTCTGACCAAAAGGTCTTTTTCCAGGCATATGAACAATGGTTATGTTGTGCTAATAAAGTAAGACATAAATTTAAAGATTAAAATTACATTAAATCTTTGGAATGATAAATACTTTCAGAGTATTAGTTTGAGTAGAACATTGAGATTAAGCATAATTAAATCTTGGTTAAAATTCTGTTCTTAAAGTGAATGACAATTTTTCCTGTAGTACAATAAAAGCATTTACATCTATTCTGGAAAATTTATACACAATTGTAACATAGCATCTTTTCTGCACTTATCAAGACTGAGTATTCTTTATAATCAATTTTTCTAATAAGCAATTTATACTTTAAGAAAAGCAACAGAAATGCATTGTTTTTTATAATTTATGTTCTCATTTTAAATGGAGTTTCAAAATCAAATCAGATTCTAGAGAACTTGAAAGAAATGTTAACATTTCCTTTTAACTTTTTAGGAGAATACTTACTGCTGCTGAATTTATGATGATGATGATAATGATGTTAACTTCCTTACAGATAAACTTCAACATAAATAGAATTTTAAAGTGAAAATTAATCAACTCTCAAAAAGGAGACAACTCCTGATGTACATGCACCAAATGTGTTTTTAATATAAGAAATAGTAAAAGGGATTATAAGGAGGGGAACTGAGTGGGAAAAACTAGAGAGGGAGACAAACCACGAGAGACTCCTAACTCTGGGAAACAAAGGTTTGCAGAAGGGGAAGTGGGCAGGGGGATGGGGCAACTGGGTGACGGACACTGAAGAGGACACTTGATGGGATGAACGCTGGGTGTTATACTATATGTTGGCAAATCAAACTTAAAAACAAATAAAAAGAAAGAACCAGAAAAAGTTAAATGTGATGTCCTAAAACCTTACCCAGAGGGAATCACAGAAACTGTGGTCAGGAAGCATAACTGTAGCATATTCTCTTTTTGTGCACACTGCCACAACCAACATACCTGAATGGGTAATAAAAGCTTCAAAACCCATGCCACTTCCTGTAAAAAAACTAACAAAAATATATGTTATCAGAACCTTTGAAGTCAGTTGTTCAGTTATCATCACTGGAACACACAAAACCATATCATCATGAATATCTTTATCAATTATGCTGTGGTTTACATTCTACCACGTATCAATCAGTCCAATCTTGCTTTAAAGATAATTCTTTTTTAGGTTTAATAATTGGTTTAGTAAATTATAAAAAGGTAGCCATAAGAGTGAGATCCCATTATCAAACAACAGTAAAACAATAAACTTTCAAATCTTCAAAATTCTTTCAAACAGGATTCAAAAAGCATGAATAAAAGTCTTAAAAATCACGAGGTGTATTAAAACTTATTAGTTACTGAATTAATTAAGTTTGGATCCACAGAAACAAAGGTTTTCTGATCCTTCATATAAATATATGGCATTTTCAACGGAACAAAAAGATCAGCATTCATTTAAAAATTTTTCCTTTTTCTCCACTTTTACAATACTTTTAAGAAGGAACTTTGCTTCTAAACCAAAGAACTAGCAAAATATTTGAGATATGTAATCAATATAATGAAATAATAAAATACTAATAATTAAACTGTATATACCCTAAGGATAGAGAAGCTTCAGATAAACTGTCCCGCATTTAAAAACTAGAGGCTTGAAAAGCTTTTTTCTGTTTGGGAATTACAGCATATATTGTTGTGACAGTATTCATTTACATTCCATAATCTGTACCAGTACCTGTACAATTGTTTTCTTTTTCCTCCTTTGTTAGCAATGCCAAGAGTCAACTGATCCTGATCTAAGCAAAACCAAGCATTGAAAGAAAAGGCAGATCCTGGCCACTTCTGTATGGAAGGCACAGTAATTCCTGCCATACTATGTGACAAATTAAAATACTGTAGTGCACTCTCTAGACTTTGTTTTCGGGCCATTGTCAGAATTGCTCGAGTCACAGGAGTAGTGTAAGGGTGAATATATTCAGATTCATCCACTCTCAGCAATCTCAGTAGTTGACGTATTTCTTCTGAGCTCACTGACTGACTCCCCAAGGAAGCATGAAGTGCAATCAAGTTCTCAGCACAAGTTCGATGGAGGGAAGAATGGGAATCAAGTGTTTTGATGATGTGAATTCCCATGTTTGCATTGACACAAGTAGTTCGACTCTGCCTATTAATACAGCAAATTCTTTTCAGCCAATCAGAGATGAAAATTTGCAGATCATGGGATTCTAGCTCTGGAAGCCACTGGATAAGAAGCAAGAGAGGATGGACATTACTAATGCCCAATATCCCAACTGAAGTGTGGTCACCCTCTACAGCCTATAAAGCAACATAAAAGACAAAAAGTTAGTAACCACGTTGGATAGGGAGATAATGGAACTTGTTTAATAATTAAAAACTAAAAAACTCACCATATTCATAAGTTCTTTAAGTAGTTCCAGTGGTGGATGACCCAGGGATTTTAAAACCTCAAACATATGTGTATAACCAATTCTTTCTTTAAATACTTCCTAGGGGAAGGGAAAGAAATACATCAAAGCACAATCTTCAAAGACTGTATTTGTTGGAATTTTAAAATGCCGTTATATACTCATTTAAGTTAATTAACTTAATATTGAAAAGACTGAGCTCAATATTTATTTCTTAAATCACTTCATCTTAAAATAAACTATATACCTTCTGAAATATGTGACCATAGTCTATCAGAATGTAAAATAAATAAGAATTGTACATTATAAAATTATTATTTTCATTTCAGATTCAGGTACATTCATTTCCTTTCACTTGATTTGTAATGATATAGTTTAACATGAAATATACATGAAATCAAAACAAATACGGAGAAGAAATTGAGGAGACTTTGGGGGTAAGAGGAGTCAGCAGTCTCTCAAGATTAGAGTTCGGCAACCCAGTTTTTCTCTCTGCTTTTTGTATCTAAAAGGACTGAATTATCTGAAATATCAAGTTCATTTTATTAGGATCTAAGTCATATGTATTTTTGAACAAGTGGGCACACAACCCTAGAAGTAAAATAAAGAGACAACCAAAAAAGCTAGTAATACGACATTGGTCCAGTAAATCAGGCATCAATCTATACACTTAAAATCAAATATTTAAATAAAATGAGTAACATTGGTTGCCTCTGTGGAGGGGAACTAGTTGACTATGGGCGAAGGGGAGGAAGAAAAATTTTTAAAGGAATTTTTTAACATTAATTCAAAGGGATGCAGCACCCCTATGTTTATAGCAGTATTAGCTACAGTGGTCAAATTATAGAAACAGCCCAAGTGTCCATCAATTGATGAATGGATAAAGAAGATGTGTGTGTAGATTATATATAGAGAGACAGAGAGATATATAAATATATATATGATGGACTATTTTTCAGTCATAAAAAGATGAAATATCATTTGCAATGACATGGATGGATCTAGAGTATTATGTTAAGCGAAATAAGTCAGTCAGAGAAAGACAAATAGGATTTGTAGGATTTCATTCATATGTGGCATTTAAGAAACAAAACAAACAGGCTTAGGGAAAAAAAAAGAGAGAGAGAGAGAGAGAGAGAAGCTAAGAAACCGATTCTTACCTATAGAGAACACACTAATGGTTACCAGAGGAGAGGTGGGTGGGGAGGTAGATTATACAGAGGTGATGGAGAGCAAGAAGTGACTTGTTGTAGTGAACACTGAGTTCTGTATGGAAGCGTTGAATAACTATATTGTACACCTGAAACTAATATTACACTGTATCTTAACTGTAATTTATTTTTTATTTTTTTTAATTTTTATTTATTTATGATAGTCACAGAGAGAGAGAGAGGCAGAGACACAGGCAGAGGGAGAAGCAGGCTCCATGCACCGGGAGCCTGACGTGGGATTCGATCCCGGGTCTCCAGGATCGCGCCCTGGGCCAAAGGCAGGCGCCAAACCGCTGCGCCACCCAGGGATCCCTTAACTGTAATTTAAATAAAAACTTAAAAAAAGAATACCAATCATTTTTAAAGGGCTTTTATAAAAAAATATTTCAGTAATTTATCTATATATTTAGAGAGTGAGAGACAGCATGAATGGGGAAAGGAGTAGAAGGAGAGAGAGAATCTCACATGCTGAGTATGGAGCTAGACATGGGCCTCAATTCCACAACCCTGAGATCAAGGCCTGAGCTGAGGTCAAGAGTCAGACAGACACTTAGCTGACTGAACCATCCAAGTGCTCCCCAAAAGGGTATTTTTAAAGTAACTTTTTGAACTTTAAATCATAAAATTGTATTGTATTTTAATAAGACTTGAACATCATTCCAGGTCTGAAATTCAAGTACAGTACAATCTATTATACTCAAATCAATTACTTAGAACTTAAAATGATTTTTTAAAAAGATTTTATTTATTTATTTGAGAAAGAACGAGTGAGAGAGAGCATAAGCCAGAGAAGCATGAGATGCCAACTCCGCACTGAGTGGGGGAGCCCAACATGGGCTCAATCCCAGAATTCCATCCCAGAACTGTGAGATCATGACCTAAGCCAAAGGCAAATGCTTTTAACTGACTGAGCCACCCAGATGCTCCAAAATGATTTTTTACAGAAACTATTGTAAATGGCATTCAATTCCTAAGCCAGCCTGTAAAAGTTGTATAAGCCTATCTAGTAAGCATCCAACCATGAGTTATATATAGCAACATTTACAGAGCAATTTTTAAGAGTCTCCTAACAAAAACCAATGGAAAGTAAGGAATACTACTGAAGGCATGGCTTAGGGAACAAGGAATCATTCATTCATGTCTGCTATTAGAAAGGCAAACCATGAACTATATTAGAGGTGTTAGATAAAAGGAAAAATGGTAATGGTAGTAATAACGATGATGATAGACACTGATATTTATCAAGGATTTAGCATGTGCCTAGCACTATGCTTACCACTTTACAAAGATGAACTCACTAATCCTTAAAACTATTCAATGTGGAAATTACTAGCACAAAATCAGTGTAAGTGAAAAGCAGGACAGAGTCAATGGTAGTGAATGAGAAAGAAAGAAAACCCTAAGAGTAACTAGCAGAACTTCCATGGTCATCTGGAAAAACAAGTCCCAAACTGAAAAGGCTGCTCACATGTGGAAAATGTTCACAATGTAGTCAGTCATAAACTGAGCAAAGTGAAAGAGTCATGATTTATTAATGAAGAAAAACTATGACATAAAATGTAATTCTTTAAACACACTAACCATAGAATCACTTAAAATAATCATTTCAACACCAGTGCTACCTTTGCTGACTGACACTATATAAATCACTATTAGGTTACAATTGTATCATAAAATCCTAAAGTAGTGCCCATAGGTGTTTGTCTCTAAAATTATCAGCAAAATGATTCCTGTACTGAGATAGTTTGTGAACAATTTCACTTCAGGTGTGAAACAACAGGTACTATACACATACTTTCATACATTACTTTGGGAATTATACAGTGAAAATTAGTATATTTAAATAACAATTTAGAGCTTGAGGATGTATGTTTCACCTTAGCAGCTGGAGATTTGTTCATTACTGCTGTCAAAGCCTGAATGGTTGATATAGCCAAACAATCCAATTGTCCCTGAAACACCTACCAGAGAGAGAGGGGGAAAAAAAGAGGAGGCAAGAAATTAACAACATGTTCAACATTTGTATTCAGTCAGGAAACCTTTGTTCTGAAAACCTGAAAAAATAATTACTAAACATGCAATACATTCCTCTTCCAATAAAACAGATTTCTGAAACACTATACCTGCAAGAAAAGTTACCTATTTGACAGAAAATAAACCACGTATCAAGGACAACACTACATTCACTTATTACTCTGAAATGTTTTGGAAAAAAAAACAAAACCAAAACCAAAAAGAACACCAAGCTTACTACATGCTTTTAAAAATAATGGACAATCTCCAGAGGAAGGGAGGGATGTCTATCATTAGAAATTCTATTACATTTTAATTTCTCTTCAGAAATATACTGAACCTTTTAGTTTGAAATTTTATTAGCATGTATAATAAGATGCTTAAAATGGTGTTGTCCATTTGGTTTCCAAGCCCTGTGTTACAATTGAAATGGTATGTTTATTCACCAATCACACTGGCAAACAATAAGGTATTCTATTTTTACATAAAGTGCAAAATTTGAGGCATAACAGAAAATGAAATATGTATCTATAAGCATTATCACGTTTCTGAGAAGGTAACCTTTAATGCCAAAAGCTGGAAAAAAAAACAAAACAGCTTCAGCTTCATTTTGTCTATTTCTGTTTAAGCTTCATCATAAAGAGATGTATTAAATTTTAGGGCAGTACCTTTAGAGGAAAAAAGTAAAAACAAAATATAACATTAACAACATTAAAAAAACTGAACATGATTGTTATATAATCAGGCTTAATCAACCATGAAAGCATAGCAGAAGTAGAAATGTTGCAAAAACTCACAGTCCCAAAAATCTGCTTTTGGGAATATATTACTATGACTTAAAGCTACTCACTCCACAAATGGGACTTTCCTTTCTCCCTCCCACTAAAAATGACCTGAGTAAAAGGGGACTGATTTGGTCTCTGTCATTTTAAACTAAGATCTATCACTTTTAAGCCAGTATCCTGATTTCTGTTAATGTTATTTATTAAACATTATTACATATACATAGCATATATGTAATAAACTCATTATAATATGCATTAATCATTCTGCATAAAGGATTTCATATGAATAAGATCTTTCCTACACTTTGTCCAAGATGGCTAGGCATCACATAACTAGGAAAGCTAACATAATTAGAAATACTAACATAAACCCCTAAGAATATCATTGTAATTATTTTGTTAACCTATATAAGAAGGTCTTAAGAGGAACTAACATTTATAGAGAAATCTAAAATGGTACTCTAGAGTTGATATTTTACATCCAGAACAGAAAACAATAGATTTTCAAGTCTCTTTATACCATAGTTCTATTTATAAACCTGGGTATTAAGAGAACATTAACAAAAGATATCATGTAAGCTCTCTAAACATTTTGGGAAAGAAAAAATACCAAAGCACTTTTAATAAGTAGTTTTTTCAAAACTAAATTACCTAATACTGAAAAGCAACAAAAATTACTTATGTCTGCTTTATATCCATATAAAAGTGACTTTATAGAAAACGGTTAAGTTTTATGCTAAAGTAAGACTCAAAGAGTTCAGCATCTTCTTCCCTTCCTCCAGGATTCGGGTTGTCCATTGAATTGTAATCATTATTTATCATCAAGAAGCAAAGAATCAAGATATTAAAACTGACCAGACATATTCACAAACAAAGCCTAAGGTCCCAATACACCACAATGCTTAGAAAAAGAAGCTCCCAAAATATGAAGTCACCACCATGTGGACAGCATTGATACTGGGATCCCATTCCTGTACTTTGTGTCTCCTTAAACTGAACAGGATACACACATATACAGCTGGAATACTGCTGACTATTTATATCAACCACCAGGATTTCAATGTTTAAGATGAAAAAAATTTTATTTTTAATTTTTTAACAATCTTCAAAAATAATTCATGAAGATTAGAATTAGATAGTGTTTGTGTATTTTAAGACATAAGAAGAAAAGTACAGGAATAGCTGTTCCCATTGACTGATTTTGACTTCAGCTAAAACAAGATGCAGGCTTTGTAGATACCTGGTCCTCATTCATTTCTGTCAGTAATTTGTTGGCAAGGTCTTTCTCGTTCTTGTCTGCCACCTTACTGTTAGCATTTAAAAATAGCTGTTAAAAACAGAGACAAGAATAATGGAGAAAGAACATTAAATAGTTACCGATAAGCAGAAATGAAGTCTAAATGGATTTCCATGTCTCTTGAAAATAAATTCAAGAATCCACCTGTGAAGTATACTACTTTTAAACAGAAAATCAACTATTCACATTTTGGATTACAAACTAATATTAGTTCATATGCCATATAATTAATTGTTAGTTATTTCTCTCTCGGAACTTGAAGCTACTAAAATAAGAAATAACTGCAATAAGTAGGTTAGTTAATATTCCTAAATTTTTTTTAAAGAATCAGCAGAAAATGTCTCACAAAAAAGAAGGAAATTTGCTATTAAGATAGATTAAAGATACTATGGTAAATAATGTACAGTAAGGATTCTGTAGTCAAGTATGTTTGTAAAATGCTATTTAACTTTAAAAATAGTTCTTTCGGAAAATATTTCTCAGAGTCTCAAATGTGCTAATGTGCTTTGACAAAGAATGTATGTATTTTCCAAAATTATTAAGAGTTGAGCATAAGTTATATTAGTTTCTACATCAAGGGGGATTAGGATTATCTCTGACATACATGGGGATTGTGAACAGAATCAAGTATTTTGGTTTAAGCATATAAAACTAGCATCCCAATAGATCTCAAGCACATTTTGGATAAAAAGAAAGATAATGCAAATGAAAGTGAAAAGGGGAAGAAAGTTAGATTTATAAAGGAATTTATCAAGAGCATCCTAAGAAGGAAGTTCTCTTAGGAAGTTCTCTCATTTCAGGAAATACAAAATAAAAGTCTAGTAATATACTGAAATAAAGCAATATAAAATAAAGATAAGGTATAACATGATATACACAGCATAAACAAAGCTTAACCTAAATATAGATTAGTGCAAACAAAACAGGCTTTGGAATCAGAAACCTGGATTTGAATACTGATTTTGATAATTATTAGCAGTCTGGTTTTAAGAAAAACTACTTCTCTGAGCTTATTTTCTCAAAAGGGAAAAGAATAACTCATGAAACAGGGATGCAGATTAAATGAGATAATCTACACTAGGTTATTAACAGTGGCACATAACAAGGGTTTAAAAAATAAAAGCTATTATTATTAACAGCAAAATTTTGTAAATACTAATACTCCATATTATCTGGAGCAGGGACACAGGAATGCTAAAAACATTAAGAAAGCAAAAATGACTAAATATTTCCAGAAAGCAATCCATATCAAGAATCTTAAAATTACTTTGTTAGTATTGTATTTATAGACAACTACTCTAAAAAAAATGATCAGAAACTCACACCAATGTTTTAGAACGGAGATGCTCACTTTGACTTTATTTACAATAGCATAAAGAAACCATCCAAATATCCTTAAACAGCAGGATAAGTGAAATAAATTATGGTTCATCCAGAGGCTGAAGGGGAGGGAAGTCCTTAAACTTTCTGGCCTCACGACCACTTAGCAGTCTTAAAATTTACTAAAAATCCCAAGGAACTTTTGTTTATAGGGTTTACATTTCCCAATATTTACCATATGAGCAATTGAAATCAAGACATTTAAAAAATGTTTATTCATTCAAAAATAATAAACCTATTATATGATGGTATAAAAACACATTTTTATGAAAACCTAGAGCTTTCAAATACATGTTAGTGAGAATGGCAGTGCTTTTACATTTTTGCAATCTCTTTAAACATCTGACTTGATAGAAGACAGATGAACTCTAATATCTACTTTGCATTCAGACTGTTACAATGTTGTTCTGATTCAAGTTTATGAAAAATCTAGTCTCAAACTGATATGTTAAGATTAGATTTTGCAGATTCCCTAAAATGATCTTGGGGACCCCATACTTCTGTGAACTTCTGGGTTGAAATATCTGCAGTCATTAAAAACAATGTTTTGAAAAATGTATGATGGTATATGGGAGTCATGATATAATACATTTAAAAGTAGAATACAAAAATATTCACTGGTATTCCAGTTTTGTAAAAATATATCCTCATTAAAAATATATACGCAAATACTGTTATGAGTATTTTGCCACAGTTTTAAAATTTTTTGATATTTATATATACAAACATGTTTTATAAAAAATTATGAAAATTTATTTTCATACTTCCTTTTTTCCTCCAAAATCTATGTTGATTATTGCTCTAGAATTTAAAAAAAAAAATCTACTTTCATGTTTTAAATGAAAAGAAACTTATTCAAATAAGGCAATGTGCACGAATCCAGGCAGGTACAACTCCCAAAATCAACCTTTCAACCATGCCGTTCTGTATATCCACTCCCAACATTCTTTTCCACAAAGTATCCCTTAGTTACTCCTTTCATAAATTCTCATTCCTACTAAGACTGCCTTGTTGAGAAATTTTTGCTGCAGTTGATTTTCAGAGGGTAAATGTGGAGAAGAAAAGGAAGAAAGAAAACAAATTAAGGAATGTGAACAAGACCACAGTATCAACAACTTTCCAGAATCTTATTACTTAAGTCCTCAAATAGAACTTTACATATTTATAATATACTACACATCTACATTAAAATTAAAAACTGATTAAAACTCCAAGCAGAGTGCTAAGGTAAATGTAATAGTTTTGAACCCTTCTCTTTGCTACTAGAAATTTGCTGTTATTTTCTTCTCATTAATCCCAATGTCCTTGGACAGCTTTTAAAAATAATTTTTATCAATGCATATCCCCCTTCCAAACTGTAATATGGTGAAACAAAACAACTCTCAAATGTTTAAGGTTCATCACAGTTATCAGAAAAGTTAAATGTATGATTCCACTGAATTATATTTTAAGTACTTCATGGTAGATGGAACTCATATTGATAACCTGAAAGTCTTTGCACAGATATGTTAGGAAATTAATGCATAAACTGGCTGGTTAATCTCATACAAAAAGAAAGCACTGAAACTACAGGCAGTCAGCCTAAAGTTCTCCATGAAATTCATAAAATATTTGTTTAAGCTTAGTTGACAATGTTTCCTCTGGGTCTGAATATTTAAACAACTGCTACCTTGATTCTGTCTTACTAACAAAATAATTTAAACAGGAGTCAATCATAGTCATCTGTAACATCCTGTAATACATTTTAGAACTTAAGTTTTCAAAAGATTCTAAACATTTTTATATATTTAAGAATATTAACCCATCCCTATCAAATTGATTTATCAGTATATTTAATGCACAGAAAACTTTTTCTATTGACTCTATTGACCTTAAGTATCAGTACAACAAAACTACATATGACCAGTGAACTCAGGGTCAGAATACCTGGGTAAGAAATCCTGCCTCCATCAGAGAACAGTATTAATCTTGAGCTAATCATTTAATCTCTTAGGACATATTTCTTCATTTGTATAATAAACAAGTTGGACAGTTTATTTCAAAGGTTCCTCCATGTTGTTAAGACTTTATAATGTCTACTGATGAGTTAATAGTGATTCTGAGTATAACATCTTGCCTAGAAGACAACCACCTCCAGGAGAGAAGACGGAGGTCCCAAAGCCTGACTTTCTTCTCTGAAATGGGTTTATTCTCTAGTTTTCCTGTCTCAAAACAAAATGTGATAAGTGCTATCAAATAATTAAATTTTAAAATGCTAGGATTGTTAGCAAGATCTAAATCATAAGAAACTTTAGCCTACACCACAGTAGAAAGAGCAAATAGTAGCTCAACATCATGACTGCTATGCCAAAAAGCTTTGTAATTTTCAAGAGATTACTGACCACGATATATTTTTTATATCTGAGTTTCATACATTGAAGAAAAACACTAATCAATTTTAGTAGGAACTACACTTTATCCTAATGATTTACCCTTCTATAATGTGTGACTGGCAGGTTCTCTACATATGAGATTTTGTCTTTATTACTGAAGTTGCCTTTGTAAATGATAATGCCATGTTGCTTTTTTTTTTAACAACTAACAAAAGGCTTTATAAACAGTTCTCTTATGCTGCTTTCATTTCCCTATGATTTCCTTCCTAAGAATAATGTTTAAAAGGTGGGGGGAGGCATCTTCACTCTCTAGTGAAGTTTGGTACACTCACTGACTGTAAATATTCATCACTACTTACTTCATCAATATATTCCTTATTTTTTTATGCTATTTCCTTACTATTTCACTTTAAGAAGCAACATAGTAACATAAATGCTTTCAGGGCTATCTCTCCTAAAGAGAGAATTTTCTTGAAAAATTCAAGAAATTCATCTTGAGATAGTCTTACAATATCAGAATGAAACCCTAGTATTTTTCAGCAAGGAGTCCATGAAAGGAATATCTCAAATAGAAAAAGTAAAAGCTCTTTGAAGTAGTTAACATTTTCAAAGGCTTTTCTTTTTTTTTTTTTAAGATTTATTTATTTATTCAGAGAGAGAGAGAGAGACAGAGAGAGAGAGGCAGAGACACAGGCAGAGGGAGAAGCAGGCTCCATGCAGGGAGCCCGATGTGGGACTCGATCCCCAGTCTCCAGGATCATACCCCAGGCTGCAGGCGGTGCTAAACCACTGAGCCACCAGGACTGGCCTTCAAAGGCTTTTCAAGAACCTCTCTAAAATATTTCTGATACCATCTTGAAATTTATGAAAAAATAATCAGATATTAGTTATTATGTACTCACAATTCTGTTACAACTATAAACTAGTAAAAAAGAAAAATATTATCAAATTGGCATTATGTATCAAGAACACTAATGGTATTTCTATTTTTCTACTTTTCTCCATTCCCCAATTACTTACAAATTTTTATATAACGTTCCCTAATTTTGAAAAAGCATATTATGCCATCTGACCCAGAAATTCTACCAGAAATAGAATTCTAGTCTATGAGCTTGAAGGAGTTATGTAATAGCAAAAATGTTGGAAATAAATGGAGTATCTGCCATAGGGAAAAGTTAAGTAAATTATGGTATATCCACTTAATATTATATAGATATTAAAGTCATAACACAGGAAAATGCAAACTACATTATCTTACATGAAAACAAAAGCACACAATTATACACGTTAAATGCTCACACCAAATTTTAACAATGCACAACAAAACTTTAAAACTCAACAAAAAACAACCCACTTAAAAAATGCACAAGAAAAAAAATGCACAAGAACCTGCATAGACATTTCTCAAAAAAACACATACAAATAGCCAATAAGCAAATGAAAAGATGTACATTAGTATTACTAATCATTCAGGGCAAATCAAAATCACAATGAGATACTATTTCACACCCATTAGAATAGCAATTATCAAAAAGAAGAAAATAACTATCATGGATAATGTGAAGACATTGGAACTCTTGTGCATTGGTGGGAATATAAAATGGTACAGCCACTGTGGAAAACAGTAAGTTGGTTCCTCAAAATGTTTAGAATTTAATTACTCTATGATTCAGCAATCTCATTTCTAGAATATAACCAAAAGAACTGAAAGCAGGAACTCCAAGAGATATGGGTGTATTCATGTTCATAGCAGCATTACCCATGATAGCCAAAAGGAGGGATCAATACAAGAGTCCATCAACACATGAATGGATCAACAAAATGGGGTACATATACACAATGGAATATTATCCAGCCTAAAAAAAGAAAGAAAATTCTGCAATATGCAACAACATGGATGAATCTTGAGGACATTATGGTAAGTGGAATAAGCCAGTCACAAAAAGACAAACACTGTATGATTCTACTTACATGAGGTACTTAGAGTAATCAAAAATCATACAGACAGAAAGTAGAATGGTGGTTGCCCAAGTGGTTAGGGAGAGGGGATAATGTGGAATTGTTTAATGGGTAGAGAGTTTCAGTTCTATAAGACATAAAGACATATGGAGAATGGATGGTGGTGAAGTTGCACAACAATATGAATGTATTTAATATACCCTTATATACCCTTAAAAATGGTTAAGATGGTAAATTTTATGTGTTTTACCACAACAAAAAAGAAAATTAGTAAAGTTTAAATTTGAATCAAAGCATAAACAAAACAATAGCTTTTTAAAGTCAAAGACAATAATAATAGAAAAATACCTTGCAATTCTGTAGCAGTCTTATGAGATGTTCAAAGCAATTACTGTTAAGGAAAATGGCCTGAAGAACAGGCCTATCGGTGCAGTCTAACATGGCTGTGATGGTATCTAGGAAAATAAAAACAAAATCATCCATTTATATAAAGTGGAAAATTTGGAATCAGAGAAACATTTACTTTGGCCATATTTTTAGTTTTGGCTTTTCAGCTGACAAACAGATGTAAAATGAATTAGAAAGAAATAGGGATGGAGAATAGAAAACAAAACTGTACTTATTACTTGTTAAGAAAACTTATTTCTATAATTTATTAAAAATATTCATAAAAATGTTTTATTAATAACTTTTTTTTTAATTTTTTATTTATTTACGATAGTCACACAGAGAGAGAGAGGCAGAGACACAGGCAGAGGGAGAAGCAGGCTCCACGCACCAGGAGCCCGACGTGGGATTCGATCCCGGGTCTCCAGGATCGCACCCTGGGCCAAAGGCAGGCACCAAACCGCTGCGCCACCCAGGGATCCCAATAATATAACTTATGATTAAAAATATTTAAGTTTTGGGGATGTCTGGATGGCTCAGTCAGTTAGGCATCTGCCTTTGGCTCAGATCATGATTGAGCCCACATCAGACTTCCTGCTCACTGGGGAGCCTGCTTCTCCCTTTCCCTCTGCTGCTCCCCCTGCTTATGCTCGCTCTCTTGCTCTCTATGTCAAATAAATAATAAAACAAAATCTTTTAAAAAAAAAGATTTGTTTTTATATGTAAGTCATATATATTTCCCAGAGATTTACATAGTTGTTCTTTCTTTATAATAGTGTTCAAGTATAACTAACTGTGGTTCCCAACTTGCTATTAATAACCAACACCTGCTTATGTTTGGCAAGTCTCACTTATACAGTATAAAATTAGCATATGGCCATTAAGAAAATGAAATTTAGGGAATCAATCCATTTATAATGATGGTTTGCTCTTATTTCCTACTGAACATATATCCTCATTCAGAAATCAAGGGATAATTGGCATAATACAATAGTTTTTAACAAATAAGTTCACTCAATATAGACTCAAACTTTATAAACTTACAATTTGTAACAATTACAAAACACAACGTCTTATAGAAGAACAGAAACTAAATAAAATGAATCTTATTTTCCTACAGAAAGAAAGTCTTTTGTTATGCATTGTAAGGGATCAAGTCTCACCAGGATTTTGGTGTCTAATATTTTTAAATTAGACACCATACACACTCTCACACAAGCATGTTTTTAAGTCTCTAAGAGCTGCACAATAAACCATTAATGTTGGTTATGTCTGGGTGCTAGAATACAAGAAACTCTTTATTTATCCAAATTTCCTAGTACAGCTGTAATGAAAATATTTTTTTAATTTTTTTAAAGATTTTATTGATTTGAGATAGAGCAAGAGAGTATGAGTGGGAATGGGGCACAGAAGAAGACTTCTCACTAAGCAGAGAATCCAATGCAAGGTTCGATCCCAGGACCCCAGGATCATGACCAGAACTGAGTAGACATTTAACCAACTGAGCCACCCACGTGCCCTGAAAATATTTTATTTCCTTAAAAAAGAAACTCTCAATTAAAAATACTTGTATCTATCAATCTAATGGGAATACAATAAGAAATCACATAGAGGCCCTCTAGAAAAAGGACAGATGTTAAAGTGACATCTACATAGATTTATAAAAGCACATATAAAATTGATTATATGTGATTCTTTACCATAGGTTATTAGACAATGCAAATGGCACCTGCTAAAAATTTACTTTTCCTAGAATTTAAAAACAGCTTTTTTTAAAAAAAATATTTTATTTATTTATTATTGAGACACCCAGATAGAGAAGCAGAGACATAGGCAGAGGGAGAAGCAGACTTCCCAGAGGAAGCCTGATGTGGGACTGGATCCCCAGACCCCAGCATCATGACCTGAGCCAAAGCCAGATGCTCAACCACTGAACCATCCAGGCACCCCTGCTGACTTTCTTTTTAACATTGATGCTTTTAGTGGATTACACTTTCAAAAAACAAAAGAGGCTCAAAGCAAAGGTGCTGTAAACAAATCAATTCCATTATTATTTTGAAATCAAAATCTAAAGTAACACAATAGGTGAATTAAACAATCAACACTTCCTATACAATAGTCTTGAATTTCAAATAAGTCTAAAAAAACACAGACTCGGAGAAATTGGTATATAATAAACTTTATGTAATACTTACTCAACATTTTGATCTGTAGAGTTATGAACCGGCTTTCCCACTGTCTGGACCTCCTTTGATTAGGTAAAGCTGAATGATCTGAATTTAGCAATTTAAAATAGTTCTCCAAAATAGTGCTGGTTTCCACTTGACGCTGGTCAGAGCTGCTAGTGAGAAGGATATGAACCACTTCTGTAAGGCACTTTAGAGTAAGTTCTACCTTCCTACCCACTTCTTCAGGATTTCCATCCTCCCAGGAATCACAATCTGCCAGAACTCTCATAAGAACTTCCATGGTGGCTGGAGATATTGCTTGCAAAGCATTCCTCTGAAACATGAGAGATAATAAAAATGAAACCCCAATCTAACTGAAGTTCTGTATGTTTGCAAAAATAAAGAAAGCTTAATAAATCTGAAGACTTAATAAATCAATATTAAAAAATTTTAAGCACATACTTTGATAGATAGTGCTAGTGTTTTATGAATATTAAGTCTTCATTTCCTTCTAGATTACAAAATTTCTGTTTTTTATTCAGATAGCAATCTGCCCACATAGAAAATTTATTTATAATCCTCCCTTGGTCAAGAATATATGCTGGTAGAGTATGAAGAAAATATAACCTTGCAAATAAAAACAGAAGGACCTTTTGCTCTTGCCCTTTTTACCTTTTTCCTGTCTGGAATGCAGGAGCCACCTTTAAATCATGAAGAAACAAAACTGAGAATTAAAGTAGTAGGCTAAAGAGAGCAGAATGAGAAGGACTTAGTCCTTGATTATACCATGGAGCTGCTGTACCAGTCCAGAAGTGCCTACATATGGATTTCTTATGCAAGCATAAAAACAAAACAAAATCCTCTGTGAAGGGACACCTGGGTGGCTCAGCGGTTTAATGCTTGCCTTCGGCCAAGGGTGTGATCCTGGAGTCCGGGAATCAAGTCCCATGTCGTGCTCCTTATGTGGAGCCTGCTTCTCCCTCTGCCTGTGTCTCTGCCTCTGCCTCTCTCTCTCTCTCTCTCTCTCTCTCTCTCTCTCTCTGTGCTCTAATGAATAAATAAAATCTTAAAAAAAAAAAAAAACTCTGTGGAAGGGGAGGTGGATGGGGCAATGCAGTGACTGGGTGATGGGCTCTAGGAGGATACTTGATGGGATGAGTACTGGGTGTTATACTGTATGTTGGCAAATTGAATTTAAATTTAAAAAAAGGAAAAAATCCTTAATTTGGTTACACTTCTCTAGGGTTTTCTGTTGGTTATAGCAAATCCATCTTAAATGATACAGATATATAAGAGGACCAGCTTGAGACTGATTCTACAAACATTATTTCTGAATTCTAAGTATGGTAGCTATTCAAGGTGATCCATTAAACTTGGAAATAACATATGCTTAAGACTGTTAAATTGATATATAATGAATCCAAACATAGTTATGCAAAATCATCTGAAAGTAACAGCACTTAGACCATTAGAGCTTGTTATTAGCAATATAATAAGCAATACTGATAATAAGTGCTACAATGGAAGAAACTGCTTATAGAACACCCAACATCCATTTTCCTCCAACTCCTTATTAAAAGGAACCCTGGTGTTTTGCTGGACATGTGGCTACCAGGAATAAGGATTACATTTCCTAATCTCCCTTACTGCCAAGGAGGCTGAGGAAGCAAGTTTTATCAATTTTTTTATTTTTAAATTTGCAGTTATTTCATGGAATTTGGCAAGTGAGATGAAAAAAAAGAGAGAGAAAAAAAATGATTGTCAGCTTTTCAGTACCTTTTTAAAGATACATGGCATGTGACATTTGTCTCTCTCATCTCCCCTTCCATTTTTGTGCCCAAAGTGCAAATGCAAATGGCCAGAATTCTAAAAGCTAATCTTGTATGTATCAAAAGAAAATAACAAACTGACATTCAGAAGGAACCTGGATCCTTGAAGATCCTAGAGGCACCAGATTAACTCTGGCCTGCTTACTGCCATTTTTTTTTTTTTAATGAGAAAGAGTAAACTTCTAACTTAAGCTGTTATAATTTTAGTACTTACTGCTAATTATGGGAATCACAAATCTGTCTAGACCTGTGATTTACTTAGTTCTTATAAGAACTTCACATATATTATGTGTCATTTGGTCCTTTTGACTATCTTAAAAGTGTTACTGTTTCCGTATTATAAACAAAGAAACTAAAACACATGTAAATAGTTTATCTTAGGTCACACAATTAGAGATGGACATGGGATTCAAACCTATGTCAGTCTGGCTCCAAAGCCTATCCTTTTAACATAACACAAAACAGAACAAATATGCTAATAGGAAGCCCAAGCATGATGCTTGGAGAAGGAAGACCAGTGATAGGACTTCAATTTTTCTGCTGTTTATGACAGGCCATTTTTACACCTGTAGATATTCAATTCATCTAAATATCCTTGTACTTACTCTATATTCAATAAATAACCTTCTGACCTCAAAATAGCTCTAACTACAGCTATACCCTGATTATAAGGATTTTGAGTACTTTCAGTACATAAAATAATAAATTGGCCCTCTAGGAGCTACTTGACTTCTAGTGATCTTTAATTATTGGAGGTCTTTTCAGGGCTTGATTACCCCTGGGCGCTAACAAGAATAAGTCTCTCAGTGTCCAAAATGGTAATGGATCTAGCCAGCTTCTCCACTAGTCATTTCCAATTTTATTCATGTATACTTACTTTTATTTTTAGTAGTAGAAAATTGATGGAAATGGGTAGGTACTGATGTAAAAGAAGGAAATCAGCTAATAAAGTAAGGTGACAAAGCAAACAAACTAAAAAATAAGATTCTGGTCACTAACCCCCTTACAAAAAAACAGACTCTTCTACGAAAGTGAAGAAGAAAAGGCAAGATAGCCCACTAGGAAACCCAAGTAGTATTATTAACCATATCTGTAACTTGTTACCAAAAGAAATCCTACATATTTTCATTTTTTACAGTTGTTGCAACGTCTTGAAACATGTTTGTCTTTTTTTTTCTTGAAATTGTATTTATTACTAGACTTGCTTTTACATCTATTTAGTATAAGCACATACTACTATGTTACATGCTGAAACTGCATTTCAGCATAACTAGTTTTCTTTGCAATCTTATGTATTTTATTTTATGCATTTGAAATATTCTACAAGGGGCTTTACAGACTACCAACCATATAATATGATACAAAGTGTTTGAAACTTCTGATCTAAACTTAAAGATCAGTGTGCTTAAAGAAAACATATAGGATGTTCTTTCTGAACTATAATACTGTTTTCAACTAGTAGTTATACTCAAAAGTTTACCACAGACAGCTTTTAAGATGCTCACCTTTAAAAATAAGTAAGTTTTACTAGCTAATATTGTTACTTAGGTTTTTAAAGAAGTTTTAACAAATAAAAGAATAATTTTAAACAAGCTATAAACTCAGAAAAATATGTGTGGTTCATAAGATTATAAAAGAACAAAGAATACATTAAAAAGTCCATGGAAAAATCTTTGCACTATTAACTATTGTTTTAAATATTAACTTTCAACACTTTCCTCACCTGCCCACCAGCTACAATGGCTCCAAAGAGATGCAATAGGCAACACTTAAGACTTTCCTTGAGATGTTCACTTTCCTGAAAACACTCTGTGAATATAATACACAAATAAACAAGTAAGATTTCTCTTTAACAGTATTGTTTTTCTCTAAGGAATGTCTGACTCTGAAACATTAACAACTATTTATTAAAAGACTAAAATTTGTTAAAAGGCAAAGTTGATATGCATTTTTTCATAATAAAGGAAAAAAGAAACCGTCTATCAGGTATTATTTTAGATAATTTATGTTATTTTATTTAATTCTCATAATACCCCATATGAGGATATTTTGCCCTTATTTATAAATGAACAAATGAAACTTTTGCCTAAACTTACAGAGCTAAGTGACAATCTAGAAGCTAACCGAAATCTGACATAAAGTAAGTTGTTTTTACTGCTGCTGCTACTACTACTACTACTACTGCCTTTTATTAGTATAATTGACTGTAATTATTCAATTATAAAATTGGAAGAGTTGGACAAAAAGATTTCCTGGTTTACTCCTGGGCAAACATTCCAAAGTTATGGTACCAACAGTAACCTTTCTTTTAATATTATAAAGTATTTTATTGTTTTCAAAAGGTTAATACATGCACGTAACAAAGAGTAATTAAAATAGCATAAAATAATTGACAAAGAAGTTTCCCTCAAATCTATTCTTCAATCTACCATGCTCCCCACACCTTAAAATAATAATTTTAAAAAGCTATAAATATCTACTGCATCATTTTTTTTGTTTTTAACATAATACATACTGGGTATTATTACATCTTAACACATACATCTTCCTTATTCTATTTTATGATGACTACAATGATGCACTTTAATTCACTTAACCAGTTCTCTGATAAACTTATGAATTTTCCTCTTTATCTTGATATTCTAATAACCCAGTAATGAATATCTTTTTGCATGTGCCATTACATAGAGACAAATTATAACAGAATTATTTCCAGTTTTATAGATAATAAACATTACCAAAACCAAACAGCTTTAAAGTAAATGTATTGACAGAAATCAGAAATTTACACTTAAAAAATTAAATGATTCCAGCTATGTTGGAGTAACTGTGGTTACATGGCCTCCTGCTAGAAATAACTAGAAAATTAAACAAAATAGGTAGAAATTTATATACTCTAGAACCTTTCCTTCTCTCAACAGAAACAAAGTATAAGTTCAAGGAGCATCTCAGCTTCCTATTGTAGACATGTTCTGAACAACCCCAAAGAAAAGGGGAACCCTAAAAGAATATGGCTATTTATTGAGTTGGGAGACAGATAAACGTTTGGGGAGGCCTAGGCAACTGGAATTTGCAAAGCAGTACTGGAACAAATGGAACAAGTCACACAGAGAAAGCACTCCAGAAATGTTCATAGGGGTCACTTTGAGTCAAAGTAGCAATCCTTAACTGTATTGTGAAATCCCACAAGACAGGCAAAAACCTACCAAGAGGCTTTAAACTGAATAACTGTCAGATTTTACACAGCTGCAAGATGACAGGGTCCTACTCAGCCACAGGAGACACAAACATAGAAAGGATATAAAAAGATATGCCATGTAAACTCTAATAAGAATGCTGGAGTGGCTATAATAGTATCTGACAAAGCAAGCAAAAATATTACCAAGGTAAGGCAAGGAATATTACCGTGGGTTAAAAGGGACATGTCATTATCAAAGACAAAAAATGAAAATAAAATTTAAAAATCTACCAGTTTAAATACTTTACAGTTATAAGTACTGGTGATAACTTCTTTGGGATAAACTATCAAAATATGTGCACAATGTATATTCTGAGAACTACAAAATATTGATTGAAGAAGTAACAAATAATGAGATTATCTGATTCAAGCATTGGAAGTCTTCAGTATTCTTCAGATGTGAATTCTACAATGGTTCCTAGATTCAACACAATCCCAAATAAATATTCCAGCAACCATTTTGGTAAAAATATTTAAAAATGGCTTCTAAAATGTATATAAAAATGTAAAGGATTTGGGATCCCTGGGTGGCTCAGCAGTTTGGCGCCTGCCTTTGACCCAGGGTGTGATTCTGGAATCCCAGGATCGGGTCCCGCGTTGGGCTCCTTGCATGGAGCCTGCTTCTCCCTCTCTCTCTCTCTCTCATGAATAAATAAAATCTTTAAAAAAATAAATGTAAAGGATCCAGAAGAGCCAAAAAATTTTTGAAGAAGATTAAAGTTGGAGGACTTAATGATTTCAAGACTTGGCATAAACTCATAATAATCAATACAGTGTGGTAATATCATAAGGGCAGATACGTAGAACAAAAAAGAGAATCCAGAAATCAACTAGTCTGATTATCTAGCTGAAGCCAATATCACTACTGCTGGTCAGAGTGGGCACTGCAATCATCTTTACCAAGCACTCAACAAAAGACTATTTCTGTCTTGTTTTAATTCTTAGGAAAAAAAAGAAAAGAGAACTAAGGCAAATACGACAAAATGTTAAGATCTGACATATGTGAGTAGGAAACACAAGATACTCCTTTTATATATTTTCTATATTAACCTTCTTAAATCATTTTTTTAAGAAAAACTAAAATTCACATAGGTCACATATATAGTAGCCAAATCTCTTAAGTTTAAGTCACAACAAAAAAATATTTAATAGGTGTCACATCAGCAAAAAACACATAACCTATACCTTATCCTTTAAACCAGAACAGCCAAGTGAAAAGTTGGTACAGAATTTTTACTTTAAAAAGGTATAAAAATTATTAATAATTATAATAAATATAATAAATACAAATATAAATTTTTATTTAAAATTTTTATTTTATATGTGTGTATGTATATATACATACATATACATATATACATACATATACATATATATACATACACACACACACATATATGGCTAGAGAAAGAAAACACATTGGGAATTCAACTAGTATGTTTTTTCTTCTTTCTAGAGATGTGACATCATGTTTTCTAGTAACGTTCTATCAAACATTGTACTGAATCAAAGCAAACAGACAACCAGTAACTGTTTTTATATCCTACTCTGCTGAGCTAGTTACACCCATGGAAACCATCTTGGTAAATTTTTGACAGGAAAAAGGAACTCCTTACCTCAACAGAAAACCTAATGATTTATACAGAAAGGGCTTTGGCAAACCTACACAACACTTAACATGCTATAAGAAAACGATACCTTTTAACTTACCTCCAGGGTAAGTGTACATTCATTGGTGTCCACTAAAACAAAAACACTAAAGCACAAAGCATTTTTGCTTCAATAGTACTAACAACTAAAAAGCACACAGCATATATTATATTACTTTGAACTCTAAGTGGGTAATCATGAAGTTTGAAAATTACACTCACTAGAGGTCAGCCTGAGAATTCCCCTATAAAAATATTTTTTCAAAAATGTTTAAAAGGAATTCAAGAAACAGTGGGACTACGTAAAGATCAGCACAAGATAGTGATACAAGGACTATAAATACAAGACTAGAAACTGATGTTCACATGTAGCTTTTGGGTAAAGGACACTCAGTCAACTCTCAGTTGATTCCTACAACCAAGACTGGTATAGTAGAAGTTTTAAAAATTTCAAGATGATCAGCTGACTTAATATCCTGGATAAATACTCCCAGTCAAAAACACCACTGAGGTGCAGGATTGAAACTTTGATGCATATAAAAACCTGAGTGTACAAAATGACTGTTGGGACATGCACATGCTGCTGGGGTAAAGAAGATTGGTGATAGTAGTTAGTTTTTCAAACACTGACACACCGACAGGTATGCTGGGGAAGAGACCCCCAGGTGGAATGTTGGCCTTGGGATTGCTCTAAAAGAGCCTGACTCAAAAGCCCCTGAGAAAGGGATCTACTACAAGGGGGGGTTTATTAAATACAAGGTGTTTCAAGAGAAACAGGTCCCAAGAGAGTCAGGTAATTTTCTCTTTGACCCAATAATAACTAACATTAATGAACAGCTGCAAAACCGAGTGGTTCTTTCCAGGATGTATTCTCCTGTCACATTAGCCTTAGCCTCCCCCAGTCTAGTGGGCTGGCATATGCAGAAAGATTTCACCGTCCAGAGGTGGACCACAGGGCCTCAGATAGGTCTGGGAAGCTGCTAAAAATGATTTGCACAACAAAGTCACCACTAAACCAGTTTCCAGCCTTCTTTTTCTGCTCTACTGCCAAGAAATATTTCTTTAAAAGCCAGAAATTCTGTAAACATAAACAGCGTGTTGAGTATGTCACCAGCTATTTCATCTTTACAGTGTTGCAAAGTTGCTGTGCAAGTTGCCATGTTAAATCCAGGAATCTGGGCAGTCCAGGGGGCTCAGCGGTTTGGCGCCGCCTTCAGCCCAGGGCCTGATCTTGGGGACCTGGGATCAAGTCCTGCGTCGGGCTCCCTGCATGGAGCCTGCTTCTCCCTCTGCCTGTGTCTCTCTCTCTCTCTCTCTCTCTCTCTCTGTCTCTCATTAATAAATAATTTTTTTAAAAAAAATCTAGAAATCTGCTCTAGCCAATGTTCTCCAATATACTTTTCTACCAAAGAAATATATTCATTACAAAAAGGCATGTAGGTGTGTTTATTATCTCCCATGTCTATAAACTCTCCTGGGAGTACTTGTCCATAAAATTTTTAATAACCAGAACTCTTCATTCATGATAATAAAATCCAACCACACCATCAAATTCTGTATCAGAAGCAAAAAGACCGAAAATGCAAAGCTCTCTTCCTCTAAGGGGTCTATCACCATCACCCCTACACCATTCACCTGCAAGGTAAATGGGCCTATTAGCCCCCTATCCCAAACATGGCCTGGGCCCAGGCTGCACTCAGCTCTACAGAGCCCCAACTGGCAAAAGGGAAGCCTCATTCCAGAGCCCACCACCAGCTCATAGCCCAGCAGGGTAGCCTCTGGGCAAGAGGCCCTGGCCTCAGGCTCCCAGGCAGTAGCCATGAACCAGCTGGGCCCCCATATCCCCCTTAAGTTTATTTCACCAAAAACTCTGAAGGTCTATACTACAGACATATTAAGCTGTTCTCAAACAAAACAAAACCATTTTCAGAACAGTAGAGGAAGAATAATCATAGCAAAATATGAATCAAGTACTCCAGTGATAGGTTCTTACAATCTTTATCTCACACATACACAAAGCTGAATAAAGTAGAATCAGAAAATGAATATAAAAATAAAAAGTAATCAAAAAAAATAAAAAAATAAAAAGTAATCAGAATAACATCAAAATCAAAGAGAAAGTAGAATTAATACTTACGATAAAAGAAAGGGACAAACTCCACTGTGAGAGAAGCTGGTTTGTATTTCTGTCTGCTCTTTTCCACAGTACTAAGGATTCGTCTATCATTAAAAAGAAGTTAAAAAAAATTAATACCATATTATAAAAAAAAATACCATATTATAACATGGGCAAGATGGCAATAATTACAGAAACAATTATAAAATAAATTTAACATATTACTTTTTATTTGTATACTGAACAATACATATTACAATAATAATAATATTACAATAATCTCTAGGATTGGCATTATCTTGAAAAGGAAGTCTCACCTATAATTTAAATGCTCACCAATGAAAGGATTTCTTCTGACATAAGCAAAAAATTTTTAAATGCTTAACAACAGTGCAACAAAGCAGCCAGGTTAAGTCTCCAAATAAAAGGAAGTAGGCATTTAAAATTTCCAATATGTAGTTATTTGTTCAGCAGTACTGCTAATTTGACATCTAAGGCTATAGCTTATTACCACAATGCAAATAAAACTCATCAGAAATCAGGCCATTCTTTGCCACTTTCTGAAATTTTATCTGGATACAATCCATTCCACTGCCTTCTTCCATTTTAACAATGTAGATCTAGTATAGGCTAGGATTATTTTTATTTTTAATGACAATTCCCACTAGTTTTGATGGCTGAAATATTTCTACAGACTTTGGTAAAGCCAACACAAATAGTATGTGCTTTTACCAAGATCATTTCAATTCAACATAAAATGAGTCTCTTAGATGGGTACGGCAGTGTGGGGATTGGGTAATAGAGACTATTGTTACAGTGATACATCTGACTGGTTGACTTCTGAAAATTAAACAAAAACCAAAAAACTCATTTTTTTCATATCCTGAAAAAACTCTTAACATTGTAAGATAAAGCTAACAAAAATGAAAAATATTTGACAAACAGCCACACAGAAATTGTATACATCTATATATGATATACTGATAAAGCAATGGATTAATATGACTTAACAACCATAACTGAGATACTAAAATTATTTTCCTTATAGTCAAAGCTAGAAAGAAAAGTCAATTGGTCACAGAATAAGCCAAGTAAGATAGACACAGATGGATTCAGTAATGACAGACTTAAGAGTTCTAAGATCCAGATCTAATATCCAGATTCACTAGAAATCGTATTAGACACTATTTGCTACTGCTCTGCTTTTCAAATCTGTGACTATTTTCGTTGTGGAAAAGGCAGATGAATGATCAGATTTTTTATTTACTTTAAATTCAAACATAATATCCTAGAACATTACTGGATCTTTCTATTTAATTAAGACCAGTATAGAGATTTTTTTTTATGCCTTTAAGAGAATACAAATATTGCTGGAGTTTCAAACTGAAAATTTAGTCAGATGTCAAAAAAATTCAGTAATGTGGTAGAAAAATTAATTTTAAAAGGATGATTTAGCTTTCAGTTAAGTTTTTCTATGAAATTATTTACATTGTTTACATTTTGCACATTTTTTAAAGTTATGCTATGAACTGATTAGATCTATCCTATCCAAATATCCTGTGCTACAAACAGCAAACATTCTCACTATTGTAACATAATGAAAATGTACTCCTGCAATCTGTGATTAAGGACTAATTCTAAAGGCCCTGTATTAGATGTAACATATGAACATAAATAATTCCCATTAGTGTTATAGTAACACTTAATATACTAACATTAATAAAAGGGGTGGAAACTATTATATGTATCACAAACATTACGGCATGAGTAGGTTTACTACACATTTTCAATTGGAAAAGCCAGAACAGCTAAAACTGAACTTAGTCTTATACTAGTTTTAGAACACAGCATACTTCCTCATTGCACTATTATCTGATATTTGGATCAAGCATCTGGTACCTAGCAGATGCTAATACATACCAACTTATGAGGGCTGCAAAACATTTTGCATTTCAGTTTTCTAAGTTCATGTCCTTGGTCAATCATTTTACGCTTCTGTTTTGTGCTGCCATCATGCCTCGGATGTGCCTATTTTTCTTTAACTTTTAATCTAGAAATAAATTCAACCTCTTGCAAAAGTTGCAAGAATAAAAATAGTATAAAGTACTTCAAATGTATCTTACCCAGATTGTTAAAATTTTATCCCAAATCCTTTATCATTTGTTTATTCTCTATTATAAAGTGCACACATATTTTTATACACATATTATGCATATATGTATGCACACCTACATATGAAATGTTTTTCAGAACATTTAAAAGGAAATTATTTATATTTTTCAGAACATTTATTTTTAAAGATTTTATTTATTTATTCATGAGAGACACAGAGAGAAGCAGATACACAGGCAGAGGGAAGAGCAGGCTCCATGCAGGGAGCCCGATGTGGGACTCAATCCCGGGTTCCCAGGATCATGCCCTGGGCTAAAGGCGGCGCTAAACCACCAAGCCACCCGGGCTGCCCTATTTTTCAGAACATTTAAAAGGAAATTATGTATATTCCAGCTTTTTAAACCCTAAGTACTTTAGTTAAGATTTGCTAAGGATACAGATACTGTTTTACACTACATAGTATAATTATAAATTTCAATACATTTAACATTAATACATTTATCTATCATTTCATAATCCAGTTTCATCAACTGATCCATCAGTATCCTTTTTTTTTTTTTTTTTATGATAGTCACACAGTGAGAGAGAGAGAGGCAGAGACACAGGCAGAGGGAGAAGCAGGCTCCATGCACCGGGAGCCCGACGTGGGATTCGATCCCGGGTCTCCAGGATCGCGCCCTGGGCCAAAGGCAAGCGCCAAACCGCTGCGCCACCCAGGGATCCCCATCAGTATCCTTTATAGCATTTTCTTGCCCCTCAGTACAACTTCCTGCCCAGATATTACATTTAGCTGTCATATATCTTTTCCCTTCCTCAATCTGAAATATTTACACAACCTTTATGACATTTTTAAAGAATGTTGTCCCATATTCCCTCCTTTAATTCATTATAATGTTCATTTTGGGTTTGCCTGATGTTTCCATACAATTAGATTCAGCTTATACATTCATGGTTGGAATACTATAAAAGCAAGAGTATCACAGAGGCATAGATGTCCATCTGCTTCTCACTGATGGCAATTTTGATTATCCAGTCAATGTACTATCCAGTACTATACAAAATAATTACTAATTTTTCCTTTGCAACGAGTAAGTAATCTGTGGGTAAACATTTTAAAACCATGCAAAAATCATGCTGCTTATCAAAACTTCCCCTAGATTTAGCAACCTGATCCATATCTTTCCTATAATTTGTGTAAAATGCTGATTTTTTTTCCAATTAGTATTTACTAATTGGCACTTGGCCTTCTACTATAAGCAAGAGTCCTCTTCTCCCTTTATGTATCTATCTATCCATCCATCCAACCATTCATCTTATCTATCAATCCACCCATCAACCTACCTATCATCTATCACTGGTATGGACTCATTAATTCCCTTTCCCCCAATGATTTATAATTCTTTTTTTTTTTTAAGTAAACTCTACGCCCAATGTGGAGCAAAAATCCATGACTCTGAGAACAAGAGTCACATGCTCTAATAACTGAGCCAGGCAGGTGCTCCATTCATAATTCTTTATGGCAATTAATTATTTTCATATATACATTGTCCCAGATTTGGCCAGAAGGAGCCCCAGGGCATAACTTAGTCTAATTAAATTGTTTTTCTCTTTGGGCAGGTAATGAGTCCTACTGTACCTACACTAGGCACAAAGTAGAAACTCAATAAATATATTTTTAAATAAATGGTTGAATGATTAAGTCCTTTTCAGGGAGGAATTCTTTTCCTACATCTATTTTAGTTCCACTTAAGAAAACCTTTTTTTTTTTTTAAGATTTTATTTGAGAGTAAGCAAGAGAGAGCATGCGCACACACACGAGGGAGAGGGAGAGGGAGAAGCAGACTCCCTACAATTTTTTAGTATATGTGCTGCTGAAGCAAGCACCAGACTCCCTAAAGAGCAAGAAGCCTGATGCGGGGCTCCAGGATCATGACCTGAGCCAGATGCAGATGCTTAACTGACTGAGCCACCCAGGTGCCCCACGAAAAATCTTTCTAAATATGTAAGATGATACAAAGGGAATCAAAACTGAGCTATTAATGATTAAATCAAATTACACAGAGATGGACACCACCCTGCTGAGCACAAAGCCCAACACAGGGCTCAATGCCAGGACCCTGAGATCACTACCTGAGCTGAAACCAAGAGTCGAATACTTAACCAGCTGAGTCACCCAGGCACCCAAGGAAATATACTTTTAAATGGCTCTATATTTGGAATAATTTTGATTTATATTTGTTCTAATCTCTTTTAGTCGTTTTGGTAAGCAACAAACACAATAAATTAGAAAATATGTACATTCTATGTTACACTTCAGAATTAGATTAATACATAAGATGTAAGTTATTGCTATTGCTCCCTTGTTTAGGTCTCCCATGAGCTATAGATTTTTTCTAATTCCATGATTATTTGTAGTATGTTTCATTTCTCTATCAAAGTCAAAGAAATCCAAGTCTAAACCTCTGCTTTACCAGTTACCTCTGAAGCATTTCCTACTATTAGCAGTAAAATTGTTATGCCTATTAGAGATAATACAGGGACAGCTTCCAACATAATTCCTGGCATGTATATTATTGCACACATTCATGAAATCTCACCACTCATCCTCTATTCTTTGTTCCTCTTCCTGTTGTCACCTTATACATGTCGAATTCTCTTTCTGTACTATAGTATTTAAATTTCTTCTTGTTTTTGTTTCTCAAAGTTGTTTTTGTTTCCATTTACCAACTTTGTTTTAATTTGTTGTCAGATCTACGTTTTTATATCTTCTCTCCTCCCAACTTTAACTTCATTTTTCTTCTTCTTCTGATTTCTCTAAAAGCCTCTTCTCTGTCATTTTCAGACTAATCTCATGTTCCTCTCTATATGTCTTGCTATCTATAAAGAAAAACTATTTGTCATTATTTCAAAACTTAAAACATTATCTTAGATTTGCCATTACTGACAGATCTGAGGCGGAGGATGGGGAAGTACCAAGAGTGAAAAAAGAGATACAATTTCCTTAAGAAATCCCTAGCATTAATGTCAAAATAGAGAATATTGGCTTCCACCAGGAAAGCCATGCAGGAGCAGTAGCCATAGGTCTCCAACCCTACAGACATGGGCCTCAACAAGGGCTACGAGGTGACAAAGAATGTGAGCAAGCTGAGGCAACAGCCACCACCATGGGCACCTGACCAAGCACACCAAGCTTATGCAGGACATGATCGAGAGGTTTGTGGCTTCGCCCCATGTGAGCACTATGCCACGGAGCTATGCAAGGTCACCAAGGACAAGAGCACCCTCAAGTTCAACAAGAAAAGTAAAGTATGGAGACACATGTCCATACCAAAAGGGGAGAGGAGCTAAGCAATGTCCTGGCAGCAATGAGAAAGCAGTAGACAAGAAGGATTCCCTCACTTCTGTAAATAATAAAGCCTTTTGGGGAAAAAAAAAAGAGAGAGAGAGAGAGAGAACATGGATTAGTCAAGAACCAAAGTGATAAATGAGTAGAAAGGCTACAAATGGAACGCTGTTATGTGCCTCTTACAATCTTCAAAGAGTCATGAGCAGTGCTCAGGCAGAGGCGAAAGGTAGTGACAGTACAGTCTGCCAATTACTTTAATGCCTACCCCTTCTAGTCACAAAGTGGAACTTCTTGATCTCACTGTGGTAGATGGTGATGTGGGATTAATTCTGACCAATGAGTTCTGAATGAAAACAAAATGTGTCATGACCAGATGAGAGCATTAAATTGCTAACTTGAGATATTTCAGAGCTTTCTTTTCTCCCATGTGGTAACTAGCAAAGCCTTAGATGCTTGCTGCTCTGTCAGCTTGGGATCTTGTGTGACTGTGATGACTGAGGGTTTCTTGCCAATGATGGCAAACAGCATGAACAAGAAATAAACCTTTGTTATTCTAATCCCTTGTTTGTTATTGCAACATCATCTGTCTTATCCTGACTGATAAAATATCTTTGCCAAAGAAAATTCAAAGCACTTTCTCTCTGAGGAAAAGAGATCTATTAAAGCTCAACAGACAAGGAAGTATTCAATACTAAGTAAATTGTTTACAGAAGAACTGTTTACTTGACACAAATTTTAGAGAAATGAATTCCCAACAACATAAGTGCACTGAAAGCAAAAGCTAGGTACTGCTTAGGTTTTTTTTATTTAAATAAGTACAAATTATTTTTACCTATTCTTTAAAGCAGGACTCCTGCTAGACAGTAAGTACCTATTTACTCTGGTTCAAGCTGTTCCTATGGTGGGGTGGGAGGAAAAAAGGAAGTATTCAGAAGGTCATTAGTTCCTTCCTGTTAATGAACAGTCAAGAAAAGTATTAGAACAATGTGATGGTTGATTTAATGTATCAACTTGGGAGGGTGTTTTTGGATGAGATTAACATTTAAACTGGTGAAATATGGATAAAGGAGATTACCGGCTACAAAATGCCTCAATCAATCAGCGAAAAGATTGAGTAGAACAAAAAAATTAGCTTCTCTAAGCAAAGGGGAATTCTTCAGCATACTGTCTTTGGACTTCACCTCCATCATCACTTCAGGGTCTCCAGCCTGACTACATGTGGACTAGAACGAGAACACTGGCTTTCTATTTGCCAGCTTTCAGATTGCAATCGGGCTTTAGCTTTCCTGGGTCACAAGCCTGACAGCCCACATTGCAGATTTGGGCTTGTCCGGCTCTAAAATCACATGAGGTAACTGCTTATAATAAAATTCTTTCCAGGTATGCATGCACACTCATGCGCGCGTGTGCACACACACACACACACACACACACACACACACAAAGCAGACAAAATATTGTTTTTTTGTTTTGTTTTGTTTTAAAGATTTATTTATTTATTTATTTATTCAGAGAGAGCGAAAGAGAGGCAGAGAGAGAAGCAGGCTCCATGCAGGGAAGCCCGACGTGGGACTCAATCCCGGGTCTCCAGGATCACACCCCAGGCTGCAGGCGGCGTTAAACCACTGCACCACCGGGGCTGCCCCAGACAAAATATTGTTAAAAAATCATTTCATACTATGAAATAAGCTTAAAAAAAGAGAACTTCCTTGAAAAATATGTATACTCTACTTGATGTTACTGTACTTTGAAATTTTCCTATCAGATTCTTAGCATTCAATTGCATTATAAAATAAAGGTTCAGAGTAAATTTATTATCTGGAGGTGGCCATTTTCACTAATTCATTACTTCCAACACAGTTCTCTATCTTAGAGATAGAGATAGGGGTCTTATACACATCTTACATATTTCTGTCATGAGAATAAGACTTACACTAAAAAATTACAAATATTTATGACATTCAGGTTTTATTTTTTTGTTTTGTTTTTGTTTTGTTTTTTGACATTCAGGTTTTAAATGAGCAATATGATTATAAGACATACCCTGAAATTCTATGCCTCCAATTCCGATATGGATCATATAAACTTTCACAGAACGCCAGTGCATGGATCACAAATTCTTCAATAGACGTCTGATCTGCCAATTCCTTTTCTTTTTTTTTGCTTTTTAACTGAAAGTAAACAAAAAATTATATTTAGTTAAAAATATGAAATGGTATAACATTCTTATCTACATCATTAAAAGGCAACATGTTTCATTAATAATCTAATAAATCATTTTTATTCAAATAAGCCTGAATTCCAATTGAGTCTAAAGGGTCAGTTAATCATATGGACTGGATATAATTTTTCAAATTTTAAATATGGCCTAGGAAGAGTTTCTTTCTTTTTTTTTTTTTCCCCTAGGAAGAGTTTCAAATGAGTAACAAAAGCAAGTATCTTTTCACTAAGAGGGCTATTTGATAGTAATAATATATAATACATATATTGACAAATTATGTCATTATTAAAAGCCATTTATAAAACTTTAATTTTTAATTAAAATAAGTATATTAATTATTGCTTCCTACTTTTAGATAAAACATTTAAGATGTCTGAAATATATAGTACCTAACAGTAATTTTAATTCACTTATTACCTCCTTTAAAACATTTAACTTTACTAATAGTAAATATGAAAAAAAGGAAAACTTAGTTACTCTCAGTAAAGCAACAAAAGGAATATATTAATTCACCTACTTGCTGAATATAGAGTGTTGTCATAGTGATGACATGATTAATATATGAGCAAGTCCCAATTTCTTCCACATTGGAGAGATTTCTGTGAGAAAGAAAAGAATACTAATTACACATGAATAGTAACAAAAGTGTATGCTCATGTATTCAGGTTGATTTTTGAAAATACATGTTGGCAAATGAAATATGAATGACATTCATTAAAACTTAAAATCGATATGGTTTACATAACTGATTTTCCACTAAGAATGTGAAACATATTCAAGCACCATTTAACTACTGTAAACAAAATGTTTAAGAGAAATACATGCTGATTAGCAATTATTTGTTACAGAAAAAGTGAAAAATATCACAAGGTGGAAACAAAAGAGAAACAAAAAATCAGAAATATTCCTACAACTCAACAGTAAGCAACTATTTACATTTTGAATTATTTCTTTTCAGGTTTTTTTTTTTTTGTATGTAGATTCTTAGTTTGGTTTTTATACATATTGCTGCCATTATAGCACATGTACAGTTTTAGGGTTTTCACTTTGCTTTTTGAAATTACAGTTCCTTTATATCTAGATATCTAATATAGATAAAATATACTGAAAGACCTTGATAGAAAGACCCAGCATCTGTACATTCCTACGAGGGCATAATATAATGTCTTGTTTAAAGCAGTGAGTGGGTCAATAAGTGCTTGGTGTTTAATTAAAATATGGTCCTCATTTTTATACCACTTTTATAAGACAAGATAGGACACATAATGCTAACATTTTCCTATAACTAACATCATCAATCTTTTTCTTAGAATAATAAACTAAAATCTATTAATCTTCTGTTCTGAGACATTGTGAAATTGAAAAAAAACCTTTATTTAAAATACAACCGATGCTAAAAGAAGAGGAAAAACAATGGAATTAACCAAGTTCTTAATATAAGAAGTCAAACTGGCATGACTTTTTTGAGAAAAGAAAAAAGTAAAGGCGAGGTAAAGCTCAAAGACCCTATGGAAGATTCCAGGAAGATGGAAAAATAGGAATCACCATGAATCTGTCTCCACACCAGAAAACAACTGTACTGGATATAACTCATTCTGGAATTCTGAAGTCTGCTGAATGCTGGCAACTTCCAGCGGAAGACCTTGGACAGTAAACTACAGTTAACATTGGTTAATTTTGGTAAACTTCAGCTATTATTAGCACAGTAGTAGCACCCAACCTCCACCCCCAGCCATGTGGTGGGCAGGTCTGTACATCTTCCCCTAACAGCTTGCTAACAAGTTAAAGGAACCAAGGTGGACAGAAGAACCCTGGTCCTTCAAATACCAGAGATTTGTGCTCTGATCACTGACTGCTGCTTCTGATCACAGAAATGCAAAAAGGCAGGCAGCCATTGTTAGTATATCTCACCCAACTGCTGCAAGCCCTTGCTCTCTGGCTGAAGTAACTTTCAGGGAACTTAAAAGGTCAGGGACAAAAGCACCCCAACATAATAAAAAGCCATATATAAAAATTTTACAGCAGACATATACTTTATGGTGAAAGACTGAAAGATTTTTCTCTAAGACAGAAACAAGGCAAGAATGGTCATTTTTACTGCTTCTATTCAACACAGTACTGGAAGGCCTAACCAAAGCAATTAGATAAGAAAAAGAAATAAAAAGCATCTAAATTAAAAAAGAAGTAAAATTTATCTCCCTGTAAATATAATCTTATATAAAGAAACTTTAAAAATTAGATATAAACCATTAGAATTAATGAATTCAGTAAAGTAGTAGGATAAAAAAATCAACACACAAAAATCAACTGCATTCCTGTATATAAACAATAATGAGAAAGGATTATCATGAAGACAATTCCATTTATATCAGCATTAAGAATAAAATACTTAGGAATTAATTTAATCAAGGAAGTGTAAGGCATAAAATGAAAACTAAAAAAAATTGCTGAAATAAATCTTAAGCCATAAATAAATGCAACCACATGTCATGTTCACAGATCAGAGGCCATCTTACTATTAAATTATCAATACTACCCAGAGTAATCTACAGATTCAATGCCATTCCTATCAAAATCCCAAAAATATTTTCTACAGAAACAGAAAAACCCATCTTAAAATTCATATAGAATCCCAAAGGACTCCAAATAGCCAAAACAATTTTGAAAAATAAGAACAAACTGGAAGACTCACACTTTCTGATTTATTCCCTAGTACAAAGCAATAATAATCAAAATAGTGATGTTGGCAGAAAGACAGACATATAGACAAATGGAATAAAATAGGGATCTCAGAAATAAATCCTCACATGTATGTTTTTGACAAGGGTACTGCCATTCAATATGGAAAGGAAGTCTTTAAAGAGCGATGTTGGGAAAACTGGATATCCACATGCAAAAGAATAAAGCTGGACCCTTACTTTACTCTGTATACAAATATTAACTCAAGTGGATCAAGAACCTAAGTATAAGATTTAAAACAATATGACTCTTAAAAGAAAATAAAGTACAAGAGTGTTATGACACTGAATTTAGTAATGACTTCTTGGATATGATACCAAAGTATAGGTAACAAAAGTAAAAACAAACTGGACTTCATGAAAACTGAAAAATTTTGTGCATTGAAAGACACTATAAAGAAAAAGATGTTATTAAAAGAGTAAAGAGGCAATTCACAAAATGGAAGAAAACACTTACAAATCATATGTCTGACAAAGGATTAATATCCAGTATATATAGAGAGAGTTCCTAATTCTAAACATCCAAAAAATCAACCAAATTCAAAACTGGGAAAAGACTTGAATAGACATTTCTCTGAAGAACTATGTGAATGGCCAATAAACACACAAAAAGATAGTCAACATCAAAAAATCATTAGAGAAAAAAAAACCATTAGACAAATGCCAATCAAAACTATAATGAGATAGTCCCTCACACCCATTAGGATGCTAGCTAGTATAAAAAAAAAAAAAAAAAGAAAAGAAAAGAAAAGAAAAGAAAAGAAAAGAAGAAAGAAAAGAAAAGAAAAGAAAAAAAAAAAGAAAGAAAGAAAGAAAGAAAAAGGACATCTGGGTGGCCCAGCGGTTGAGCATCTGCTTTGGGCTCAGGGCACAAGCCTCTCTCTTTCTGTGTCTTTCATGAATAAATAAATAAAATCTTAAAAAAAAAAAACGGGGCACCAGGGCAGCTCAGTTAATTAAGCATCTGACTCTTTTTTTTTTTAATTTTTTATTTATTTATGATAGTCACACAGAGAGAGAGAGAGAGAGGCAGAGACATAGGCAGAGGGAGAAGCAGGCTCCATTCACCGGGAGCCCGACGTGGGATTCGATACCGGGTCTCCAGGATCACGCCCTGGGCCAAAGACAGGCACTAAACCACTGCGCCAGCCAGGGATCCCAAGCATCTGACTCTTGATTTTGGCTCAGGTTGAGATGGAGTCCTACCTAGTATAGAGTCTGCTTAAGATTCTATCTCTTCTCCTCTCTCTCTGTTCCCCCTCCAAAACAAAACAAAACAAAACAAGAAACCGCAGGCAAACAGAAAACATGCATTAGCAAGGACATGGAATAACTGAGATATTTGAGCACCAACAATGGGAATGTAAAATGTTACAGCCACTGATCTGAAAAAGTCTATAATTCATCAAAAAATTAAAAATACAATTACCATATGATCCAGCAAGTCCACTTTTGGATATGTACCCCAAAGACTTGAAAATAGGGTCTTGAAGATATATTCATGTTCATAACAGAATTATTTTTCTATTTATTTTTTTCCTTACTTATTAAATCCTTAGCTCACCTGAGGACCAGTGGAAAGTTATTTATTTTTTGTCCTTCCCATCTTTCCCTAAGGGGCTTTTCCCTGCAAAATGCCTGACATGATACCAGAGGGGAACCTGGGAGTGGGGGGCATGCCAGGGACTTAAATACAAGCTGGAGGGCAGGACACAGGTAGGACAGCAAAGAGACAGTACAAGGGACATAGCTTCTCAGATAAAGATGAACGAAGAGCAGAAAAAAGCTGTGCCAGACGGCAGAGGGATAAGACACTAAGGGATGAGCAGAAAGGCCCCCAAGCCTAGGCTGATACCCACATTCCCCAGATGTAATGACAGAGCATGAAGACCTCCCCTCATAGGTTCCAAGGAACAGAATGGAGAGAATAAATCAGATGTACTGCCTCAGGGAAAGGGAAGGAATGAGAATATTTACCCAAGGCTCCAAACAAGTTGAAAACTTATGCCCATGCAAAAATCTACACAAATGTTTACAGCAGCCATATTGGTAACTGCCAAAAACTAGAAGTAACAAAGATGTCCTTCATTAGGTAAATGAAAACACAAAGGTGGCACATCCATAAACTGAGTATTATTATTCAGTGATAAAAAGATACACACTGGGCAGCCCGGATGGCTCAGTGGTTTAGTGCTGCCTTCAGCCCAGGGCGTGATCCTGGAGACCCAAGATCGAGTCCCATGTCAGGTTCCCTGCATGGAACCTGCTTCTCCCTCTGCCTGTCTCTCTCTCTCTCTCTCTCTCTCTCTCTCTCTCTCTCTCTCAGTCTGTGTGTGTGTGTGTGTGTCTCATGAATAAATAACATCTTTAAAAAAAAAAAAGATAGGGATCCCTGGGTGGCGCAGCGGTTTGGCGCCTGCCTTTGGCCCAGGGCGCAATCCTGGAGACACGGGATCGAATCCCACATCGGGCTCCCGGTGCATGGAGCCTGCTTCTCCCTCTGCCTGTGTCTCTGCCTCTCTCTCTCTCTCTCTCTGTGACTATCATAAATAAATAAAAATTAAAAAAAAAAAAAAAGATACTATCAAACCACATAAAGACATGAAGAACCTGGGGATCCCTGGGTGGCTCAGCGGTTTAGCGCCTGCCTTTGGCCCAGGGCGCGATCCTGGAGTCCCTGGATCGAGTCCCACATCGGGCTCCCGGCATGGAGCCTGCTTCTCCCTCTGCCTGTGTCTCTGTCTCTCTCTCTCTCTCTCTCTCTCTCTCTCATAAATAAATAAATAAATAAATAAATAAATAAATAAATAAATAAATAATAAATAAATAAATAAATAAATAAATCTTTAAAAAAAAAAAGACATGAAGAACCTTAAATCTATATTGCTAAGTGAAAGAAGTCAGTCTGAAAACAGTACACACTGTATGTTTTCACATACATGACATTCTGGAAAAGCAACACTAGTTACAATAAAAAGAAATCAGTGGTTGCCAGAGGTTGGGCATGACATGAGAGAAATGAATAAAGTGAACACAGGGCATTTTTAAGGTGATGAAATCATTCTGTAAGATATTGTAATGGCGGATACAAGACCATGCATTTGTCAAAACTCACAGAACTGTAAAAAAGTGAACTCTAATGTACTCTACAGATTTCAGTTAATGATATATCTTTCTAGTTCATCAACTGTAACAAACTTACCACCCTAATGAAAGATGTTAATAATGGAGTGGAAGAAGCATATAGGAACTCTGAATTTTTTCCAAATTTTTATATAAAACTAAACTGCTATACAACATAAAACCTATTAAAAAATTTTAAGGAATTTTTTTAAACAGAGAAGTCTCTAGAAATAGAAACATATTCTGTAATTGGTAGCTATTAAACATTAAATTTAAAATAAAATAAACATTAAATTTCTCATCAGAGATTATTAGCTCCTAGTAAAAAAAAAAAAAAAAATTCAACCAAAAGATGCACTCAGCTTGGAGTCCGTTTGGGATTCTTGCTCTCTCCCTCTGCCCTTCCCCCCCAACTGCATGCATGCCACCCATGCTCTTTCTAAGATAAATAAATTATTTTTTAAAAAGAGCTAAGCATATTGGATTTAAAACAGTTATTTATCTATAGGATTTCTGATTTCTGTAAAACTATACTAAGTAGTTAATAGGACAAAATATTGTAGATCAACAGACCAACTCATGTTTTATCACCTAAGTAAATCCTTTTTCCCCTCAACTCTTTAATTCTTGTATTATTTTCTAAATAGAAAGGATGATAAAGAGTATAAAATCAGAAAAGTGTCTAGAGTTCTAGAAGAGCCTAAATTAGGGGAGAAACATTTTAGCAATTATTGCTCAATCTTTCTGTGATTTTTGCAGTCAAATGCATGAGCAATTAAGTGAAAGGTAAATAGATGCACAGTAAATTAAGTCCCTGTTTGTCTACTAATTAATTCTAAAATATTTATAAAACAAATAGTATATTATAGGAAATGGCTTCCAAAAAGAAGGCAGACTTTAAAGAGGTATACAATGCCCCTAATCCAAGAGTTTTTAAATTTGTATATACAGGTTAACGTGAAACTCGTGAAAAATTAGAATGCATGAGTTCTTTGGAGTCAGAATTTTCATAAGGCTCAAGCTCTGTATGCCTACTAAGCTGCCCAGTTGATATTTATGCACACCAAAATTTAAGTGCCACAAACCTAATTATCTATAAACCGGGAAATATATGCTATAGAATAATTATACTTTGGTAAAATTATAAAATGAAAGATTAGAAAAATACATTTCACAAATGATAATGCACAGTAGTAAAAATGTACATATGTTTACAGGTGAGGATCACACAGAAAATATCGCCGTGACAAATTCTTGGTTAGGTAAAAATTCCAGTCACTGTCCTTAGAGTAATTTTTTTTTTTAATCTTGATTGAATCGCTCTATAACTAGGTATGGTAATTAAAAGGCTTTCCAATAGGGGTGGCCTGGCTGGCTCAGTCGTTGGAGCATGAGACTCCTCACCTCGGGGTAGTGTGTTCGAGCCATATATTGAGCATGAAGCCCACTTCAAATAAAGAAATAAAACATTAAGGACACCTGGGTGGCTCAATCAGTGAAGCATCTACATTCAGCTCAGGTCATGATCTTGGGATCCTGGGAATAAGCCCAGTGGTGTGTTCCCTGCTAAACGGGGAGTCTACTTTTCCCTCTCCCTCTGCCCCTCCCACTGCTTGTGCTCTCTAATAAATAAAATCTTAAAAGAAATAAAACATTAAGTAAACAAATAAATAAAAAGCTTTCCAACACAATAACGAATCAAAGCCTTTCATATAAAATATACTCAATCTTTAAAGCTCCATGTGAACAACACCATTAATAATCAATAAATGCATTATTTTGATAATAATTTTTTAAAACATGTAACTAGGGATCCCTGGGTGGCGCAGCGGTTTAGCGCCTGCCTTTGGCCCAGGGCGCGATCCTAGAGACCCGGGATCGAATCCCATGTCGGGCTCCTGGTGCATGGAGCCTGCTTCTCCCTCTGCCTGTGTCTCTGCCTCTCTCTCTCTCTCACTGTGTGCCTATCATAAATAAAAATTTAAAAATAAATAAATAAATAAATAAATAAATAAATAAATAAATAAATAAATAAATAAATAAATAAAACATGTAACTAGTTTGTTTGTACCAGATACCTGCAAAGAATAATGAAGAACTTGACAAGCAAAATTGACAAAGCTTGTTGTTGTTCCTCTAACCCATCTGCCATTTTCTGAACACACTGTAGCAGCTGGATCCTTAGAACCTGCAGAATATTATCAGGAAGTAGAGATATTCCTGGAGGGACATCGTCTACCCTGTAAGGGGAAAAAATAAGAAGGGTGATTAAGTACAAGAAAATCTTTGGCACTTTAAAGGAATTGCATTTTTATCTCAAATCCTAAAGAAACTCTTTTATTCCAGATGCTCTGTGCTTTCTCTGCAAGGCACCACCAGATGATCAGTGTGACATTTTAGAAGATTAGTAGAGCACAGAAATTAGTCTTACCTCAGAAGAGGCTCACTGAAAAGAGGAAGTTAGAGAATCTATTTAGTATCTCCAATTGTCCCGGAGACCTGGGATCTGAGTCCCATATCGGGCTCCCTGTAGGGAGCCTGCTTCTCCCTCTGCCTGTGTCTTTGCCTCTCTCTCTGTCTCTCATTAATACATAAATAAAACATTTAAAATAATAATAATAATAATAATAATAATAATAATATCTCCAATTGTGCTATTTTGAAAGAAAATATTTAGAATTAGTAGTTCACTTTCTACCTAGAAATAAAATATGTATGTGTATATATGTGTGTATACCATTTCTAAAAGGAACAATAACTAGCAAATAAAAATGAAGTACCTATAACTGGTTTAATATCTGTCAACTGCTTTACTAAACAATATTCACCTACTAAAGGCTCCCCAAGCCATGTGGTTAGAAGAGGGAGAGAAGATAACCAGCAAATGGGAAGGAGAAAGATAAACAAGTAAATGAAAAACCCTAAGCATGAGCATTAACAACTTTTAAAAAAAAATAATATATCAATATTTTGTGACATCTGATTTCTGGGTAAGAAGACCATCTGGTTCTTTAAGGACAAAAGCCAAGACCAGATGTGACTGGTTACTCTTACAACACAATTCCCCTAGAATCAAAGTCAGAAGGCCTGTAGACTAAGTTCCAGCTCTATAACACGAAGCACTACAGATAATCCCTTACATGCCCTAATCTATAAAATTGTAATATCATCTGCCCTATTTCACAGGGTTCTGAAACCAAAAGGTCAATGTGCACTTTTAACTATGAAATATGTAAAGAACTATAAAAATATGTTTTAAACATACAACACTAAAGCCTAAAAATATGTAAAGAACTATAAAAATATGTTTTAAACATACAACCACTAAAGCCTAAGAATCTTTCCATAAAGCCATTGAATACTAATTTTCGTATCTCTATTAAGAAAAGTACCCAAACAGGGTACCTCGATGGCTCAGTTGAGTAAGGGTCTGCCTTTGATCATGATCCCAGGATATCAGGCTCCCTGCTCAGTAGGGGAGTCTGCTTATCCCTCTCCCTCTGTCCACACTCCCACCCCCACCCCCGCTTCTGCACTCCAGCTCTCTCAAATAAATAAAATCTAAAAAAAAAAAAAAAAAAGAAAAACACCTAATCACAAAGGAGCACCATAAAGAGCTACTATGATTAAATGACAACCATACTTTAAATAGTCTCTTCTTCAGATAATGCTTAATGTGAAGATTTACTATTATTTTTACACTAAGTTTAAAGCTATTTCATTCATTGTAGACAGAAAAATTTGAAACACATTGCCAGTGGTTATATAAATATACATGATAAATATTTTTAGCCTCTCTCAGAACCATCCCACAACACAAAGTACTTTACAAAATAAAGCCCTTAATTACACAGCAATTACACAGCACATTACCAAGGTTGCCAAATTCTATAATCATGTCACAAAAATACATGTTTCATTTTAGTCTGGGCATCACTTCACTCGTACTTTGGATTCTTTCATTCTTTTTTAGTGGTACCCAAAAAACTCCCATTTTTATATACTTTTCTTGCTAAAAAGCTAAAAAAGAGATGATTAGAAAACACAGTAACTTCAAAATAATAAAGATTTAAACTTAAATAGAAGTGATTTTCAAGACCAAACTAAACTATTCCTACTCACTTTTCCAAAAACATAAGTCAATAAGAAACCTACATCAGATTTCCCAATATTTCAATTCTACTTAAAGGATTAGTTCCTTTTTCCTTAGTTGTCCCATTCTCTATTTTCATTTTTACTAGACAGAAAAAAATTAGCTTCTAAAAGAGAAATCTATTCTTGTGTTTATGTTCATTATAAAATTGGGATTTGGTTAGAAATTACTTGTAGATAAAATTAAAAGTTTTGGCCATATTCCTAATGTGATGAGGATTTAAGAATTTGGAAGCATTTTCCCATCATTAGGACTTTGCTGCCCCCAAATTCTAAGCTTCTTTTGCTAAAATTTTCCAATCTCCAGAATTCTGTTTCACTCCTCTGTTTGACTACTCAATATCTGTATTAAGCAGCTGCCCATTGTTGTCTCCATCTAACACAGGAAAAAGTCCAATTTAAATTGCAAGGCTTTAAATTCTGGTAAAAGCATTCCTTGCCTTGCATCATGAATTCTCTTAGAAGTTCTATCAAGTCAGTTTAATTTAAATGAGGATTATCTGTTTTTTATCTTTAAGGTGAACAGACCACTTTTATATATCATGCACACAGTATATTCACTTGAAAAACTGAACGTTTCTATTAGTAAAATCTAAATTCATGGTTTAGTATTATCAGATATGAAATAAAATTTTAAATAAACCATCTAAATCATGAATAAAACACTGTTCTGGCATTTTTCATCATATTTTATTTTATTTTTTTAAAGATTTATTTATTTATTCATAATAGACATAGAGAGAGGGGCAGAGACACAGGCAGAGGGAGAAGCAGGCTCCACGCTGGGAGCCCGACGCAGGACTCAATCCCAGGACCCCAGGATTGCGCCCTGGGCCAAAGGCAGGTGCCAAATCGCTGTGCCACCCAGAGATCCCCTTCATCTTATTTTAAACTCAGTGGCAGGGGGATCCCTGGGCGGCTCAGCAGTTTAGCACCTGCCTATGGCCCAGGGTGTGATCCTGGAGTCCTGGGATCGAGTCTCACATTGGGCTCCCTGCTTGGAGCCTGCTTCTCCCTCTGCCTATGTCTGTGCCTCTCTCTCTCTCTCTGTGTGTCTCTCATGAATAAACAAATAAAAGTCTTTTTAAACAATAAATAAATAAACACAGTGGCAATAGAAGTCTACATAAAGTTTTTAGAAATGACCTCCCAAGAAAGACATGTATAACAAGTGCATCTTATAAACTTTAGACTTCATTTCAATACTCCAAGAATTCAAAGGCCCAAGTCCTGACTCAATGAAATCCTTAGGCTCATGATTTAAAGGAGTTGCAAGTTATTAAAATAAAACCACTTCTAAGCATAAACCACAAAAGTACTCTTTTATGAGTAGAAATCAATATGTAATTTTATTTTGAGTTCAAGACTTAATACTTTTCAACCTTTATAAACCTGTTACAAATTAGCTAATAAGGAAGAACACTGAAACTGTATGTATAAATAATGAAGCACTAATGCTTTCTGAGCATTAAAGCACATCTTTTCTTAAGTTCAATGCCTCGGTCCAAAGCTCTAATGACTTCTTCTCTGAATTATTAAAATAACCCCTTAACTGCACTTCTTGCCTTCAGTCTCAACCCTTTCCAGTTTAACCTAATACCACTATAGGGCCTTTTAAAAAGCAAACTTAATCATGACACTGTCATGTAGAATATTTTTGTAGAGCCTCACATCTTCCACAACAAAAAATCAAAGTCCATTAGCCATGCATACACGGCATTTCATGATCTGGCTTCTGATCCTCCAGACTCAATTCACCCATGTCCACCCTCTGATATACTATCTCCATCCCCAAACTGCAAATGCTTTCCTCCTTAAAGATTTCCTCCTTAAAGATTTTTAATTCCTTAGATACTCTTTCTCATTATCAACCACCACCCATTTCTCCCCTTCCATCTCAATGTATCTCTATAAATGGGAGTTCTTTTTGTGGCTAAAAGGGTCTCCTCATTTCTCCAGCTTTTTATCCCAGCCTAACCTAACCCCTCTTACCTTAGTAACAACTATAAGGTCTTCAAGATGGCTTGAAAAAAAAGTAAAAACTTTATCTGGTAAGTGGACCTGGGAACTGTGAATGGAGAATGGTGGTTGGCAGAGTAATTTCCACAAAATTTGAATTTTTCTATCATTTTTGTGTTTTTTAACTCTAACTTTGAAAAATCTGAATATTTCATCTCCTCCAAGATGTCTTCTAACTCCTCACTCTATAATAAAGCCATAATTATAAGTATAGTGTTCTCAGTGAGTTCTGTGAGTCTAATGAATTACTGAACCTGAGGGAGTCGTGAAAACTTTCAAACTTATATCCAGTTGGTCAGAGGCATGAGTGGCTCCCAGGATCTGCAACCAGTGTCTTAAGTGAGAGCAGTCTTGTTGAGAACTTTGCCCTTACTTTGTGGGATCTATCACTAACTCCAGGTAGTGTTAGAAATGAAGTGAATTGCAAGACACCTAGTTTGCTTGTAGTTCACCAACGTAATCTTTACTTCAAGAAGCCAAGTCTCATTTTAGCAGGCAAACATGCTATGATGAATTAACAAAGTCTGCCATAGGAGCAGGATTATGCAGAAGTATCATGTATGTCACATAATTGCTATCCTTGTAATAGGCCATCAGTGAAGTCTTTGTGCCTCAAATTCACAAACTCAACTAAGAATAGGAAATTAAGTATTTCTACATACCTGGTAGGCAGCTTTTCAAAGTCAACATCTAAGAATTGTTCATAGCTAGAAACAAAATTGTCCAACCAGAGTTTCAGGTAATCTGGATCTTTCTGAAAAAAAGAAAATCAATATTAAGTATACCTGTCAGGGAAAAAAAAAAAAACAAAACAAAAAACATGCTTTCATTCCTATAAGCATATAGAAGCAATAATATGAAATCTCTTAAATGATATTCAGGAAAACACACGTGAAATTTTAAAATGTCTATTAAGTATAGTGAATCCTTGGGACACCTGGAATGCTCCATCAGTTAAGCATCAGCTAGGATCGCGATCCTGGGGTCCTGGGATTGAGCCCTGCATTGGGCTCCCTGCTTGACAGAGAGCGTACTTCTCCCTCTCCCTCTGCTGTTCTCCCTACTTGTGCTCTCTTTCTGTCAAATAAATAAATAAAATAGAAAGTATAGTAAACCCTCAAATGGCTTCCCATGTCACTCAAAGAGCTACAATTTTAACAATGTCCTATAAGATTCTAAACAATTTGCCCTCCTCTATTCCCTGACATTATCCACTATTACCCTCTACTACCCTGGCTTCCTGGTTATTACTGGGACATGCTAGATATACTTCTACCGTAAGGCCCTTCAACAGTCAAAAGACTATTTTCTCTAGTCAGAACACTCTTTCCCCAGATAGATGAATGAATGGCTAACTCCCTCATCTTCAAGTCATTCCTTAAATGACATTCTCAAAAGCCTACTTTTACCATCCTGTCTTAAAATTGCCAATCTTACTAACTTTACCTAACCCTATTCTGTTTCCCTCCTGTGGTGCTTTCTCACCTTCTATCATACTGTGTCCTTTATTTAGTTATTAGTTTATTGTCTGTCATTTCCCTGAGAATGTAGGCTTTACAAGTGCAAGGCGTTTCTAAGGGCTTACCATGAGTGACTTCTTTTTGTTTACTAATGGATACCTAACCAGTGCTTGGCACTGAGCAGGTGCTCAATAAATATTTGTTTAGTGAATTAATGAGAAATACAAGATGCGTAAGTAAAATAAAATCAGATATAGATCATTAATCTAAACAAAAACTAAAATTAAACTCTTCTAGAAGAAAATATAGGCGATACAATATACCTTTAAAGGAGATATACCTTTGCAACGTTGGGGTAGACAAAGGTTTCTGGACTAATACGCAAAAATCACAAACCAAAAAAAAAAAAATTAGTAAGTCTTAATCAAAATTAAAAACATTTACTCGGGATCCCTGGGTGGCGCAGCGGTTTGGCGCCTGCCTTTGGCCCAGGGCGCGATCCTGGAGACCCAGGATCGAATCCCACATCGGGCTCCCGGTGCATGGAGCCTGCTTCTCCCTCTGCCTGTGTCTCTGCCTCTCTCTCTCTCTCTGTGACTATCATAAATGAATAAAAAAAATAAAAATAAAAAAAAAAATAAAAAAAATAAAAACATTTACTCATCAAAAGACACCAGTTAGAAAATGAAAAGGCAAGGCATATCAGCTGAAAATATTCTTAATACATATATTTGACAAAGAACTTACACTAAGAATATATAAAGAATTCCTAAAAATCACTACCAAAAGGACAACTCAATTTAAAAATGGGCAAAATGGGGGGCACCTGGGTGGCTCAGTAGTTAAGTGTCTGCCTTCAGTTCAAGTTGTGATCTTGGGGTCCTGGGATTGAGTCCTGCATTAGGCTCTCTGCAAGGAGCCTGCTTCTCCCTTGACCTACATCTCTGCCTTTCTGTGTCCCTCATGAATGAATGAATGAATGAATGAATGAATGAATGAATGAATGAATAAATAAGTAAAATCTTTAAAAACAAAAAAATGGGGGCGCTTGGGTGGCTCATGGTTGAGCAACTGCCTTTGGCTCAGGTCATGACCCCGGGGTTCTGGGATCAAGAATAAATGAATAAATAAATAAAATCTAAAAACAAAACAAAAAACGCCAAAGTGCAGACATTTCACAAAAGGGGATATAGGAATGACCAGTGAATGAAAGCATGTTTAATATCATTAGTTATCTAGAAAAAAGCAAATAAAAATCAAATGGAATACCCATTAACACACTCACTAGAATGGCCAAAACTAAAAACCCTAACCCTTCTAAGTGTTGGGGAAGATGTGGAGCAACTAGAACTCACACTTCTGGTGGGAGTATAAAATGGTATAATCATTTAGAAAATAGTTTGGCAGTTTCTTTTAAAGTTAAACATAGACATACCACATGGTCTTCCCTTGAGAGAGGGAAAAACACGTAACTACAAAAATGTACAAAAATGTTCATAGAAGATTTATTTTTAGTATGCAAAAGCTGGAAACAACCCAAAATTCCATCGAGTTAACTGACAAAGAAATTGTGTTATACTCATACGACGGAATGCTATTCAGGAATAATATTGAGTTAACTATTGATACAACAAACAGAAATTTCAAAAACATAACTGAGCAAGAAATGCCATGCATTAAAGTGTATCACTGTACTATTTCATTAGAGCAGGCTATGATGAGAGAAATTAGATCACTGGCTGTCTTTCAGAGGACTGACTATAAAGGGACACAAAGGGAACGTACCTAGGTGGTAGAAATTTTCTATTTAATTATGTAAGTGGTTACACAAGTGTTTGCCTGTATCAAAACATGAAGTTTGGGGCAGCCCAGGTGGCTCAGCGGTTTAGTGCTGCCTTCAGCCCGGGGAGTGATCCTGGAGACCCGGGATCGAGTCCCACGTCGGGCTCCCTGCATGGAGGCTGCTTCTCCCTCTGCCTGTGTCTCTGCCTCTCCCTCCCTCCCTCCCTCCCTCTCTCTCTCTCTCTCTCTCTCTCTCTCTCAAATAAATAAAATCTTTAAAAAAAAAAAAACCATGAAATTTGGCACTTAAAATGAGTGCATTTTATGATCTATATCTCAAAGTTTATTTGAAATAAAATGATTCCTCAGACATATCTCTTTAAATATAAATTGCATCGTTAAAAATTATGCTCAAATGTATTTCCTCCCTCTCTTAACCCTTCCTTATTGCAGTCAATTTCAACAATACTCAGAAGTTGTACTTAGTCACTATTGGTTAGGCACTGCACTTGGATAAAGGGAACTCAAGTAATTTATTTCCCTAAAATAAAAGCATTACACTACAAATGAGAACTGCTAAAAGAATGTTCCCAGAATATACAGAGACTGGTGACCTTTTGTGTATTTTTTTTTCTATTAATACACCGTTCCAAAATCAGATTGTAAATTGCCACTATCTACATCATCACTGAGAAACAAGATGGAAGTATTTCAGAAAAAGAACTACCTTATGTGAGAAATTTTCAAGTGTGCCATTACTTGCTGTTTTTATTTCCAACTAGCACATTATTCATTTATTCATTTACTCATTTATCCATTCAGGAAAGAGTAACAGAAATACAAGTAGCTGTGGAGTTTTCCTTATCATTTTTGCTTTTAATAAAGCATAGGATTATCTCTCTGTAAAAGTTAGACACAAAACAGTCTCATAACACCATAAAGAATTAATGCGTTTCTCCTCATAGTTTATTTAGGAACTCTACAGTATCTGGTTCAAAGTGTAAAGGTCAGAGTTACAAGTGGTTGGTGTGTACAGAGCTCCCCTAGGAAGCAGAACAACTTATACAGAAAAAAAATGGTACTCAAATCTGGAAAGGCTTCATTTTAAAAAGTAAAGCAGCTACAGTTTTTGAGCACATGCCATGTGCTAAGTAAGTACTACAGCAGGCATTTTTAAATATGTACCATTGCATTTACTCCTTATACCTATCCAGAGGTTTCATTTCCCCATTTTGTAGGAAAGAAAAGGGATGTTCTAGAATATATAACTTGTCCTGTCTCAGATTTAGTATTGATAGTGCTGGGATTAAAATGCAAGATAGATGAATCCAAATGTGCTCCTTCCACTACACTACACTCTCTTTGAACTATGAGCACAGCTTTAGTGAGCAAATAGAGGAAAGGAGTCAGGGTCAGTAAACTCAAGGCTATAAACAATTCAACACATAAAACAGCCACATTCTACACAGACAAAATTCTTAGAGAATCTATACTGTACTGCCAAAAAACACAAAAAGACGTCCACATACCCAGAAATGATATTATTTTTTGTAAGATTTTATTTATTTGAGAGAGAGAGAGCATACACAGAAGCGGGGGGCGGGGGGAGGGCAGAAGGAGAGGGAGAAGCCTACTCCCCACTGAGCAGGGAGCCTTATGCAGGGCTCAATCCCAGGAACCTGAGATCATGCCCTGAGCCAAAAGCAGACCCTTAACCTACCCACTCTACAGGAACAATATTAATTAAACTCAAGCTAAGTCACTTTCATGTTTAAGAGTTCGGTGTACTGAAACACCACAGTAATGTCTATTTGTACACTATTTACACACAACACACAGATGTATTATGTACTGCAGGAGCACTGGGACCAAATTACAGGGACTCTAATACCTGCTCTGCCACTTTCTCGAGTAAGTCATCCTATGTTTGCATATCAGTTTTTTTCTCTATAAAAATGAATATAATAATAATACCTTTCCCCAAAAAATAAAATAATAATACCTTTCCTATAGGGCTGTCATAAAAATTAAATAATCTATGTCAAGGGCTTAAAATTATGTCTAGCACATAGTATATGCTCATGTATTAAAATATTTATAACCTTTCATGTGCCAAAACTAGGGAACTCCCATAAAATAGGAATATTCTATGCAACACATAAACATATTTAACTATTTCCTGATTCCCCTTCGATGATTTTAATTGTATTCTTTTCCTTCCAAATCTCTTTGCATTTACTATCTGTATGGCTTTGGGCGGGTCACTTGATCTCTCTGATCTATTCCTCATCTATAATATTATTTCCTACCTCATAAGGTGTTGAAAGCACTAAGATAATACATGTAAAGCAATCAACAGTACCTGTCATTTAGCAATTACTCAAAACATGTTGGTTACCATTATTAAGATACAGACTCTGCTATCAAGTTGGTCATGATTTAATGTAATAAATAAGCACTTAGTGAAATAACTACAAAAACAACTTTATCAATTTTGCCCTCAAATATTCAT